AAATGCAATAACCCACATAAGATGGGCGAGACATTTTTTTTGCATATGGAACTTTGATTCAAATTTACTACAGTCACTTGTAATATTGTTTCACACCTACAACACTTGTTACACAGATCCAAGTGATAGAAAACAGATTGATATTTTCTACACTAGAAACTACCAGATAAGCTGCTGTATTCAATAGCCAAGAGGTAACAATATTGTAATTCTGGGGCAATACCATCACAAGTCAAACTGAGAGGTCAACAGTTTATAAGGGAAACTGTTGCCTGGGTACAATTCAAAAACAATTTCCATATGTCCTTTGCAGACTTTACAATTTACATTTTCCAGTGATTTAAAACATGTGAATAAAAAAATATTTTAAAGTGTATAAATATAAAAAAAAACAAGCTTAAAAAAATGAAAACCCAACTCTGAAGCATGTTTGTCATTCTGGATGTTCAGTTGGCCTGCAAAAGAATAATATTGAGTTATTAAAGTATACTGCACAAGTTTTACATAGGTTGCCATTATACTTTATATAAAATATTTGGAGATACAATTAAGATCATTTGCACTTTGAATCCAAGCAGCATTAGCACTCCAGCTTGACAACTTTCCATGGGAGGAAGTTACCAGCAGGCCCCCAGGTGCCCGATGCTCCTGTTCAGGACCTGCCAGCACAGGAAGGTGTTACCAAACTCAGTGGAAGCCAGGTAAGTTGTCAAATAGCAGACAACTTACACTGGGAGGGCTCCAGGACACACAATCTATCACTAACCTACAGGCTGTACCAATTATAGAGTTTGCCATTTCAGTAAGTTATTCTTAGTGAACTGTACATACTAGAAAATCTATTGCACTGGTTTACTTTCAGTATTTGTACAAAACAAAGATCAAATAAGCCTTCGGCAAGAGTTTAAAGAGCTTTTTTGCAGTCTGCAAACCACTGAATTTAAAGGGACACTAGTCACCCAGACCACTTCAGCTCAATTAAGTGCTCTGGGTGCCAGGTCACTCAGGTTTTAACCCTTCAATTGTTAACATAGTTTCAGAGAAACTATGTATACATAGCCGGGTTAATCCAACCTCTAGTGGCAGACTTCCTGAAAGCCGCTAGTCGCACATCTGCAACGCTGGATGCAAAAAGTCGCATCCAGCGTGCAGAAAGTCCATGGGAAAGCATTGAGAAATCCTTTTGTATGGACGTCAGAATGTGCACTCTGCACTCGCCGCACATTCTGCTCCACTCGGGAGCTGATGTTGGCGGGGAGGAGAGGTCACCAGCGCAGAGGGAGCCCGGCCCTTGATTAAGGTAAGTAGCTGAAGGTTTTAACCCCTTCAGCGCCAAGGGAGGGGGGGCACCCTTAGGGCACTAGTGTCAAGAAAACCAGTTTGTTTTCCTGACACTATACTAATAGTTTAAAGGGACTCTAGGTCACCTGAACAACTTCAGCTTAATGAGGTTGTTCAGGTGAGAACTATAGCTCCCTGCAGCCTCTCATGTAAACACTATTCTGAGAAGATAGTGTTTACATTGAAAGCTAGGAACACCTCTAGTTGCAGTCACTCAGACTGCCACCAGAGGGACTTTCGAGTTGATGGATGAGTAATTCGCATTCATCCACTCAAATGTGCCATCAGCAGACAGGGCACTGAACGCGCATCCCGTCTCCCTGAGGCTGTCAGCAGCACGTGGGAGTCTGGGAGATAAGATCTCCTGCACACAGCACCGGCTCGAGCTGACAGGCTGAAGACCGGAGACCGAGCAGAAGGGGAGGATTCAAACTGTAAACTTATTGGGTGACTGAGGTAGGGTGGGCGATGAGTGAGTGGGAGTGAAATAGCTAGCGATAGATATAAATAGATAGAGCGTAGTAGGTTTAACAATAGTTAAAGTGTGTTTGTATACAAACACTATAGAGAGCTCTATATATAGTGTTTGCATACTTACTTTGGGCTGAAGGGTTGTGGGCATAGACAGCGAGCTGAGCTGTCAGCTCAGCCCGTGAACATGCACATGTGCGGTAGAGCGCTCAGTTTTTCCATGGACCGGCATTCAATGCTGCTCTGTGAAGAACCAGATTGGTGCAGTGCGAAGCCGTGCATGCGCACCAGAGAGCAGTAACTCCTCAAGGAGAAGCGTCTGATTGGGCCCTGCGTTTGTCATTTTGACGACAGAGGGGGCATGGCCTGCAAGCAGCTTGGTGCTGGAATGGAGGTAAGTTTTATTAATAAAAGGGCTCGAAAAAGGGAGGAGGAAGAGCACCAAGGGACGGGGAAGAGGAGCACCAAGGGACAGGGAGGAGGACACACAAAACATCCTTCCATGTACACAGAAACAATGCATCCTACACTCACAGAAACACCATGCACCCATTACATGCACAGAAATAACCTTGCATCCCTTACAAAGCTAAGCCAATTAACACAATGTATCCCTTACACAAACGGTATCCCTATACATTACATTTCATAACACCCCACACACATTACACCCTGTAAAATGACATCCTACACTTTACTCCCTGTGAGCATACTCAAGGTCAGGCCCTGGTGGTCCAGATGCGATCTGTGTAAGGCCCCCCCACAAAAAATTATTATTTTTATTTTTTATTTTATTTTTTTTTAAAAGCAGCTTCATGTTCGTTTTTGTGAACACTGCCTCCAGAGAGCCTGTTTTAATACCAGACCAGTGGAGCCAGACTGCAGCCTGAGCTCTTAATCATCCTCTGGTCATTATCTGGTGCCAAGTAGGCAATCCAGTATATTAGTGGCACTAATCTCTAATTTACCTCACATTAAAGGAACACTATAGCCCCCAAAACCAGTACAGATTAATGTAGTGGTTCTGGTGTCTATAGCCTGTCCCTGCAAGCTTTTTAATGTAAACACACTGCCTTTTCAGAGAAAAGACACGGTGTGCAGCACTGGCGTTTGCCTATATTGCAGATCATATGGGTGGGGCATTGGGATGTCACATGGTGGGTAGCAAATTTGTTTGCCTAGAACGGCAAAAATCCTTGCACCGGCCCTGGTTATAATTCGGTTAGGCATAGGATTAAAGTATGGATGAGGTTTATGATAGTATTTAGGTATATTTTGGATTATGGATTTAGATTGTAACTTTGCAAAGGTGTATGCATGGGGTAGTGTACTCCAGAGATGTTGCAGAGTACAGTTAGGCATACACCAAGGTATTGTTTTAATCACATGGATGTAGCTGAACCAAAGAGTTTTTGTTTTACATAAGTAATACACATCAGGTTAAAACAAAACCAAAACAACCTGTAAATCAAGACAAACTATTGTCTAATATTGTAAAGCACTACAGAATCTGTTGGCGCTATATAAATGGCGATAGTAGGAGCAGAGTAAATTTAAACTAACTTATCAGATTTCAGAAAAACCCCCAACGTGAAAACACGTAAAGTATAGTTTTATAGCTAATCCGAGTTGTGTCTGTTTTATATAATAGTTATAAAGTCAGTCAGTTTAAATTTATTTAGAAGTTTTCCTTCCATTTTATTTGCTTCCTGGTTCTACACATCCCACATGGGGTTGTACCACCAAAGCAGGTTAATGTTCTGCCTCATGCAAGTAGAATTTACCTTCTACCTTGTATAGTCCTCCTTCCATACATACTGGACCATTGAATAGATCTACTTTTGTTTCTCCATATAGCGCTCCTTGGAGAGATACAATCACTACTGCTGATTATATATCTTGAGACTGGGATTGTACCATTTACATTTAATACAACAGAGTTTTGAGAACCTCTAAAGTGCAAGTATGCCTTTGCTATATAGCCATAAGCTATTAAGCAAATAATGCAATATATTTTAGAGATTATTTCCAGAAATATTTGGCATTGCATAACAAAAGGTCCTGTTGATGTATGCGTATCTCTTATCCTGGATTATATTGAAAGGGACACTAGGCACCCTGACCACTTCAGTTTATTGAAGTGGTCTGGGTGTAGTGTCCCTGTCCCAGTTAGTCCTGCAATGTAAGACATTGGAGTTTGAGAAACGGCAATGTTTACAATTTCAGTGCAAAAGGGCCTCTAGTGGCTATCTACCAGATAGCCAACAGAGGCGCACCCAGGAGGTTCCAGGACTGTAGGTTGCCTTAGGGATGCTTGACATCGTCCTGCTCTGCAGGACACCCAGTGTCAGTTAAATCCCTATAGGAAAGCATTCATACGATGCTTTGCTATGGGGAGGGCCTAATAAGCTTGCAGTACACACTGTCACGAAGGTGGAGCACAGATTGAGTAAATAAGGGCTTTTAAAAAACTTTTACATGTCAAGGGAGAGCAAAATGACAACTTAAAGATCTGGTTTATGAAGCCTGTAGTAACCCATATTTAATTTACTCCATAAAATTAGATACCATGTGCTGACGTGGACACCGTGGGGAATGGGAAACAGGACACACCAAACAAAAATTATACCATGTTTCCCCTTGTATTAAAATTCTTAGCCATACTCCGCAACATCCAAGTACAATATCCTATATTTATACTTTTGCAATCTAAGAAACCGTAATCCTAATCCTAGTTTAAAGCTCTAATCCTTAACCAAACCCTAAAATACACCTAACCCATACCCCAATTGTACACACCAACTCCAAGTTTAACCTTAATCCTAACTTTATAGTGTTAGACAGATTCCTTCTGTTTATGTCAGGAATTCCCTTGTTGGCCCTCATCGGAAACCCAATGCTAAAATTAAACAAATTTTAAACATAAACCTAAACCCAATATTTATTCCAAACCTAATCTTAATCCCCAATTGAATCCTAACCCCAAAGGTTTCCCTCTAATATCAGTACGGATATTCACCCAGTGAATTTGAAGCCAAAACTGTGGTATGTAGCTGCCATCTACTGCCAAAGCCCAACACTGATCAAAATGTAATTGTGACATTGAGGGAGACACTCCAGGGTCTATTCAGACCTTGAAGGTCACCCAATGACCACATCCAATAAGAATCACGGTGGCTGAGCTCGACTCAGTGTTCTCTATGCTGACATGGGGAGCCACAAGTATCCCCATTAAAATCCATAAAGTCCACACTGAGCTCTGCCACTAATTCTTGTCCCTGTGGACAACGAATTCCCAAGTTGTTTTTGGTTCCTTTTTGTTAGCATCAAGTATTTAACTCCTGCTGGTACATTTACTGCATGAAGGTCTATGCAGTCATGGGCAGCATTAAAGTCTTAAATATTTTGGGAGTTTAGTGTTCCTTTAACTGGTACATAGGGGGAAGCGCAGAGGTCACTTACCCAACATGGACTATGCCCAAGGTTCAAGCCTAGAGTTTGTTGGTTTGTAAGAAGGTAAGATGACAAACCAGCATCTGCAAAGAGAAGACCACTTAGTACAGTAATCTGCAACACAATGGAAAAAAAACAAAAAACCCACACAACCACATACTGAGCCTAATGCAGCTGAGAAATAAACCTGCACTTTGCCATCAATCTTCCAATATGAATGCACTTACAAAATGTATCTTTTAACATCAGTTTGCGCAAAGTCATTTCTCCCATACAGACATCCAAATACAGACACATTAAACACAGACAAACCCACCTAACTTTGTCAGGATCTGTTTTGCCACCACCTCTTTTGCCTTCTCGTGTTTTTCAGTAGGTATAAGGTTTTCTCCAATAACCCACTCATAGCCGCTAAAAGGTGTAGAGTAGTTTGGTATCACTACACGATACCAAAACCTCTGCCAGCCACATGGGCTCATACTTGAAAACTTTATCATAAACAGTGGTCGACCAAGCTTCCATCTTTGACACAGGGCATCTAAACAATCAGTAGCGCTGACCATTTGGGTGCCAATATTCCTCCCATCCAGGTTACACATCTGCTGTACGAGGTGACAGTCACGCAAGATTGAAGGTTTGGTAGATTCCAGCTTCTGCTTTAATTCAGACTTAAGCCAGTCTACAGTGAGTGGTTGCCCATATAGAAGATGCGAGCCTATAGAGAGGAATGCAAATTAGAAAAAAGTTAAATATAAAAATAAAATATGCTAAATCCAAAATATTTCCAAACCATTTAGATGCACCCACTACATTCTTAAAGAGTGATTCAAGTCAAGGATAGAACCAAGTTAATGGTTATACCAAGCATCATGACCACTTCAGTGTTTTGAAGTGTTCTTTGTGCCTGAAATCTGTATGAAACACTGCACATATGGATAACAGATTTGCTGCTAGAAGTGCAATTCCACCTCCAGCAAGGTCAATGAGGAGTTCTAGCTGGTCAACGTCAATCCTGTGCACAGTTTCATGCAGTGTGCCATTCTTTGTCAGAGTGCAATCAGCTGACTGCTAACTGGAGCATCTTCTGCAGAAGTTTCACTCCGGAGAGGGGCCTCTGAGCACAACAGGGACTCCGGTAAGAAACCGGAGCCAGCCTAGTGTATTCCTGGCATCAAAACAACTACAGCAGGCTGTCATTTATGATGCTTGGCATAACCTGTTAAGACTCAATGGAGAAAACCACTTTGGCCCCTTAACTTGCAATAGTATGAATAAGGTTATAATATGATCATTAAGTCATAATGAAAGTTTCTCAAGAAGACCAGGGTAGAATCTACAGAACAGTGTTGTAGAGGTTATGTTGGTAGGATTACCCTAGCCCAGTTCCCAGCAATGGTTTGCCCTCTTACCTGGGTCCTCCAGGCTCCTTGCTGCTCTGCTAAGTCACTCACTTCCACATCTAGTCACCATTCATTAGCCGAGTGTCAGCTGATACCATGCATTAAGATTTGCACAGTACTGACAATAGCCACCCCAGAACGCTTATCTTAAGCTTGCTAATGACACTGCTGGATGTGGCGTTACACAACTGGCAGAAACTTAAACTCCAGATGTGCAGCATTTTTGTTATAATCTTTATTTAAAAAAATTTGTATATAAAACATAGAAAATGATGACTATATGCAGCATTAGTATAGATGCAGTTACTCAGTACTTACTATATTTTCATATGTTGAATAAAGAAAAACATTACTACAACAATGGCTCATCTAAATCACATTTTGCAGATTTTAGATTAATAAAAATATAGGCAGTCATATATGGACAAACACACATAACCAACATCTACAAACAAGAACCAAACAAGACAGGCTGATTATCCCTATAATGCCAAGAGAGGGGAATGACATATCCAAACCTCCAGAATTTACTTCTGTTTTTCAAGTTACATTTTTTCGTATTTACTTTTGCTTAAGCCTGTCCAAGGGTATAAGGAGGAGAATTTTATTCCTTATGGAAATATACTGATACATTTGGAATATTTCTAGAAATAAGGTTGGTTTTTAGTAATCGAGAGCAAAAAATGGGTCGCAAGAGTATTCTGAGGACGGACAGCAGCTAAAATAGCCTGCCCTTCGGTGGGTCCCCGCTCAGAACTCAAGCTGGTTTTAGCTCAACTTGTGCCATTACAGAGAGAACATATCTGAAGCATATCAGACTGGTGCCACCCATACGGGCAGTCCAGATCCGAAATGCCAGCAAGTTCTCTCTGCACGAGAGATACAGCAACCCCAGACGATCGTTTCAGCCTTGTTAGGCATCGTCAGTGAGGCATAGCTGATATCTCTCTAGGCACCGTGAGCAAGGGGTCCACGTCTGGATTACACTTTAAACTAAAGGGTTTTTAGTAATATTATAGTTATTTTTAAGGTTGAGTTTTTATTGACTAATTTCCAACATGTATCCCAAAGAAGAGGACGTGCAGCATTTCATACTGAAACAGTGTACATTCAAACTACATGCATCATAACCACTTCAAATAACTAAAGTTGTCACAGTGCTTTGAACAACATTTAATAAGGTCATATTTAATGGGATAGTATTGGCATAAAACAGCTTTAGCTTGATGAAGCAGTTTTGTTGTATACAGCATGTCCCTGCTCATTGCTCTGCCATTTAGGAGTTAAGTCACTTGATTCAATTTATGCCACACTAGTCACACCTCCCTTGGCTGTGACTCATCCTCCATGGGGAAAAATTTTTTAATATAAATTAGTTTCATTTTCAATCTGTACAGTGATTTTAATTGAATGTAATCACACACAGGATGCCCTAGAAGGCTATTAACAGCAGTACCTAAGAATTTAAGTTAAACACTAGAGGAAGTTTAAACATTAGATCACTTTACAGGAAGTTTTTGGAAGGTTGTGCACAGTACATCCAGTGAGGTGCGACTAAGGCTGCATAAACAAGTGATTTTACTTCTAAATGACAGAATTAAGCAATGAGACTGCAGGATCTAATGCCCAAACTCCTACATTAAGCGAGAGTTGCTGTGGTGCCTACAGTATGCCTTTAAGGATGTCCAAGTAAAGTAAGACATAAGCCAGATTGTTATGAATGATGTACACACTAGTTCGGAAAAGTCGCTGAATAAGTTTATCTGCATAATTTCCAGTAGATACACAGAATTATGCAATAATTAGCATCTGGCACTCTAGCTAGTGTAGTAAACAATAGTTTCAAAGTTTGTACATGCCACAGGTCCTGAATGTAACCCGTACCAAGTGTGACTGGGCTGGAAGTTAGTTTTTGCCACAGGAAGAATAGTGTCAGAACACTGATATTTGTTTTAGTGCCACTACCTGCTTTAGTGTTTATAGTGACTTTAGTGCCCTGGCACCTTCCCAGAGTGAAGTAGTAAAACTATTTAATGGAAAACTATAGTCACCTAAATTACTTTAGCTAAATAAAGCAGTTTTACTGTATAGATCATTCCCCTGCAATTCACTGTCATTTAGAAGTTAAATCACTTTGTTTCTGTTTATGCAGCCCTAGCCACACCTCCCCTGGCTATGATTGACAGAGCCTGCATGAAAAAAAACAACTGGTTTTACTTTCAAACAGATGTAATTTACCTTAAATAATTGTATCTCAATCTCTAAATTGAACTTTAATCACATACAGGAGGCTCTTGCAGGGTCTAGCAAGCTATTAACATAGCAGGGGATAAGAAAATCTTAATTAAACAGAACTTGCAATAAAGAAAGCCTAAATAGGGCTCTCTTTACAGGAAGTGTTTATGGAAGGCTGTGCAAGTCACATGCAGGGAGGTGTGACTAGGGTTCATAAACAAAGGGATTTAACTCCTAAATGGCAGAGGATTGAGCAGTGAGGCTGCAGGGGCATGTTCTATACACCAAAACTGCTTCATTAAGCTAAAGTTGTTCAGGTGACTAGTGTCCCTTTAAGAATGCTTTGACAACTTACCAAGGGACCACCCACTGCCGCGAGAATCTCTGCCTTCGAGTTAGAGCCCGCTGTGCGGTCCACATGCACACACTTGCGGAGTCCCGGGTCAGTTCTCTCGACCAATGAGTTGGCCCTGCACTTCAGGGCTCAAATCAGTGGAGCCAACATATTGACACCAGGAGGCAGCAGTGACAGGCATCAAGATAAGTTGTCAAGTCATTAAAATGGCCTGTCACCACAACTACAACAGTTGTTACTTTGCTTTGAGTGTTCCTTTAATAAGGAAGAGATCAATGTGTAAGTAATACACACAAGTTAACGAAAACTACAGGATGTTTCTTGCAAGAACCAAGCTCACAGGAAAAAATTATAGAATACCTTCACGCAAACTCTTTTTTGCTAAAGCAGCTGCTCTATGCGAACAGTACTTCACGACAGCCATTACTTCATCTCTCTTCTTGCGGCTTGGATGCAGGAATACCTCTTCCACTCCTGGGGTCAATTCTTTTAAGACACTCGTCAACATTAATTTTTCCAGCATACATGGAAGACCATCTAATATGATTTCGCACTTCTCTGTACTTCGGCAGACCAGGATCCGACAGCCATTTGTAATTTCATAGCCATTTAATGCAGCAATTGCAGCATAAGCATGGCGCCTGCTTGTATAGCGGGCATATGCAAAGCCTCGATTGAGGCCACTAAATGTCATCATCAAGCGGAACTCATACAATTTTCCAACGCTTTGAAATAGTGGGATTAATTGGTTTTCATAACACTCTTGTGGTATTTTACTAATAAAGACTTCTGACCCACTGCCTGGCGCATCTCCAATCCAACCTGCCAATGCAAAAAATAAGATTAAACATTGCTTTTAAAATTAGGTGCATACCACTAAGTCACTAAAAAAATAAATAAATAAAACTTTCTTTTTACACAAAAAGTGTTACCAAACGGTGGGAACACAAGTTGTTTTCCCCTATTTTGAGGCAGATATACTATTCTTCCTTTGGTCTTAAGTTTTAAACAGTTTTGAGCAGAGGCTGGAGCAAAAAGGTGCTTCTGTAAGCTAAAGAAAAATGCAGGACTGTAATAATTTGATAGTCTGGTAACCTCCTGTGCAGACCCCCAATACACTAGCTGTTACAGTACATGGATATTTATAAAAATTGAATAGTATAGTGAAGCCACCACTTTATCACAATCCAAAAACCATAGGCCAAACACCCTTGTCTACTCTATTGGAATTCCAAGTTTAATGAATAAGTCCTTAACACCGTGCCATAAATACTAAAAGCAGAGCGTAAAAGGCTAGACACCCACTCTCCAGAATAATGCAGCATAGACCACTTTGCTAGTCAGCATATCAGATTCTGCTGACTGGCCATGATGTGGTTAATGTTCTATGAGTGAGGCATGAACAACTCAAATAGCAGTCTGAGCAGTTTGTTGCATTATGTATCAATTTCTCATGGTTCAAGCTTAGAAACAAAAGGACTTCTGGTTGAAGATGGAAACCAGACACATCTGATCGCATAATTTCTAATTTTAGAGTAGGACAGACTATTTGCAAAACGTAGTTGCAAGAAAGGACTATTTTGTACCAAGCAAGGGACAGGACTTCGATAAGTTTCATGTTCAGATCTACCTCAGGTTCTCAGGAGGTTGCTCTCTGTATTCCCCAAAAGATGGTTGTAGCAACCATTCATATGTCCTCCACAAGCTGATTTTCTGTGTTATTCAAACTTTACTATGACATGCCTTCTGATTAATTTCTGGCCAAGACATTTCTTCAATAGAGGAAACTTTGCATCAGAGATTATGAGTTCCCATAACAATTGACACATGTTAACAGTAGCATCAGATCTTATTTGGCAAGAAGTGGGCTAAAACTCATTTTCTAGATTACATTCTTCTTTCATCACCTAATTTTAAATTGGATCCACAACTTTTGAAAATACTTTATAGATTGGCTAGTGGAAACTGGTATAGGGCTAAATTAGGGTTCGTGGCCACTCACAGCCCAGTCCCCACTGGGGGTATTTCTAAGGCAACAATTACACTTTCTAGCTATACCAAATCATATCACCAATGGGCACTAATTGGCTGACTGTTAGGTACTCACTCATCGATTAAAAACAAAAAAGTTTAACCCCTTAAGGACATGACATGTCATGATTCCCTTTTATTCCAAAAGTTTGGTCCTTAAGGGGGTTAAAAAATATAAAAGTGACATTATAGGTCACTTTATCTCACTGGGGAAGCCATAAGCGGGCCCATTAAGCCTAGTAAAGGGACACCGTAGGAACGGTTAGTTTTAAATCTGCACTTTGTGTAGCCAATAGCCAAATTTAGAATATTTTGAACAGGTGCAAGATCCCCATTTTCCATATCTTTACATACATGGAACATATTTAGAGTTCTAATGGGACAAAGTTTATCCAGAACCATTGCCAAATATAACAAACCCATTGCTCTTTTGTAGAACATTCTCCAACCTCAGGAGTGGCAACCTTAATAGTAAGTCTAGAATCAAGTCTCCTCAGGACTAGCAGAGGACAAAGTCACGAATAACAGGTTCACAGGCAATAAAGAGGCAAAAATGGGTCAAATACCAGAGACAAATCGTAATAGGACATCAGCACAGTAAAACTGAGCAAAGTGGACTGAGAGGCATTTACCACCTGGGGCCATGATGTGGACTAGCATTGTGAGCTGCACAGAGGAGGGCATGACAGGTCTTTTTTGCAAGTAAAATTGCTTAACCAACTTGAAAAATACTAAAGGGCACTGATCAAAGAATATGTAGAGATGCAGTTTGTTGCTCAGTGTTTCTACAAGAATAACGGTCTACTGCTAGATATTATAGAAAGTGAACACATCGACAACTACATAGAAAATTTGTAGCCATGCCAATATTTAGCGTTTCTCAGAATTCTCCAGCCAGATGTACAAAGGGCTGGCCACAGTTTTTTTCCAGTCATCTTTACTACAAGATTTGCCCAGAGTACAACTGGCAACCATGGTCCAAATGAGCAAGTAAAAGTTACTTTAACTCGCTTCCTCCCAGAAGGCTGTAGGAGAACCAACCATGTTACTTGGGTGCGATAACCCCCCCCCATTATAATCCAGTTGTGGTTATAGAGCCTGGCCTCATCTAGTTTAAATAGGTATAAAAAAAGTCTAGTGGGATGAGTTGGTATGGCTAAAAAGGATGTTTTTAGACTATGCCTTAGCCATACATCTAGTAGTGGGCTGTACAGTGTGTGGTGAGGGACCCTTATTAAACTGCTGGAAAAAGCTTAACACTGAATGGGTAGACCGCACCAGAGAACGACAAGCACCATCACCAATTCATTAAAATTGTAATTCCTAAAGTGTCCCTTTAACCATACCTCCCAACATTAGGTGTAAAACACATAGGAAAAGGCAAGCCTGTATTAGGGATAATTCAATACGGTGAGATCTTCAATACAGTGAGATCGCTCAGGGGACCACTCCACAGACCTTTTTGCCTCACGCACGAATACACAACTACCGAGGTACTACAGCTGGTTACCAGACCCTCAGAGCAAAGCAGTGGATGCCTTTCTACAGCACTGGCCCCCGATAGGAGCATATGCTTTCCCACCATTCTCAATGTTGGCAAGAGTACACAAACTACGCACGTCCAAGACATCTCTGATCCTGATCACACCCTTCTGGAGAAGCCAAGCATGGTTCCCCGACTTACTCGCTCTGTCACACGACCATCCGCTGGTCCTGCCGATGTTTCCCATGCTTCTTACGAATCCGGATGCGGAACCTCATCCTCTAATACTTCAAGAACGTCTAGAGTTGGTAGCTTGGACGCTTTCAGGGTATCTTGGGCAATCCCAGGCCTATCGCAAATGGCTAGGGACCTCCTTTGGGACTCTTGGGCACCAGGGACTAGGCGTAGCTACATGGCGGCATGGGATGTATGGGAAGGGGCCTCGATCCCTTTACAGCACCTGTATCGGCCATACTAAATTTTCTCTCCACTTTGTTTTCCAACGGGAAATCATACCGGTCCATTAACGTTACACGCTCTGCTATATCGGCGGCGCATGTTCCAGTTAACGGTACCCCAGTGGGTCAGGAAGCCTTAGTATGTCGGCTATTACGAGGCATCAAATTAGCTAGACCACCGGCTCCGAAATATCGCCATTTATGGGATGTGGTCATTCGATTCATTCAAAACTGGCTGGATAACACTGCCCTATCACTCAGACAATTAGCGGCCAAACTTACCTTGTTGTTATGCTTAGTCTCTTTCCGTCGTGTATCGGATGTTCGGGCTTTCGACGTGGATGGATTTACTATAACCCCCGGTGTTACGTTTTTGATATCCCGAAGGACTAAGACGGACTCCAAATCCGTGTCCTACCCTTTTTTCCCGGCGGGTCCTCGTCTTTGTGTCGTCTCCACCTTACTCCGTTATGTGGAGGTTACGGCGCCTCTTCGGGCTACCGGAACGGGACAACTGTTAATTTCATATACCAGACCATACAAACCAGTTACCACTAGTACGTTAGCCAGATGGATACGGTGGTTATTGTCCTTAGCCGGGGTAGATGCTAGTTTTGGGGCCCATTCGGTTCGAGGGGCGGCGGCATCAGGGGGCCTTCTCGGCGGGTGCCTCCCTTGCGGACATTCTACGTACGGCGGATTGGACCAAAGAAAATACCTTCAGGGTGTTTTATTTTCGCCAATCATCGCATGCGTCCTTAGCGTTTTTACCCCAGCGTTAAAAATGCAAAATAGGAAGCCTCCTGTCATGTAATAAAATTGTAGATTATGCTAGCGTAGTGTACAGATAATCTTAATTTTAATAATGACAGGAGGCGAGTATTTTCCCCCCCTTTTTTCTTTCCCTCCCTATACTCTTGGGACTATTTTCTCTCATCTCTAATTGAACATGGATGGATTCACTTACACTTTCATCTAGCTATGGGTAAAAACTGAGGCAAGGGACGCTTAGACCATATGTCGTTAGATAGCCAGCACAGCTTTTACAGATCAGAGTTGATTCACACAATGTACAAAGGATTATAGGTCTGTTAGAGGTATTAAACGTTAATTTTGTTAGTTTTAGATTAAAGATACTAAACGTTAATTTTGTTAGTTTTAAGATTAGGATTAGACGTTGATATGTGGACAACAGTTGTTTTCCCACGCCTTTCACTTCTTTCTATTTCTTTCAGCTTAACATCACTTCATGAGACGGAAGTCGGATCATAGATTTCCTCTGCATTTCCACAAGTTGACAAGTTATACTGTTCAAGTTTTTTCATCACCTACGAAAGAGTTTTACCTCCGGCATGGTTACAACAAAGAAAGAGGAAATGGGAAGCCTGTCAGAGACTTATATACAGGAGGTGCTGGACTCTGATTGGTTAAATACTTTTTCTTTCTGATTGATTGACTTGTGCTGCTGGAGGCATAAAGTAAGGTAAGCAGCAAAGAAAGAGGAAGTCATGTGTCTGTCAGGGCTTTATATATGAATGTGATACCTGTTACTGATTGGTTTAAAGTTTATTGATTGACTTGTGCTGCTGGAGGCATAAAGTAAAGAAAGTTATGCAAAATATGAAGCCTCCAGTCATGTGATAAAATTCTCTGGTTTCCTCAGATGCAGAAAAAAAAAAAAGGATGGATTTACTAGCTTTTGAGCATTCTGTGCTGTCACTAAGTTTAAAATAATTGAAAAACATTTTACAAATAATTCTAGGTCATCTAAAGAACTGGCATACTCCGCAGAATCCAGACTTTCACCAGCTTCTCTACATAGTTCAATAGTGTTTGAAGAAATCCCTGGTATTTTAGAGATGTATGTATATTAAGTCAAGATTTATAGTGGGTAAAGTGTATAGTTTCTTACAGTAGTAAGGCAACACTTACAATCTGAAATTTTTTTATTCTTGGAATTAGTTCCAGTTTTATCCTTCGGCCTGTACATCAATAAATGCAAAGAAAGTTTATAAGAAACTTCAAAGCAAGGATATGTGCCCTTTAAGCTATCCTTTCAGTACGTCTTCAGACCAAGACAAATATATGAAATATTATTGTAGGAAACAAGCACTCTGATGCTCCAAACCTGTTCTAGCCATTTGGCAAGTAAGTCACACTGCAGAACCAACTTCTAGTCACCAACCAGTTAACTGCAAGACATTGCAGTCAGGAACTCTACAGCATTTACAAGGCAGCACTTAAAGGGACACTATAGTCACCAGAACAACTACAGCTTATCAAATTTGTTCTGGTGAGTAGAATTATTACCTTCAGGCTTTTTGCAGTAAACATTGTCTTTTCAGAGAAAATGCAGTGTTTACATTACAGCCTAGGGATAACTTCACTGGCCACTCCTCAGATGGCTGTTAGAGATCCTTCCTGGGTCATGGCTGCCTAAAATGCATCCAAACATTCAGTATCTCCTCCCTCTGCTTTCAGACACCGAACTTTCCTCAGAGATTCATTGATTCAATTCATCAATATGAGGAGATGCTGATTGGCCAGGGCTGTGTTTGGATCATGCTGGCTCTTCCCCTGATCTGCCTCCTTGTCAGTCTCAACCAATCCTATGGGGAAGCATTGTGATTGGATCAGGCAAGCACATGTCAGTAGACTGTTTTTCTGAGTCTAACAGCATGCAGATCTACAGCTTCAGGTTTGAAAACAGTAAGATTTTTACTATATTTATGCAGCCATGAGGGGTCCAGGGGGCTAGATGGTGGTTTTAACCCTATAGGGTCAGGAATACAGGTTTGTGTTCCTGACCCTATAGTGATCCTCTAAGGTGCATGACCAATACAGCACACTGTAGCAATTATGGTGTCAGGATTGCCCCCTAATGTAAGTAGTAAAACGGTTTTACAATGGGTTGACTTAATTGGGGTTTACCATGCAACACTCCCCACCTCTTACCCAAATTTGGTGATGCAGGATGATTCAGTGCTTTCCTACGGGAAGGTCTAAAGCGCACTTGCGCATTAGGATCAGCGCCAAGGGGTATTGTTAGAAAATTAAGTGTTAACCCTTTATTCACCCGGGTGGGAGGTAGTGTTGTATTCTTGGCACTATAGTATCCCTTTGAATATATTAGAACACCAGAGTAAAATGCATTTAAAGTAACAGTTTTACTGCAAAACACTTAAAACTTAAAAAAAAAAAAACACACACAACACATGCCACTCAAACTATACAGGTGGCCCAAAAGTAGGTGTACAGATGAATCAATTAAATTATTCGGAAAAGATTATAAGGGTACACACACACACACATAGACATCCAAAGCGTTAGTTACATATCAGTGAAGCAGTTAAAAAGAATAGTGGAATGTTGCAACATTGATAGTGAAAAAATATAAAATAAAAACCCATACTGTATATACCACGTGGCCCAAAAGTAGGTATAAATGGTACTGCAATAATTTTAATGAAGTCATGTCTTCAAAGTCATGAAGTATTACATGGTTAAATTTGAACCCCACGTAAAGCTTTCACTACTGTGTGTGGCTGGGCAAACAACTGCTGATGTTAAAACATTTAAATTTTGCTTGGCTTTAACAATGCTCTAAGCAGGGAGCGACATTCACTTTACATGCAACAATTTTTAACTTGTACCTTTGTCAAGCATCCTTACCTGGAGGAGGTCCACCATATTTCCTCTGACCATTGACTTGCACTAGGTTTGTTTTAGTCTCCTTTACCCATGTCATTAGGGACAATTTGTTTGCATCATTTATGCCATTTATCCATACCTGTAAGCACACCAAATAAGATTTCTATGTGAATCTTATTTTTTATTATTAAAAAAATAAAAAATCTAAAAACACAAGTAGTTATTGGGAAAACTAGGTTTATCCCCATATTTAATATGCTTTTGTGAAGAGTGAAAAATAAGAGTAAATTTAGATATTCATAGCTTTAACCTGCAATGGTCACCTCCATCTTTGCTCCCTGTTAACCAGTCCTTACAACCTGGCAGTCAGAAAGCATACACAGTCGAGAAATTATGTAATATCAGTCCAACTCCTCATTTGCAATGATTGTCCCAGCTTTGCCTTGTCTGCACTGGATCATTTTCTGAATCTTTAACATAAACTTGCAGTTTGTGTTCAACTGCAATTTGCATCTCATTTATTGCACCAACAGATATTAGCTATTGTTTTTAAGATGGCAAAAGAGCCATAATTTGATGTTACATATACAAGTTCTCATTAATTATAAAAAAGCCACATTCCCTCCCTCTCCCGCCCCCCCATCCCACCCCACAGTTTTGGCAATATTAGCATGTGCATTATAATAGGTCCAGCTTAGGAAAAGTATTTCAAAATAAATTAAAGTTATGTGTATTTATAGAGTACATAATGATATGTATAGGATTTCAGCTTATTTAGAAAGTGTTACAGGTCCAAAAAAATTACAAGGACTAAAATAAAATTTCAATGTGAAACAATTTTAAAAGTTGGTATGTTTGTCTTGTAAGTTCAGTAGCAATCAAAAAACAAAATTGCCACAAATATTTATATAAATTAGACATCACAGACTATTGACTCAAGGTTATTTTGACACTTTACGTAGCCATTTCATCACCAATCTCTGCTAAATATTGGAGTAAAATATGTGTTTCTCTATTTTGGCATGTACACAAGGTTTTTGTAATATGTATTTTGTAAAGCTGCTGTGTGCTATTCCTGCACAGAACTCCATACTGTGTTCAGCTACATCTGCGAGTACGATACCCCCATTGTATGCCTTTGGCACTACTCCGTTAAGCTACAATGCCATTTCAGTTTCTATAGTTAGAGTTTTCATAGATTGATTTGATGGGCCCATGTCTCATTTTGGGGAACTATAGCAGTTTGACTGTTTAAATAACCCAACAAAGATCTTCCATTTGAGAAAGCCGACACTCCAGGGTATCTTATACAGTGTATATTGTGCCTTAATTTGTCACCATTTTTCCACCAATTTATGTCAAGGTTTGTGATGCGGAAAAAAATAAAATGGAATTTTTACACAGGTTGCATTTTGGGTTAAATTTCAGTCTGGAAAGGGATGATTAAGTCATCCTAACTTAGCATGCCAATCTATCGACGCCCTAACTGCAGAATGGCTGGGCAATTAGACTAACAAGTGAGTCTCTCCCTATATAAGGGGGCGCACACACTCACACCCTCACCCTTGGGATGTCGGACATGCAGTATTTTCACCGATTTATTTTCTCACTCTTTATTCTGTCTCTACTAGCTAGCTTTTTATCTTCCTGTCCTACAAAAACTTTCTGGTTAACCTTTGTTAGGACTGTATATTACTCTTTAGATATTGTGTATTGGTCTCTGACACCCCCACTAATAAGTTATTTACTCTCACCCTGGCATATTTAAATTAATCTAGATTGGGGACAGGGCCAAATCCTGGGCTAAAACAAGCAGTCTAATAAAGCTACCATTAGTTTAAGCAATTTACTGGATGACCCTATACTCCCAGGAGTTAGTGGAGAAGCCTTATAAGGCTAGTCATTTTTTTATTTTGTTTCTAGTTTTGGGACGTGTGTCTATATGTACATTTTGTGCTGGTCCGGCTAAATTTAACAGGTATTTAAACAAGATACTTTGCTACTATCCACCCTTCACTCACCCACTTTGTTGTGGTTTGAGTGACTTCATTTTGTTTTGTTTCCTTCTATTCATATATTATAGTGTTGAGCCCTGCAGACACAGCTGGAGTGTCTTTACTGGTGCATAGATCTTAAGTGGTGTTCACTTAGGTATCTGATGTTTTGATTAGCCAATCGGCCTTCTTGTGCAGTATGGGATAAATACAAGTAGTTCTAAATGAGCACTATGTTTACACTGTTCTATTCAAATTCAGCCACCGCAAGTATTTTATGTGCTCTGGTGGTTACAGTTGTGAATCTTGACTTTAGCCATCCAACGGTCTCATATCCAAATGTTTGGAATTGCCTGGATGAATGGTCTGAACTCCATACCAGACTATAACAAACCAATATACATAGCCATGAAGTGTTCGGTTTCATAGACCATTCTTTCCCACTAGTGATATTGTGATGGGATTTCATCTAGGCCCAAAATTTAGTAGGCCTAAAATCTCCATCTGTAGTTCCATATTGCCTCTCCATACAAGGTAATCCTGTGTATCCTGTTTGCTGATTGGTGTAAGGGTACAGATGGGGGGAGGCATATTTTACAAAAAGCCTCTACTCCATTTGCTCAGACCTTTTGAACATTAGTTCAGCTGAGACCCAATTGGTAATAAAGACCTTTGCTTCCTGAAATCACATTCCATTCTCTTAAAGGGGCATGTTGCCTGTCCATATAAGGTGATCCTGTTTGCTGATTGGTGTAAGGGTACAGATGGGGGATGCATAGCTTATAAAAAGCATCTACTCCATGTGCTCAGACCTTTTGAATAGGAGATCAGCTGAGACCCGATCGGTGAGAATGAAGACCTTTACTTCCTGAAATGCCATGTGTCCGGACTCTGATCAATCTTTAAGGTCATCACATGGTTAAAAGTGTATGAATAACCCTTTAACAAAAAATATGAGTATTTGAGGTTTTATTCAAAAGTGTGACACAAAAGTACTTCTTTCCTTCGTACCTTGTCCTGGGATCAGTGTTTTTACACACCGTGAGACTTCACACACTGGATAAAGTAAAATGGCTTGGTCTTTTTATGGTTTCAAAATTCATAACACAACAGCAGGAACAAAATAAATCAAAATTCTTGCCCTTCTGAGCACTGACTTAACATTGTAAATTGACTGTTGGATAGCTTGTCCATTTCCCCAATCTCAAAGAAAGCAAGACAAAATCTTATTGGAAAGGGAGTATTTAGCCAAGCCTGCAATTAGAGTGACTAGGCATCAAAACAACTTTAGCTAAATGCAGTGGTTTTGGTGTATAGATCATGCCCCTGCAGTCTCACTGCCACAGACACAAGTAATGTACATTGCCTTCCCCTTTAACACTCCCACCAGCAGCTCACTTTGATTTTTTTTGCAGTTCTGCTGCCTAAAATGTCAGATATTTTAAATAACAGGCTCTTTAGTGAATACCAGGTCAGCACAAACACTTACTGCACCTGGATGTAAAAATGGTTGCCATATGTTCTGCTTGAAAGCCTAATGTAGAGACATGGCACTGAGGCGGTCAGTCACCCTGTTTACAAGCTGTGTGTAATGTAGCACCTAGCATCCAATACACAACATGCAATGGAACGTTCCCTAGACATACAATATGCAGATCAAAGACCTTTACAGTGCTCAGACACAGGTAGAAGTAAAGCTTGTTCCCTGCCACACCCAATTGAGGTTTTAACCATCTTCCAAATATACTGACCTAGCATCTACTTTATTTAAAGAAAACCACTACATTAGCCCCCCCCCCAAATTAAACGAGACAGCCTGACCGTTTTACAGAGAGCTCTCTAATAAACGTCAACAGGATTGGCAATGGGTCATGCTGTACAGCGCACGAGTTATGTAAGTGGCGTAGTAAATAAGGGCTGCATTCTATTAGCGAACACTAGGGGGCGGTGTGCGGGGTATCAGCTATAAACTAAAGTAATACAAATAAACCAATGAGTATTTCTATTTCTATTGCAATTTTAAAATGCTTGGGGTTAACTGCAATTAAACCAAAATATTAAGTAATTATGTTAAAAGTAGTATTACTCCTTATTGAAATACTGACTAAACAGGCAGATAATGCCATTAATGTTTAGAGTCCTTTAGTATTGAATTTGCTAATCAGCACTACATTCTAGAATAGAACACACAGCAGATCCACTACCCTGACATAAACTACAGATGAAGTTACCTGGCTCTCGGTTTCCTCCTGCTGTTCCTTCACACCAAACATATCAATGTCCATGTTCTTAGCCTTCTCCAAAGGTGTGGCTCCTGCAGCCTTATATAGACACTGGCTCTTCTAGAACAGTCTAACACATGACCATCATCCAATCATAAACTGCCTATCTTATTCCTCAGGCAGCACAATGTGGCCCTTAGGAAAGGATGCTAAAACACTGAATTTATATTGAACACATCATCATTCTAGACAAATGTGTTAAAGTACTATGGAAACCTCTTTCTTCTACAGAGAAAACAGATTTATAATTAGTTAAGGAACCCCTCTGGAGTCTGGTCATTACAAAGCAAACTTGGTTATTTGAGACATAACTAGTTGGGAAAAAAATATTTCTCTTTACTCAATTTTTTCTTTCAGGTCAGCTACTAATATATCACAAACATTGCTAACTGGTTCCACACTTAACAAATCTAAATAGAATTTTTAAATTGTGGAGCTATGATATGGAAACTGCATATTTAGGCAATTGTTGTTAAGCTTCACTAATGACAGGGATGTTCACTACAGTGAGAATTGTCAGGAATTCAAAGTGACTTGAGATTTAAGGCCTAAATAGCTGAAATGGAAAAATTCTCCTAATTCGCTGATTCCAGTTCAACTACTTTAACTTAAAGGACAACTGTCACTTCAAATTTTTAACATACTAGCTTATATATACACATATAATGTCATTGTTGTTATATTTATTCTGGATTTTTTTTCCTGGGACTGATGTGTTGGCTTTTTACATGGTTCCACTTGCTAAAATAGTGGCCGGTTGATTTGTCCGTGTCTCTGCCTATCTATAATAGATGCACTGTATTTTCTTTTTTTCTGATAGCGATGTTCCGATTGTGTCTGAAAAACAGAAAGTAGGGCAGAAAAAAAATCCTTCTGATCACCCAACATGGAAGCTTTGTCACCCAATGTTCTAAAGTGTATGAAATGTTGATAGCAGCTCTGTCATTACATTTTAGTCACTAGATGTTGGAGTTTAAAGGAACACTCTAAGCACCATAACAACTTAATGTCACTGAATTTATTATGATGCCTTGAGGTTCTGGCAAGCCATCTTACCATAAAAGAAAACGCCAGACCCCTAAAGTACTTTAGCTTTCTGAAATGCTTTGTGTTAGGAGAACATCATCTTTTTAGTTTTCATTTTACAAAAAGTGCAGTTTGAAATAGAAATTGACACTTTTGTAACCTAGTAACAAGGCTTATTACTTCATGGTAGTTCAGCTCTGTGAAGCTAAACTTAAAAAGCAGGCAATTGCTCGGCGTGCCAACCTTGCAAAGACTTCTCATTGAGTTACACTGGGAAATCTGTGATAGAATAACCTCAGAAAGTCTGATCTGGTGAAGAAGGAGCAGGCTTGTAAATATTTCTGCAACTTTTTCAACCCATTTTTAGATATACCCCCAATGAAAACATGAATGCATTTAAACAGTTTGTGAATGGTTTAACCCCAAAGTGCTACAGATGCCGCTTGTCCTCCATGTCCCTCTTTCTCCTCCTCTGGCTTCAATACAGATGAACTTCATTGAGCTGCCCTAAACCCTAAAATATTCAAATATGAGTGTACTATGTTGACTTATTAGAATCATGTAATGTATTTATTTATTCTAAATGAAAATTCAAAGTATGATTTTAAATGCTTTATTTAAACCGCTTTATTTAAAACAATAATTTAAGTCATAAGAAATATAAAAGAAACAACATTCACTTAAATACAACATGGGCACAATGAAAAGGCCCCAATATATTTATCAAAATACTAAATAAAAGGCATATAAAATGGTATGGTAAAGGTGTAAAAAGGGACAAGAGGGCAATACCAATGGAAAAGGTTACATAAAAAGCCAGTGGGGGAGTACACAATTATTATGTATAGCTTATCATAATTAAACAAAGATGTGCTTATCCACTAAACCGTGAACCAATTATAGTGTCTACTCTAGAACACGGAATTGGCTGTAATTAATGTGTAACTTTCATTCAGCTTAATTTGGCAGGTTAAATTCCTCTGATGGTTCCTTTCGAACTATAAACTAAATTAAAAATGCATTGAGCTGACTTTACCCTGATATTTTCATGCGGATCTCATTGTTGCAGTGAGATTTTAGCTGACTTACAACCGAATGGCAGCCAAATTTCATTTAGGAAAAATAAGAAAAGAAAAAAAAAAAGTGCTGCTGGGGATAAGGGGAGTTTTAAAGAGGAGTTAGGGTTGAGGTATCCTTGTAGGATGGAGGAGGACTCACTATATCAGGGAAACTAGATCAAACAAATAAATTAAATTAAAGGAATACTCTGTGCACCATAACAACTTCATTGAAAAGAATTGTTATGGTGTTAGGATGCCCCTGGGAGCATTCTTATCTGAAGAGCGTTAGTACACCGTTTTCCAACGATTTAACCCAAATGTTGCCTACGGTGCGAGGAGTACTGCCATGCAGAGGCTAGAGGGGGAACTACGGATTAGCTTAGAACATCTGCTGACTGCTCTAGCCAATCAGTGGTGCCCCTAAAACTCAATTTCAGAAGCTGAATGCCGCTGAGGAAACTGGAAATGCAGTACTGGTAGCAACCTTTGAAGTCAAACTGTTTGAGAATGGCTTAACCCCTTCAGGTAAGAAAGTGCCTGGGGCATCGTGGTACTATCACAATTATATTAAAATAAGTTAATACAGTGCATTGAGTGTTCCTTTAAGCAGACTTGTACACAAATTCTGTTCAGCTGTACTGAACAAATAAAATGCCTGTTAATCGCTGAATAGACAAATCAATTAATTTGTGATTTGCTGAACAAATCGATTTGTTCAGCCAGCGATTAACAAGCATTTGATTTGTGCATAAGTCTACTTAATTCTCTCCATTTGTTAAATCCAGTTCCCCTGATATAGTGAATCCTCCCCAAACCTATAAAGACTACAATTAAGTAGCGATTCAGTGGTCTGTCGATGCCTGAATAAACAAACATTAACAGGATTATTCACTAAAATAAGAATTTTCAGAAATTCAACATGAATTTTGACCTGAAGAATTGTTCCAGTTCCACATGATTATCCTAAATTTGAAATTCACTTTAATTTCCTGACAAATCTCACTTTAGTGAATAACGGTGAAAGAGTGGGTTAATTTTAACATAAATCAGCAGCAACTGATGGCAGCCAAACATGAGTGTAAACACAGCTGACATAGCTTACCTCTTGTGAGTGGTCAAATGGGTTTCACATAGCCAACCTTGGGTTGAGAAAACCAAATTTGGAGACATGAACGCCATTTGGCACTTGGTGAATTGACTTCTAGTTTAAACTATGTAAACTGGAATTAACAAGCAGTAATTGTGGAGCTCTTTAGAATAATTAATGATGTCGACAGTACTAAATTAAGTTAAAAAATAAACCACATTTGGTTTCAAGAAATCATCAACTAACATTTCCTACATTACATATTTGGTACTGCTACTCATCATTTCTGTATTATAGCAATGTGTTGTCTAATATAGCAAAATGGCTTCATTCTTTTTAAGACTTTCTGGGTTTAAAGGTTTTGAAATGTCCTACTGTGTGGTACAACGTGTTCTTTCATAGGGGAAAGCAGTGTAAAAGAGGTTTAAAAAATACATCTGAAGGCAAGGTGCCTGAAGTTTGCACTAGACCTATAATAGACAGAAACTTGATATATACACACGAGTCACATTGTGCAGTTATACATGCAAAACACACAGATATTGGTACTGTGCAACATGAATAAAGACAATTAAAATTAAAAGCCACTACAAAGATGTTTTTCTGCCAAGGACAAAATGCATCCACCACTCCATATAATGCAGTGTGTGCCAACGTCAAATATGCACCGAACTAACATTAGCCACAGACTTGTTCTGGGCTGGCTAATGATGCTGCTAGAGGTGCAGTTACACATCCAGCAGCAAAGGGGTTAAACATCCCTATGTGCAGATTTTCATAGTAAAACACTGCACAAAGAGACTCAAGGCACTGTGACCACTTCAAATCACTGAAGTGGTCATGGTGCTTGAAGTAACCTTTTATATCTTTGTACTGTAATGTAGATGCAACATGAACTTAAAACAGCAGAAGTCTGCCTTTATCACTGAGGACTATCTTCCACGATGAATGCTTGCAACGGTTTTAATTTGTTCATACACCGGTGGGGAAGAATTTAGAACATCTTCCTGAACAGTGACCTAAGGAAGAAGCAGAGGAAGAAAGTAAGAATAATTTGCCGTTTTACTTTTAAATCTAGAAATGAAAACAAACAATTGCTTCTACGAAAGTAAATGTCCTATATCTCTACATTACAGGTGTACAAAATATGTTCTAGTTAGGTATTAAGTACCAGCTACCAGCTGACCTGGCCTATCTGTTTTTTTACCTTTATTGTACTTTAATCAATGTCTAAATTGGTAATAAAATAACATTTCATCTTTACAAAAGCACTAATCGAATTACTTCTGTGTTTATAAAGAGAACCTTTTAACATCCCGGAATACATTGCACATATTCACATAATCCATTCAACATCACAGCAATTCTTTGGAGCAACTATCTTTTAAATACAATCAATTTAGTCTGACAACTCAGACTGGGTTAATAATGTTTTTATGTAGTCTGTGGACTTGAGGTACAGTGGCCTAAGGGAAAATTATTGGGGTTGGAAGGAGTCAGGTGGCTGTGTACCTATTGCATTGTATGTGTGGATTAATGTCAGGGAAGCAACAGGTGGACATAGAATCTTGCCATGCCACTGGGCATGTTGCAGTGCCAAGTGACAAAAGTAACCAGGTAAGTCACAAAAGGTTTTTTTTCAGTGCTGGGGAGAGGTGGGCAGAAGGTACTTTAGTGCTAGGAATACAACTTTGTCTTCATAGCACTATAGTATACCCTTTAATCTTATTGAAGTGCCACTGACACCTTAACACTGCAAGTAAAAACATGGCAGTTTCAGAGAAACTAGTCTTCCAAACAGTCACTTGAGCCACATTCTCATGCAGAAAGGACGTGGGACATCTGCATGGCTTGCATGCGTATGTTCAGGGTCTTGAAAATCCCCATAGGAAAGCAATGATTAAATGCATTACTATGCAGAAGTGCTAAAGTTCATGTGGGGCTTGCTGCGCATGCACATTAGGTTCCCACATTGATGTGACATCACAGTCACAGTGAAAAAAAAATATAGGGGTTTTAAACCCTTTAAAAATAATCATGTGCACCCATTGTACATCACTATGGAATTTGTTGGCACCTTATAAATAATAATATGTGTGTGTAGGGGAGAGGGGAACTATAGTGTTAGGAATACAGTTTTGTATTCATAATGCTATAGTGTTCCTTCAATCTATTCAGATGTGTTACTCAAGTAGTACTTGATCCATTACGATGAGTTAGTCTTTGTACTGGAGCCGCATGTGCATGCGATCGCATCTTTTCAGTGTAATTCAGATCATTCAGAAGCGGTAAGGCGCACCACCTGTCACTTTCATTAGCTCCATAGTGTTAATAGAAGTGGAAGAAAGCTTTCCTGGTTTTCTGATTGACAGCCAGGGAGGTGTTTCTGCCCCAATTAAAATGTTTTGATTTCTATTAAAATTGGCACTTTTATAATCTGTGACATGTTCTGGACACATAAAGCACCTTAGCATGCTGAAGTACTACAGGGAGTGCAGAATTATTAGGCAAATGAGTATTTTGACCACATCATCCTCTTTATGCATGTTGTCTTACTCCAAGCTGTATAGGCTCGAAAGCCTACTACCAATTAAGCATATTAGGTGATGTGCATCTCTGTAATGAGAAGGGGTGTGGTCTAATGACATCAACACCCTATATCAGGTGTGCATAATTATTAGGCAACTTCCTTTCCTTTGGCAAAATGGGTCAAAGAAGGACTTGACAGGCTCAGAAAAGTCAAAAATAGTGAGATATCTTGCAGAGGGATGCAGCACTCTTAAAATTGCAAAGCTTCTGAAGCGTGATCATCGAACAATCAAGCGTTTCATTCAAAATAGTCAACAGGGTCGCAAGAAGCGTGTGGAAAAACCAAGGCGCAAAATAACTGCCCATGAACTGAGAAAAGTCAAGCGTGCAGCTGCCACGATGCCACTTGCCACCAGTTTGGCCATATTTCAGAGCTGCAACATCACTGGAGTGCCCAAAAGCACAAGGTGTGCAATACTCAGAGACATGGCCAAGGTAAGAAAGGCTGAAAGACGACCACCACTGAACAAGACACACAAGCTGAAACGTCAAGACTGGGCCAAGAAATATCTCAAGACTGATTTTTCTAAGGTTTTATGGACTGATGAAATGAGAGTGAGTCTTGATGGGCCAGATGGATGGGCCCGTGGCTGGATTGGTAAAGGGCAGAGAGCTCCAGTCCGACTCAGACCCCAGCAAGGTGGAGGTGGAGTACTGGTTTGGGCTGGTATCATCAAAGATGAGCTTGTGGGGCCTTTTCGGGTTGAGGATGGAGTCAAGCTCAACTCCCAGTCCTACTGCCAGTTCCTGGAAGACACCTTCTTCAAGCAGTGGTACAGGAAGAAGTCTGCATCCTTCAAGAAAAACATGATTTTCATGCAGGACAATGCTCCATCACAAGCGTCCAAGTACTCCACAGCGTGGCTGGCAAGAAAGGGTATAAAAGAAGAAAATCTAATGACATGGCCTCCTTGTTCACCTGATCTGAACCCCATTGAGAACCTGTGGTCCATCATCAAATGTGAGATTTACAAGGAGGGAAAACAGTACACCTCTCTGAACAGTGTCTGGGAGGCTGTGGTTGCTGCTGCACGCAATGTTGATGGTGAACAGATCAAAACACTGACAGAATCCATGGATGGCAGGCTTTTGAGTGTCCTTGCAAAGAAAGGTGGCTATATTGGTCACTGATTTGTTTTTGTTTTGTTTTTGAATGTCAGAAATGTATATTTGTGAATGTTGAGATGTTATATTGGTTTCACTGGTAATAATAAATAATTGAAATGGGTATATATTTGTTTTTTGTTAAGTTGCCTAATAATTATGCACAGTAATAGTCACCTGCACACACAGATATCCCCTAACATAGCTATAACTAAAAACAAACTAAAAACTACTTCCAAAAATATTCAGCTTTGATATTAATGAGTTTTTTGGGTTCATTGAGAACATGGTTGTTGTTCAATAATAAAATTAATCCTCAAAAATACAACTTGCCTAATAATTCTGCACTCCCTGTATGTGTGAGAAGAGTTCCTATGAACTTTTGGGATAAAGGAATGTGCACACTACTGTCCAAACACAATCATTCAGCATGGGATAGAGCAGTACTAGTTAAGTGGCTATTCTTTTTTTCCATTCTATTTTGACCTATTAGAACAACAGGTTTAACCTAATAAAAAAAAGAGGAGTTTGTTTGCAACCCCTTCTTACCAAAAAGACATTTCAGAATTTGCTCCATATTCCAAATTCTCTCATTCATTCCCACATCATCCAATTGGCCGTCATTATATCTTGATACATTCTTTACTTCCTGATTTTCACAGAATGGAGGTAATATAGGATGTCCAGTCTGCCTCTTGTTTTCAAGATTTTGTAAATAGTTCAGGGCATAGCTGGTTTCCACGGAATAGTGTGGTGTCAGGGCTGGAACTTCTGTTTGTTGTTGAGCGAAAAACAGGTTTCTAGCCCCGTCACGTTTGAAAGCCTCCAAAGGATTAGCATCATTTCTCCGTAATACTTGAGGGCCAGTGAAATCAGACTGTGGTCTTTTACTGCAAAGAGCTTGTCTAACTTCAGAATTCAGCCACTCTACAGCAATAAAGTGACCACAGATACATTGTGGATCTTTAGGGGAGAAAAAAAAGAAATATGACAGAAGAATAATAAAAAATAACAAAGGTTTGCATGGATATTGAAGCTACTTTTAACAAAGACAGATAAACCCTTTTTCTTTTCAGTGATACATGAAAAAATAAGTAAGCTTATTTGCTCAATTAATTTGCTTCTAATAATAGTCCAATAAATAGTCCATAAATTATCTCATTTGGGATTAGAGTCCACCCCATTATGAGAGGCGTGTTCTACAGGTAAGGCATTATTTACATTGCAGGGTTTAAACTTAAATGCCTTTAGTGCCTGTCACTCTGACAGCCACTAGGGGCACTTCTGTCCAAGTAGTGGAGTCCAACTCTGCTATTTCAATCAGATGGTCTCATAGAAATCATCTGATTTGCGCAGTTTTGCATACTGCTACGTATACGCACTAGCCTCCCAACGATTTTCTATGGAAATGCATTGTATTGGCTGAGATCATTGTCCATCTCAGCCTTGGACCCGGGATGGCACCGATGCTGCGAAAGAGAAAATGTAAGTGAATTGGCTTTATTTTGTAGAGACCTTATTAGGTAGGAGAGCATTATAGCATTAGGAGTGCAGGTTTCAAACAAACATTAAAGGATCACTATAGGGTCAGGAACACAAACATGTATTCCTGACCCTATAGAGTTAAAACCACCATCTGGCCCCCTCATGCCTCCATAAATATTGTAAAAATCTTACTGTATTCAAGCCTGAAGCTGTAACTCTGCATGCTATTAGACTCAGAAAAACAAGCAGTCTGCTGACATCATCAGAAGTGGTAGCCTGATCCAATCACAATGCTTCCCCATAGGATTGGCTGAGACTGACAAAGAGGCAGATCAGGGGCAGAGCCAGCACGATTCAAACACTGCCCTGGCTAATCAGCATCTCCTCATAGAGATGAATTGAATCAATGAATCTCTATGAGGAAAGTTCAGTGTCTGCATGCAGAGGGAGGAGATACTGAATGTTTGGATGCATTTTAGGCAGCCATGACCCAGGAAGGATCTCTAACAGCTATCTGAGGAGTGGCCAGTGAAGTTATCCCTAGGCTGTAATTTAATGATTCTACTCACCAGAACAAATTCAATAAGCTGTAGTTGTTCTGGTGACTATAGCATCCCTTTAAATCAGGAAACAAGTCACTGATTTTAATACTAAACACTCAGCATCCAGAAGATAAGATAATGTGGGAGGGTTCATAGATTCTCACCATGCAGAAATACATTATTTTAATTTAACAGGTGAACATTTATGGGATATGCCCAGCACTCCCAATGAACTCAATGGGGAGGCAATGATTGCATGAACATTTGCAATCACTTTGTACTTGGGGGTTCACAGCAGAAGGTACAAATTTTAAGTTTACAGCAAATAGATTAACTCAAAATAGGAATAATTTTTTTTTTTTGCATTTTATAATAAATGTCTTACAAGAAAAACAGGTCACCTCTGTCTGGAATTGCCCTTTACCAGGCCCCTTTGCTATTTTGTTGGCAAATGGTTACAAAGACATTTGTTACTTTTGCTGTAGATGGATTGAGTTGTTACAATTAAATTACTTTCAGTTTACAGATATTGGAATGTGACACAGTAGGTCAAGCATGTCAAACTAAAAGTCTAGCAAGGGCCAAATAAACAAGGTTTAAGTTTATGTGGGCCGCAAAAAAAACAAAAAAAAAACTTCCATTTTCATAGAAACTTAGGTTTATTTTGAAAAGTACAGTATAAAAAAAACCCTAGCATCCCCCGCTACTAAACCACAGCACCCCCCATATACTAAATCCCAGCTTCCCAACCCCACTAGCCAACAAGCAGACTCCACTCACATTGCCGCTGCCATTATGTGACTCCAGAGTCCGGCCTCTGGTATACCCCAAATGGCACCGTCCGCACCATGTGCCAAAGCGGATCCTCCTGCTACTTCTTAACACCCTGTAAAGGTGGAGCCCGTCGATGTCACGTTGGAATGTGACGTGGCGTTGCATGCCTCCATGCACCTCCAGGTCCTCAACTGTCCAGCCGCGGCCATTGCAACACACACACACACTCACTGACAGACACACACACTCACTGAAACACAGACAGACAGACACAATAACATTATTGTAATTATTCCTTCTGTCGGGAGATCTCCTTCCTGCTCCTCACTGCCGGGCCCCGGAATATGACGGCGCATGCGAGGGAGCAGGAACACTGAACACTGTGGGGAAAGCAGGTGCCTACTCTGTATTTCTCAATGCTTTCCTATGGACGTTCTACACACTGAATGCGAAGACAGCCACTAGAGGCTGGATTAACCCTCCAATGTAAACATAGATTAACCCTGCAATGTAAACATAGATTAGCCCTGCAATGTAAACATAGCAGTTTCTCTGAAACTTCTATGTTTACATATGAAGGGTTAAAACCTGGGGGACCTGGCACCCATTGAGCTGAAGTGGTCTGGGTCACTATAGTGGTCCTTTAACCCCTTAAGGACACATGACATGTGTGACATGTCATGATTCCCTTTTATTCCAGAAGTTTGGTCCTTAAGGGGGTTAAAGTTTATATTTTAGCTGTATACTTACTGAAAATGTAGTTTTTTTTCAATGTCCTTCAATGGAACTGAGTTTTCAGGATACTCACCTTCTTATTAATGATTCTAGCACCATTAGCATACCTCTGTGGACCAGAAGCCTTTTTTTTTCCTGCCTCTCTTTGTGGAGCCTTCCCCACACCTGGCCTAGCCCACCTGATAATGCTGATGTGAAGGTCTCATTGCCAGCAAATCAGCCTATTGAACGAAGTGACACCAGACATTACTTTTTTCTAGTTGAAGCAGCGGCTTTGGTGATGGAAGAAGGGCGTACACGTGCTGCCGATACAGACGCTGGCCACAAGAACATCCTTCATACTTCCTGTAGGCCTGTAATCAGGCAGACAGACAGACATCGGTACAGAGTCTATGCCAACAGTCTGTCTGCCAGAAGGGGAAGAGGAGGTGAAGTGACTAACAGAGATCTATATATTAGCTAGCACAATGTGTAGATGAAATCTGAAAAGGAATTAATTAATGGTAAGAGTAACATGCCATGACAGGTACCCTTTAAGCATTGAACATTTCATTATACCTTGACGTAATTTTTTTTTTGCCATGGCGGCTGCTCTGTGGGTTCTGTACTTCACTATGGCCATCTTTTCATTAGGATTTACAGGGTTTTCGTACAGTAAGACACCTTCCACACCAAATGTGATTTCCTGCAGCTTTTTCTTTAATAAAGTTGGCTCCAGAAAATGTGGGATCCTGGACAGCAGCAGCTCACATTTTTCTGTGCTTCTGCTCACAATTATTCTGTGTCCGCAGACAATCTCAAATCCATTTAATGTTGCAATGGCAGCATGTGCTCTGCGTCTACTTGCATAGCGGGCATAGGCAAACCCCCGATTTAGGCCGCTAAATGTCATCATTAGACGAAATTCATACAATTTGCCGACTGTCTGGAAAAGGGGTATCAGTTTATTTTCATACATATTCTGTGGTATTTTCCCGATGTAAACTTCAGAGCCAATACCTGGAGCTTCACCGACCCAGTCTATGTGAAGAAAAATGTATATAACCAGTCAAAGATTTTATGCTATATGAAGTTTTTCGTATAATATATCTGGCTTTCTTATTCATATATTTAAACTGTTATTTAAAGCCTAAAAATCTTTAAAATGGAATGTTTGTGGAAAATATTTCTCCATGGGTGTGGGGAAATGGGAAGACCAGAGGCAATGATAGACTAAAGATTCCGATATTAGGGAGGAATATGTTAGTGGGAGAAACAGGCAAGAAATATGTAAGGTGGGAATGTGGAAAAGACTATTACAGAGGAAATGAAGACATAAATGTGGGATGTTGCAAAAAGGATGAAGGGATAAATTCCTAGAGATAAATGCAGTGAGAATGGAATTTTATGAGGGAAGCTAAATAGAGGTGAGACAGATTAGGGAAGAAATGGGGATTAGACAGATTAGGAGTAGTAATAGGGGAGAGACCAGTGAGGTCATAAATGGGAAAAAAATATTAAGGAGAAATATGTGAGAGAGCAATGGGATAGAGACTAGAGAAGGATGAGAAATGGAAGAAAGACACTTAGTGGTGTTGTTGGGAAAGGATTCATGTGAAGAACCAATGAGTGGAGGGGTTGTTGAACAAAGATGGTAGGAATGGCGGAATCAGACAAGTGGGAGAGTTAAGCAGAGAGATAGGAAATGGGGAGAGACAGTACTGGGAAGGAATAGGGAAAAAAAAAAGTCTCTACACTTAAAACATTTAGTTTTGCACACAAAATGAAACAGATACATACACAAGCTCTGCAACACTATGCAAACACAGTTCTGCATAACACATACAGGGCGTTTAATTAAAATATCATTTAAAGTTAGTACACTGTGAATTTCAAATTGTAGCCCTAAGTAGTCGAGCTGGGAGCATTGCTTGGCCTTAAAATTGAAATTATTGACAATTTTAATTTTAGTAATTAACCCTGATACTGATTCAACCCACATCTGTTTATTCATAAAATGTGGAATATTGACAAGGTAATTGCACATTTTTAGGTTTAAAACAGCAGAATTGACTGATTTCTCAAAATCAGCTATTTTGGTCTTAATTTTGAAATTCCTTTTTAAACTTACCACAATTCACTGATGAGTGAATAAACTCTATATTACCAGGGCATGGTATATAGCATTATTTGTATTTTTGCTTGAACAAAACCATACTACTTTATGTAGGTTTTCTTAGTAAGAGGGGCAATACATTTTCTTAGTAAACTGCTATTCCTCACTCAGATTTGTGTGCTACCTACGCCCATGCATTTCCCGCCATACTCAGTCAGTCATTAGATGCTGAAATTGGAAGGCTGAGCTTCTTGGAAAATGTATAATTCTTTTACAGTTACTCATTAATATATGAATGTACATGCCAAACCCCATAGCAACTAAAGCTCATTAAAAGGTACCAAGAAAATATAGGTGTAGTTGCCCACTTTGTGAAAAAAATTATGAAACCAAAAAACAGCACCCCCCAGAGGGACTATACTAATAGCTTTCTAGTGCAAAAACCACTACAGTAAACCATATAGTATAGTGCTTGGAATGACCCTGCAACATATGTCCAATTCATTTTTAGTGGTTTAAGTGCTTGTATTTTATTCCTTAAAGGAACATTATAGGGTCAAGAAACACAAACAAATTCCTGACCCTATAGTGTTAAAACCGCCATTTAGATGGCTTGCACCCCCTTAGAAAGGATTAAAACTTACCTTTTTTTCCCCCAGCACGCATGGATTTGCCGAAGATGGCCCTGCCCCTGATCCACCTCTTTGGCAGACATCATCAGAATTCATGATCTCGCCATATGGGAAAAGATTACATTGGCTGAGATCGCCAAGGTCGAGGGCCAAATGCCAGCCAGGTCAATCAGCATCTCCTCATAGGGATGCATTGAATAAGTGCATCTCTATGAGGGTAAGTTCAGCGTCTCCATGCAGAGAGTGGAGCACTGTGCAGCACTGACCCAGGAAGCACCTCGAGTGGCCACTGGAGGTGTCCCTGTAAACACTGCCTTTTTTCTGAAGAGACAAGTGTTTGCATGGAAATGTCTGCAAGGACAATGAGCTGTAGTTGTTCTGGTGACTATAGTATCTCTTTAACTATTGCTCTAGCTATATATTTTTTTCAGCATTAAAAAAAAAATATATATATATATCACCATGCTGCAATGCAACAACCTTGCAGTAATTTCTGCCACATGCAAAAAGAAAGCAGGAAATAAAAAGTTGTACCTGGAGGGGGTCCGCCATATTTCCTTTGACCATTTACCTGGACCAGATTTATTTTGGTCTCTTTTGCCCATTTTAGTACAGCAAGTTTATTTTCAGTGTTTACACCATTTATCCAGACCTTTTAACAAAGAGAAACACAATAAAAAAAACATGTTATTAATGTGTATTTAAAGCATTCTGGATAAGCATGTTTTATAATATACATAAATATATACACACACACACATACACACATTTCTGAGCCCGAAAATAAAAAGGAATTCTGCCAGGGACCATTCATCCAAAACAACATTGCTTTCTGATGACGTTTCAGGGCTCAACATTTCAAGTCCTATGCTACTAGACAGGCTTACTCACCACTGTAATCCTGCTGTACATGAATTTCTGCTCACCAGGGCTGAGTTTTCACTCACCATCAGCTAGTGAGTGAGTGGAAATTCTGAGACCTACATGCTTCAGGGATTTTAGGATTATGATATGAAAGATATGTTCCTTCTATATTTTTTGTGTTGTCCCTGCATCCTCATAGGCTAACCTCTCCTCTATGTATGCCGTATTTCCATATATGGAATATATATTTGCACTTCACAATTAAAATAATGATAAAACAGCACTGTGCCAAAATATTTTTTTTTTTGTCTGTTTTCGATATTGTTGTTTAATATCTCTCTGTATGCCTCTGTATGACAGAATAGTCAATGGTTCTTGCTCCCCAAATTTTGTATTAATGGTTACTGATCATAAAAACTTTTAACAGTAGTAAATTTAAATGCCAAGAATTGAGACAGTCTCCAAGTTTGAAAAGTTAATATGAATGGCAGCCTCCTTTGTCAAAAAGTATAAATGCACCCAAAGGGTTTCCTCACTAAAATTTACATTCAAACTGTATCAATAAGGTAGTCAATCTGGTTTAGATTTATTAATATGCTTTTATTGATCAGTATTATTTCTACACAGCCCTGTGCCAGCAACACTAGTTGCTTCACTAAACAAAAAAATTTAGTTAATTTAAAGAAGACTTGCAAAACTATGGCTAAAATAGCACAAATGTGCAGATTTTTACAAATCATCTATTTTGCCATTCAGATCTCAATTCTGCAAATCATAAAATAAAAGTGTTGATCATTAATATATGGGTTAGTAATGTATAAATTATCAACATTCCCAATTTAAATTGCCTAAGACACATGGAGAATAAAATGAAGTAATATAATGCATATCGATTTTCAATTCAATTTCAGTGTTTTGTGTAAACCACTTATGAGACTAACTTAAAGGTTTTCTCTTTAACCCCTTAAGGACACATGACATGTCATGATTCCCTTTTATTCCTGAAGTTTGGTCCTTAAGGGGTTAATATCTATTAGAATACTTCTATTCAGTTGCAAGAGATATTATTGCGGTGTTTAATAGAAAATATGCCCATGTATATTTATTTTCCTGCAATGTACAAAACCTTCAATACAGGTAATTAGGATAAGGTAAAACAGGACTCAAAGTAATGACTCAAAGACATGTCATGATTCCCTCTTATTCCAGAAGTTTGGTCCTTAAGGGGTTAAATACATAATTAGATGCTAAATTTCTAAATTTAGATTGGACTATAAAATTGGAGCAAACTGAAATTCTGTGTGAATTTCACATTTTAGGATAAAGCAGCAGATTTAAAAACAGTTACTTAGTCAGCCAAGTTCTCGATTTGGCCATTATTAGCTTTAAATGTGAAATAAATTTTCAATCCCTGATAAGTCACACTTTAGTGAATTACCACGCCTATTTTGTGTTTAGTGTTGACACCACAGATTTGCTTGTTTTCCCTCCATTTATTAGGATATCAAAATAATATTTTACAGAATATCACAAAATAATTACTATAATTATAATGATGGCATTAATGTGTTTGTTGAAAAAATAATAAAACAGATTTCATCCAAACTCTCGTGAAATAATTTATTCAACCAAAATCTAACAGGTAGCTGTTCAATTTTCTCTGACTACGTTATTGCATTGAGAGTTGGAATGCAGTACCGATTTTATTAATTTTTAGTTGTGGTTCTCGAGAGTCCAAGCTGACATAGTTTCCAACTCCTTGGAACTGACTGAGTGCCTTTAATGGCACTGATTATTGTATTAAAAAAAAACTCTGACTTCTGTGGGAAAGAAACACGTAGTAGTGGTACTTTTTGTAATTTAAAATGTTATTTTACATTAATATGCATCGTATATGAATGGTTTTACATATTGAAAGCAGGGTTACTGCTACATTCAGTGCTTTACTGTTTGTGGTGGCTAGGGCTAGGCTCAGGTTTCTATGAGGTCTAGGGTCAGCAAACATGGTCAGTACTAGGTTTAACCATTAAGGTGCAGGCATCAGGTCTGTCTCTAGCAGAGTTATTCACTAAAATAAGAATTGTTGTGATTTGACAGGAATTCAAAGTGAACTTAAAATTTAAGGCCATTGTGGCTGACTTGGAGAACTTCTTCATTTTGCCCATTACATTCCATTTAATTCTTACTTTAGAGTTATTCACTAAAGTGAGAATTTACAAATTCACAATGAATTCAAAGTGAATTTCCAATTTAAGGTCAAAAAAGTAAAAATAGAAAAAAATCACCAAGTCACCAAAATTTTTGATTTGACTACTCTCTGACCTTAAATTTGAATTTCACTTTAGTAAATAACCCTGTTCAGGTCTTTAATAGCATATATTAAAACCCTATTGGAAATTGGCCATGGTGTTTTTCATGGTGTGTGTGTGTGTGTATGTGTATGTGTGTATGTATGTATATATATATATATATATATATACGCTAAAATACTAGCGTGGATATAACATTTCCATAAATTCAATACTTTCAGAGTCTAGTATACAAATTATTTATACACTATTTAACCTTAAAACACACTTTATTGTTTTTTTAATTCTTACTTATAACGAGTGAAATGGGTGGAATAGAGATAAAATATAGCAAAACCTGAAAAGTGCAACGTGTCTGTGTGTGTGTGAAACTATATTTTATGTAATGCTGTACAACTACCATTTTCTGAAGTTATTATTACTTTATTAAGCGGATTATGTGGATGCAGTGTTAAACCTGTATAATGTATACGATGAACATGTGCTACATACAGTAAATTCATATTTTACAAAGAAGGCTTCCAGCTACTCTGGGAGTTACAGATGTATTATTGGTACATTGTCCCGTTACTGCGGGTGCAGAGTGTCTAATAGTGCATTTTGCTGCTCTGGCTGACCTAGAAAAGATGTTACTAAGAGCTTAAAGTTCTAAGTAAGAATTCCAAGTAAGAATTGATCTTACCTGCTCGTGTTCCATGGCGCTGTTTTAATGGATGGAGTTCCCACTGGTTCTTAAGATGGTACCCAGTGTACGTACACGGCCTTATATACAGCTAGTCCAGTATGCTAATATGCCGATTTACGCCCTTTTTCTACAGTGTGCCCCTCCCTTCCCAGACATCCCATCTAACCGAATGAAAACTTACTGGATTTGTTGATGTCCAATTCGTGATTTGCAAAATGTCGGGAAATACACAGTTACGAACAAATAGTCAAGAATTAGCATTTGTTTTTTTGTTTTCACAAACCTGCATTTTGCAAATTGTTTTAATTCACCACCGTAACCGTTCACTGTTTGGTAAGTATAACCGATACATGCATAAAAATCATATTCCTTAAAATACACAGTATTCATTGCACGTGGAGCAGGACACAGTGTGATATATTTTAATATATGCCATAGTGATATGAGGATGAACAAAGCACTTTCTTCAGTCTTGTTTAAAGACATATTGGGTCCATGCAAAGTTAGCGATAATACTGTATCCCACATCTATTACATTGAATTAAAACCACTACCTGTGTCATCATATACAATATGTGTAACAAACTCATATGAACAGTGCACTCTCTAACTATTGTATCTGTCAACAATATATTCTCAGCTATTTTATATCTGTCACTTAATTATGTTATATATATTCCTAATATAGAACTGTTAAAGGAACACTTCATGCACCATAACCACTACATCAAGCTGTAGTGGTTATGGTGCATGAAGTGTTCCATTAACCTTATATCATGTAGACAAACTGTTGTAGTATGGTTGTTCATCTTAATTGGGTCCCACTGGACAACCATGGCCCCACACCCTCCTTATTTTTTCTTAAAGGAGAACTCCGCTCTCAGAGCGTCAGCTAAGTGCTCCTGGTCTTGGCCATTGAGCACAATCCTGTATTGGTTATGCTTACCAGACTCCTGCATAACCCACTTCAACTTAAGCTACAATTTAATGGTTTACACATTCTTTTTTTTGGATAAAATGTTAAAGTTTTTTTTCAACATATTCAAATATCGAACGATATATCATATATAAAAATATATCACCATAGATAAAAAAAAAAACACCAAAATATGAAAATTTAAAAAATATTTTTCATGATATGAAATATTTTTAAAAGTTTATCCTACAATATTAAAATGGATTAGTAATTTCGGGGGTCTTATTTCATATTTACATATTAGTGCATATTTTGCAGAGATCACCGAAACGGGCAGAGTGCATGCAGGGTTACCTCAGGCTGCTCCTTGTGGTTGCCGCCATCTTTATGCCACAGGTCCTTTTTCAGCTGTTGGCGCTTCATTTGTCAGGAGCTACGTCAGTACTGTACTCTCACACATCAGGTCTATGGAAGATCCCGCATGACCCTCCATAAAGTCTAAATCCCACCAGCTGCTGGCATTGGACAAAAGTTGATGGCGGAGCTTTGCCTTTTGCTTTGGTAAAGCTTGAGGCTTTACCAAACCAAAAGTCCCTACTTTGATACAAAATTACATTTTTATGAAATCTGAAGTGACAGATCAGTTTTAACTCATTTGGAAAGCTTATCTAACAATATTAAATCGAGGCCTTAGTCCCGGGTTAACATTGTTATGTGAAGTTAAAAGGGTCAGTCTAAGGAAAGTGTATGGTGCTTAGAGAACCCGAAGACCACTATCATTTTAGTGAGACCAGCTGTTGGTCAGCGTTTCATGGCTTCATGCCAGGCTGACACTTCACTTCTCTGGCCAGACCTGTCCCCTTTTTGAATGCAGGTCTCCCAATCTTTCTTATTTTGAAACATAGAATGTGACTACAGATAAGACAGTTTGTCCCATCTAGTCTGCCCAATTTTCTAAATATTTGTATTAGTCCCTGGCCTTATTTTATAGCTAACGATATCAAAGGATATATCATATATAAAAATATATCACCATAGATAAAAAAAAATAAATTAAAAAAAACATGAAAATTTTATCCCACACATGCTTAAACGCCCTCACTTTGATAACATCTACCACTTCAGCTGGAATGCTATACCATGTGTCCACTACCCTCTAGGTAAAGTAATACTTCCTGAAATGATTTTTAAACCATTGCCCCTCTAATTTAAGACTATGTCCTCTTTTTGTAGTAGTTTTTCTTCTTTTAACTATAGTCTCCTCATTTACTGTGTTGATTATGTATGTATTTAAATGTTTCTATTATATCCCCCCGTCTTGTCTTTCCTCCAAACTATACATGTTTCAGGTTCTGTCCCACCATCCCAACTTAGGTCCATGTTTTTGGTGACTCCTTGGGACTGTTCCAAACAAGCCAAGAGCATCATAAGACACACTCGCTCTATGTTCAGAATGCTCTGAAACTGTAACACCTGCAAGGTCTGCCTTCAGTGGGCTTGCAACTTTAGTCTGTTACTTGCCAACATATATTCCCACTGTATAATTATAAAGTACTACAGAACCTGTTAGTGCTGTATAAATGCAAATTCTAATAATAAAATAAATTATTTCACCCCATGAGATGTAAATGGGGCTAAATGGAATCCATAATGAACCCCTGCACCCTTACTCAAACGTCTTTCACATATTCACCCATGTGTAATGGTAGAGGGGTTACTAGGTGGGAGTCTATTGAATCTCCTGTTAGAAGAGACTTACTTGTGCCTTCATCCCTCATGAGCATGGAGTGGTAAATGGCCAATATTGATTGAGGGCCCCACAGTCCTATACTCATAGCTTGTGTATAATAGGGGAGAACAGGCGGAGTAGCGTGTTAACACTTTGAGAACGCCTAACTGCAGGTGAAATGCGTTAAGTGTTTATTTTATACCATATTTAGATTTTTTTTTAATTAAAATTTGTATTTTTTTAATGCCATTTGGAGCCTTTTTTGACCTATCTTGGAAGATTTTATCCAGAGGACTCACCCAGCACATCCTTGGTGGGGATTATACCATCTATGCCCAGTACGACTGAGCAATACCTATATTTGCTCTCCGCTTGTGAGTAGACCTCTTTTTGTCAGTTTTTATTATTTTTATACATACAGAGAGCACTATATTCTGTTTTTATTCTTTTTCCCTACATGCTGAGGATATCTAACTGCCGGATTGCCACACCACAAGAATACTCCTAACAGGGAAAGATGCTCCTTGGGACGCACAAGGACCATCAACATATCCACAGACTGGGATTATACCATCCAAGCGCATAAATCTAGAGCTGATCATAAGCTGCAGAAAATTGTAAATGCATTTCATTTCATTTATAACTATCAAAGAACTCCAAATATACTACACTATATGTTATTCCCTATATCACTCCAGACTCGAAAATACCACCACAGGCGCGGTTTCCCTGCACCCTCCCCCACCCCTTTTATTAATAATGTGTTAATGTTTAATTTTTGATGTGAATTATACAGTAAAGCGTGAGAGTATCACTCTACATATAGTGTGTGCAAGTTTAATACTGTAGGTGCAGGGTTTTTATAGCATGTGATGTTTATATAATATTTTGAATTCACAATTCTCACTTCAGTAAATAATCATGTTCATCTGAGCGTTTAGGCTTGGACATAGGGTGTGGCATTAGGTTCAGTTTTGAGAGGGTCATTTTGGACTAAAGCCCCTTCAGCTAATGCTTCTCTTAGAGAAGCATTAAATCAATTGATTTTCTATAAGAAGCATTTGATTTGTGGATGGTAGTGATTCAGCATATATGCCATGTGTATTCAACGCTTTTGACAGTAGCAGATTGTTTCCCCTCCACAAAATAGATGGGATGGCTTGACCAGCACTAAAATATTTTCAATGTGCTTCACTTATGCCCAATATGAAATACGGTCTTTATATCTAAACCAAAGGATTGTTTAGAATATTCAAATGGATATTGTACTTCCAGTAATGATTACGCAGAAACTCCAAATGTGTTAAAGCATAGCTCAGCTTTGACATGAATTGAAAACAAGAAAAATCTCAATGTATCCTTCCTGATAAAATATTTTATAAATAAATAAAAAGCATATTACTGGGACACTCCATAATGGTGTTGACTTCTTTTTTAAAAATCAAAACATTTATATAACAAATAAATAAATAAATAAGCAAATTAGAACAATTTTACTCAAGCTGTGAGCTGCTGCATTTGCTGCAATTTCCACGTTTTTCAGCTTCTGTTGTGATTTCTATCCAGACCAGGAAGTGACTCAGCAACTCATGATGCTTAGTTACATTTCTATAGTACAACTGAGGTTATCCCATAAATCCATGCACGACAGTAATTGGTGTTATATTTCAATTGTCTACATTTATACAGATGCTTAATTAAATGGCAATGACTGTCCCACATTACGCATAACCATTATTGCATAATCTGCTATATATAGTAAACACGTTCATGAACTTTATTTTCTTGGCCATCATATGCAATGTAAAGAGAAATGTGTTTTACTTCTTATTTTTTAAAATCACACCTTCAATTTTAATTTAGCTTGATTACTTAAAGGATCACTATAGTGTAAAGAAAACAAAGAGGTTTTCCTGACACTATAGTGCCCTGAGGGTGCCCCCACCCTCAGGATCCCCCTCCCATGGTGCTGAAGGTGTTAAAGCCCTTCAGCCCCTTACCTTAATCCAGCGCCATTGACCTCACCCGTCTGACGTCACAGGAGCCGAATGCACATGCGCGGCAAGTGCCGCGCACGCATTCAAAGTGTCCATAGGAAAGCATTTCTCAATGCTTTCCTATGGGCGCTCTGCGCGATGGAGGCGAAATTCACCTTCAGCGTCGCAGATGCGCCTCTAGTGGGTTTCCGGAAGACAGCCACTAGAGGCTGGAATAACCCCAAATGTAAACATAGCAGTTTCTCTGAAACTGCTATGTTTACATGTGAAGTGTTAAAACCTAAGGGACCTGGCACCCAGACCACTTCATTGAGCTGAAGTGGTCTGTGTGACTATAATGTCCCTTTAATTGTTATGTTTAAGACATGGGCTAAATGCAATCCCAGGATTGCAATATCCAAGTGAGAAACTAGGGAATATAATTAATTAGGAAAGCTCTATACAATTTAGATGGGAAATTATGTAACATTCCTGCTGTAATTAGGCTTAAAATGTTAGTCTGATTTAGAATACACAAATTGTGGCTAATGTTTTTAGAATTATTTCCCTGCAATGAGAAGACTAGGTGCAGCTTTGTTGAATGATGTTTATGGGTGGATGTGCATGCATACTTTCTCACTACAGCTGTTCAGTTTAACATAAAAAATGGCAACAAAATGGTACTAGGGGTGTGAGACTTTACAGCTAAACCAGATACTCAAAATAGAATTTGAAACAATAAAAATGTATGCAAATATCAACTCATTCATATTCTATAATAAAATAATGTTTAGTTAAAGTATTGGGTGGGTTAGGTATAGGTTTGTGTCCTAAATTATATCCATAGTATGAGTAGCCATAGTTAAAGGGTTACCCCAACCAAGAAAACAGTTTTAGGTCTCAGTGTAATTCTTAATCCAGGCTGGCTAATGACATCCCAATGACATATCAGAAGGTGGATTTACAGATCTGGCAACAGACGGGTTAAACTCTATTTGAAGCATTTCATACAGACTCCAGGGAATATGATACTTCAAGGCAGCAAAGTGGTCATGGTGCTTGGAGTAACCCTTTAAAAGCACACTAAGCACTATAACATTAGTGTAATAAAGCAATTTTGGTGTACAGATCATGTCCCTGTATGCTCACTGCCCTATTCTTTGCCACGAGGAGTTAAATCACTTTGTTTATGCAGCTCTATGCACACTTCTCCTGCCTGTGACCTACACACTGCATGTAAAGAGAGCTCTAATATTAAACTTCCATTATTGCATAGTCTAACTTGGAATCTCCTATCTCATGTTCAGTTAATAGTCTGCTAGGGCCTGCAGGTGCCTTCTGTATATGATTCAAGTTCTATTACAGAGCAGGAGATAATAAATTTCTAAAGGATCTGATTGAAAATGAAACCATTTCTTTCATGGAGGATGTGTAACATACAACCAGGGGAGGTGTGGCTAGGGCTGCATGAACACAAAAGTGATTTATCTCCTGTGTGACATGTCATGATTCCCTTTCATTCCAGAAGTTTGGTCCTTAAGGGGTTAAAGGCAGAGAATTGAACACTGAAAAGTAGGGGCCCATGAGCTATACACCTACACATGCTTGGTTAAAATTAAGTTGTTTTGGTGCTTGGAGTATTCATTTAACATGTAGCCTATCCCTTTTGGCCAAGAATCAGACGCCAATATTGCATTGTTCCTTAATTTCTCTTTATCAGTAAAGGGATACAGACAATATCAGAAGGCAGATATGGTGGGGGCTTGAACAAATATTTGATATAAATAAAAGCAGCTTAGTGATACATCTCCCAATTTTTAGTCCTTATTGCTAAAAGGGATTAATACTTTAAAGCTATGAATTTGAGGATTTAACTGGGAAAATGAATTATTCAGGAAGAAAAAATATTTAAAGATGTATAGTATCAAAATAGACATTAAACAGAAAGTCTGGATTTGACCAGTGTAGACAATTAACATTTAATGGATGGCAATCAGATGATCTCAATAGAAAAAAAAAAAAAATAGTCCAGTATAATTTAATATCTGTATGAGTAGTGAGGCTATGTTGGAAGAGCCAGGTTTTGAAGCTGTGTTTTCCTGCATCATCTGCTCTCAATGTGCAAGGTATGCTCCTATGGATTTTTGGTCCTCTTCTGGATTTCTTCCACCAAGTTTTGTCTGGCAACATCAATCTGAAAAATATAGTTAAATAAAGTAAGGAAACAATCTGTAGATGAAAGACTACTGAATTTAGGGCTGGACTGTCATATTGGGAGATTTGGTGACGAATTGACTTCGGTCACTGACCACACAGGAGAGAAAATCGGTGTCAGGAGAGATAATGGGTCAGCAATGTGCTTTTGCTTATGTATTGGTTGACTGTTATGCAAACCAACTCAGATTCAGCACAATACAGCATGTTCAGATTAAGCATTACCATATTAGACTATCTATGAATATTATGCACATATATTTAACTTGCCATTTATTTTTTTGGGAAAGTTACATAAAATTATACCTTAGTCAAATAAAATTAAAAAAGGTATAATTGCATACTGCAATACTAATCTTTTATTTTTGCATGCTTTATGAATAGATTCCTCTCCCCCACATGCTATGATGCCTCCCAGCCATTTTTAGACCCAGGGACCAGGATTGCTTTTTGTTACTAACAGTTTGCCTGTCCCTACGGGTCTTCTTTCTTGCCGCCATCATCTTGAAATTTCTAAGATGGTGGCACCCAAAGGTCAGTTATTGCCCACAGCATGGGCAGGTGAGTACTTAAGTCCTGGGTCAAAGCCCCTTTGAACCTGCTAGTTCTCCATAAGGAAAAGTAGTCCCTACATACAGATAGTGATTACTTCAAGTTATTGTTCCAAAAGGTGGGTCAACAAGCTATTGTTTTTCACACATGGGTCCTCCATTTTGGCATTTGTTAAATAAATCATGACACAGTGTAATGTCATGTGTTGTTCACCTGAGGTTGTATTTACCCAATATGTAACCATAGAATTCAAAGAGGGTGTACTTTCTTTTTCCCTCGACTGTATATTTCATATACAGTATAATATTATACAAACACACACACATAATATATATATATATATATATATGTATGTGTGTCAGAACTACAATGCAAGATTTGTGATACCTTGTATTGCCGCCATGCTTTTATTAAGACGAAGCTCTAACGTACATTTAACACTACCCCTACCACTGTACATTTTTTATAAAATGTAAATTGATATATTTCTCTGATCTAAACCACAGCCAGAATCAAAAGAAAAATCATTCTGCAGTGCTGGTTCCACAATTATAAACCAAGCATTCAGTTTGAATGTGCTCACCTCCTCCCTGGTATCAACAACCCTCAGCTTCACAACTCCATCTTTCAGTTCCTGCTCCCCAATAATTGCCACCAGTGGAATGCCTGTTTCTTCACAGTACTGCAGCTGGTTGAGTAGCTTTGGGTTCTTCTTGTACAGCATTTCTGCCTGATAGGAATGTGATTTATCAAGAAAAGTATATTAGTTTACGAATAAATCATTTATATTTCACTAAACGGCTATTTTAAAGCTCACAGAATTATTTTTTTTATTTTTTTTAAACACTGAAACATAATGGTGTTTAGTTATAGTATATGATCATCCATTGCAAAAGTCTGCAACAATGCCAATTTTCCCACTACTGGACTGGTCCTATTCTAGCAACTTAATTCCTGATCTTATTAGATTAATCCACTTACTTGGGAAATGCTTCCTCCTGTGGACTCTCTGTAGGACAAGGTTTAATAACATTGTAGGGTTAGGAACACAATCATGTATTCCTGGCCCTATAGTATTACAAACACAATCTAGCACCCCCTAAATATAGTCAAATCGTACCTTTATTCCAGTCAGATGGTGTTGGCTCTGCCACTGATTTGCCTCCTTGGCTGACCTCATCAGAAGTGATGATCTCAGACAATCACAATACTTTTCCATATTCAAGTATTGGATTGGCTGAGATAATCAATTCTGATGATTTTAGCCAAAGCGTTGGGTCGGGCAGAGCTAAAACAGTACCCTGGACAATCAGCATGTCTTCATAAAGAGGATAGTTAAGTGTCTCCATGCAGAGGGTGGACAGACTGTGCAGGACTGCCCCAGGAAGTATCTCTACTAGCCATCTGAGGAGTGGAAACTGGAGGTGTCCCTAGGCTCTTTCCTCTAAAAAGTGTTTACTGCAAAAAGCCTGCAAGGACAGGCTATACGCAGCAGAACAACTATAATAAGCTGCAATTGTTCTGGTGACCATAGTGTCCCTGTAAATAGGGCATGGAATGAGGCACCTGAGACAGGGAGGGCTGCAAAAGCGGGGAAATAGCCTGAACTCCCAAATACAGTTTTCTCAACTTTTTTGCCACAGTATACAATTACTGAAAGTTTCCCAGGCAGGTAGACCCAATAATTTTTACCCTGTTAAGTCATCTAAAGTCTACCAAAGACAACTGCAATTTCACATTTAACTGTCTGACTGGGAAAGGAAATGCATAAGTGCAATGATGATACTTTTGAAGAGTATCCGAACAAAACAAACTAGGGATCGACCGATATTGATTTTTTAGAGCCGATACCGATAATCTGTGAAGTTTCAGGCCGATAGCCAATAACTTGCCGATATTCTGTACATTTACCATTTAAAAAAAAATAAACTATTTCTAAAGGTAAATGCACAAAATATACATGCCACATGTAGTGGATGCACTGTGTTTAACAGGGGAGCTGTGTGTGTTTGTGTAGTGAATGGGTCGTCAACCTGGTCCCTACCGCCCACTAGTGAGCGTTTCAGGATTCAGGTGGGAGGTAGGGATTTCCTCATTTAGAGAGATTGGGCGGGCGCGAGCCAGCGGTACCCCTGCGACCGTGTACCCATCACCATTTTCGGTCGTAGCCCACGCTGCAAACCACCGGGGCTGCTGTCCAAGGAGTTCATCGGGTGGCCCATGCTGTCAGGGCCACCCGATGGTTATGGATTGTAAAGGGGCCCGGTCAGTGCTGGGCGCTTTAACAGCGCGACCGGGCCCCCTGTGATTACATCACACAGTGCTGGGAGGAAGTGACTGCACGTCACTCCTCCCAGCTAACACACAGACCGCGCGGGAGGAGGCAGAGGGAGGCAGAGTGGGAACTCTGACTCCCATCCACCCGAGCCACTACTGGACCCCAGGGAATGTCACCCTCCTGCACTTAAAAGGTAGGAAACAGGGGGGGACTAAAATATTTTGTGTGTTTTTGTGTGTATGTGTCTTTGTATGTATGTCTTGTGTTTGTGTGTCTGTCTGTATGTGTGTGTGTATGTCTTGCCTTTGTATGTATGTGTTGTGTGTGTGTGTCTTTGTATGTGTTGTGTGTGTGTGTCTTTGTATGTGTTGTGTGTGTGTGTCTTTGTATGTGTTGTGTGTGTGTGTGTCTTTGTATGTGTTGTGTGTGTGTGTGTCTTTGTATGTATGTGTTGTGTGTGTGTGTCTTTGTATGTATGTGTTGTGTGTGTGTGTGTCTTTGTATGTATGTGTTGTGTGTGTGTGTGTCTTTGTATGTATGTGTTGTGTGTGTGTCTTTGTATGTGTGTCTTTGTATGTATGTGTGTCGTGTGTGTCTATATGTGTTTGTATGTATGTATGTGTCTGTGTGCATGTCTGTGTGTGTATGTGTGCCTGTCTGTATGTATGTCTTGTGTGTATGTATGTGTGTCTTGTGTGTGTATGTATGTGTGCCTGTCTGTCTGTATGTATGTATGTGTGCCTGTCTGTCTGTATGTATGTGTGCCTGTCTGTCTGTATGTATGTGTGCCTGTCTGTCTGTATGTGTGCCTGTCTGTCTGTATGTATGTATGTGTGCCTGTCTGTCTGTATGTATGTATGTGTGCCTGTCTGTCTGTATGTATGTATGTGTGCCTGTCTGTCTGTCTGTGTCTTTGTATGTATGTATGTATGTATGCATGCATGCCTGTCTGTTATAGTGGGCTACAATAAGCAATAGTAAGTGGGCTACCTAGCTCAGCCTTCCTACTAGGCATTGCTAAAAGGAAGGTTAAAAAAATAGAAAAAAAAAGAAAAAAAAAAGGTGGGGAGGGGAATTGAGGAGGGAGAGGAGGGGAGCTGACGCACAGATGAGAAATCATATTATGAGCAAACAAAGACGTCGTCTGAATATCACCGAAAGAGGAGACCTTTGTTCCTTACGAAAATTGAACCAGATATCAAATATTTAGTCTTGCAGCATCAACCTCAAGGATCTCATTAATCACTAGTAAAGGTAATTTCAATTTACTTTATTGTTTTCTCATAGAAATAAAAAGATAAATGTACGTATAATTATTTTTTTTTTAAACACTCTCCTTTCTAAAAAATATTCCGCACTTGCGCGAAAACTGGTGGGCGGTAAGGAAATTTTTCCATCAAGAAAGATGCATTAGTGGGCGGTAGGTAAAAAAAAAAAGGTTGACTACCACTGGTGTAGTGGATGCAGTGTGTTTGTGTAGTGTGTGTGTGTGTATAATGAATGCAGAGAGTGTGTGTGTGTGTGTATAATGCAGAGTGTGTGTGTAGGGATGTAATTTGTGTAAAATGGGGGGGGAGGGGCATGTTAAAAAAAAATATATTTAAAGGTGTTATTTATTTTTTAATCCCCTCTCCCTGCTTCTTACCAGAGAGGAGGGATATAGTTTTCCCTGGCGGTCAGGTGGCATGGAAAGAACAGAGGGGGCCCACAGCCCCCTCTACTTTCCTTCCCAGCAGCTCCCTGTCTAAATCTCGCGGCCTGCATGCCGTGTGGAGCGTTGCCATGGGGGACTCACAAGATTTAGACAGGGAGCTGAGGGGGGCTGCTTGGAAGGTAAGCACTCGCTGCGGTCCCCCTCAGGACAACCGGGCTTGTCATCATGGGCCCGGCGGTCCTGGTATGTATTATCAGCAACATCGGTATCTCTATTGGCAGATACCGACATTGCCGAAAATACCAAATATCGGCCAGACCGATAATCGGTCGATCCCTAGAACAAACAACTAAACAAAACAAGTGAAATGGAAACTGAGTGAGTGCGTCATAAGTCAGAAGGAAATTAACACAACTGTGGAAGGATATAGACCGTGATCAGGGATGGAAGAAAAAAAAAAAGTTACCTAGGAAAAAAAAGGAGTTTAGCATTACAGTTTGTTCTGATACAAACAGCAATTTGTAATGGCAAGCATTTGGGAGTTCCTCCTTTTATCACGTGTGAAGCATTTTTCCTAAAAATGTTCTAGACTTGATAAAGATTGGAACTACAGAAAGCTTGTCAATTGTTTGTTTAATAATAAAAGGTATTAAAATAAACGGCAATACTTCACTATTTTGTATGAACATTACTGGACTGATAAGGCAACTCAAATATGATTTTATTTTTTTACAGACGCTAGTTGTATTATGTTCTCATTTTTTATTCTTTGTCATTTATTCAGAATTATTAGCAAGTGCATCTTAAAAACAGATCACAAAAGATAAAAATGTCCAAATCTCTAAGGTGTAAGGTTATCAGAACATTAAGTCTGATTGACAGAAGATGGCAAGTTATTTGCAATCTACAAACTGCAATTATCTGGATGAAGCAAAGCAGACGTGGAGTCATAAATCAAAGGGAAAATTAGTCTACACAGTACTGTGCATCTGTCCCAGGACGTCTGAAAACTCTAATCTAAGTAATGTATATGAGACATCTGAAAACATCAACCTCATTATTTCAAAAAAGGTTACATAACAAAAAAAAAAAGACACCCGGGATCTGGTCATGTACCTATGTCAAGAGATAAAACCGACATTTGCAAAGAAGACAAATGTCACTTAATTTCATTGCTGTAAAAGCTAATCAGAAATACTTGCAAGTTGACAGCAAAATACCATCTCATTATTGCAGTGCACCCTCAGCATCCGTTTTTAAAATAAAGTGCAAATATTACTTTAGATAATGCGTGTGTAAAGACACACACATATTAGAGATGGTTCAGTGAGAATTTGCAGCAAACAAAGAAAGTTAAAGATGGATATGCAGTATATTTTATTTAATAATACATTATTGGAATTTATCATCAGACCCATCTTTGTAAAGGGGATCTCCCATACATTGAGGTTTCAAAAAGCAAACTATTATGACTAGCTGTTGGAGAACTGGGTGAATACAACATGGCTGTCAAATCCATAATAATCCACTTAAATAGCAGGTGGACACAATTTAGGCCGAGCCCAGGGTTAAGATACTGTTGTGACTTATGTATCCAGTCTGCAGTATTCCTTTAAGATTGTTTTCATAAAGGGAATAAAACTTTTAAGAATCGGACAATGTACACCTTCTGCAAAACATTTTAATTATGGGAACTCATTGCAGCTCTTGGAGCAGACAAATGTTTGGGTTTCCCTGGGGGCAGGGGCCATAAATCATTATAGAATGGGATCTAGTATAGAAGTGGGGACTGGAATTTAGTATAGAGGGGGAGACTGTGAATTAGTATTGGGGGGGGGGACTGTCATTTGGTACAGAGGGGGACTGGGATTTAGTACAGAGGGGGGAAGGACTGGGATTTAGTACAGAGGGGGGGACTGGGTTGGTTGTTTGTTTTTTTACTGCACTTTTCAAAACAAACCTACGTTTCTATGTAAACTTAAGGTTGTTTTTTTTTTGCGGCCCACGTAAACTTAAACCTTGTTTATGTGGCCCGTGCTAGCCTTTGAGTTTGACCTGCTTGCACTAGAGCATAAGCTAGGATAAAAACCAGACCTGGGCATTTTAAAGGACCTCTTACAACCTTTTGCAGAATTTTTTTAATGCAAATGTCTACACATTTAAAGGTTTTAGGTTTGGCACACACTAAAAATGTTTGATAAACTATAAGAGTCTGTCCCTTCACCAATAGGCTCTGTAAATTCACTTTCACAGCCAGGTCAATTTCAAGTATTAAACTATAAATCTGCATTTTTTTTTCTCTATAAGGCTAGGCAGGGATTTATTTGCACTAGAATTGCTTAGTATGATTAGATATTAGTATTGCTTAGTATGATTAGATATTTAAAGAAAAATAAACTGGAGATAAACATAAAAAAAAACCCCCAAAAAACAATGTTTTGTGCAGCTAAAAACAATGCCCCATATAAAGTTCCAATATTTGTCCCAATTTAGAAAATCATATGCCAAGAATTGTTATTCATACATGTCTGTTACAGCGCGTAAATTATGAGGAACATATAACTGATTAAAAAAATGGAGAGTGAGAGAGAGAATAAATGTAAACACACACACAAAGTTATCTAACAGCAGGATTTGCAAGGTAAAAATTAATGTTAAAACGAAAGAAATTATAAAACATAAATGGCGTAGCTACTGAACATCTCTGGGTTCCACTTCAGCTCTCCCAAAGGTAGGGAGGCTGGGTGGACTTAAACTGAAAAAACAAAAACAAAAAAAAAACAATGGTTTGTGAGTGTGAGAGCATGTGTGTTATTGTGTCAGTATCAGAGTGTGTGTCTGTCAGGGAGTGCGTGTGCGTGTGTCTGTCTGTCAGGGAGTGTGCGTGTGTGTCAGAGTCTGTCAGCGAGTATGTGTATGTCAAATCAGCGACTGTCTGTAAATCAGTGTGTGCCTATTTAGGTGACTGGCATGGAAAAGGTGTTTTTATTCACCTTTTCTCCCAAGCGGTGTCTGTTTCGCCGTGGCTCTACTGCATCCATGGCTGAGATAATCAGACTTCATGATCCCAGCCAATTCAATGTTTTCCCATAGGAAAGTATTGGAAGGCTATTGCGCATGCACTTATCGGGAACTCCTCAAAGAGGTGTATTGAATCATGCGTCTCTATGGGGAAAATGCAGTGCCTCCACTGGACTAGGAATCACCTATAGAAGCCATCTGAGTGACTGTCACTAGAGGTGTTGCTAGCCAGCAATGTAAATACTGTGTTGCTAGCCAGCAATGTAAATGTAAGGCATACATACAAACAGATTTACAGAAAACCAGACTGGCATCGGTGTAGTAACCAAAAAGGGCAAATACATTAAAGCATGCCATTTTACAACGGTAAAATTATTTATGATCACCCAAGAGTATTATTAATTATAAAGCGCCAACAAATTTTGCAGCGCTGTATAGTAGGTGGACCAACAGACAAGTTGGACGCACAGGAAGAGAAGGTGTTGAAGGCCCTGCTCAAACAAGCTTAAATTATAGAGAGCGTGGGGCTAAGTATAGGAAGCATTTCATGTTTGGGAAATGTAGGTTGCTAGAATAGTACAATGATGGCCTAGTTTTTTAGAGGACACAGTTGCAGGAGAGAAAGCAAGGTGGTTTATGAAGGTGTTCAGTCAGAAAGCGAATAGTTTGATTGACCTGCTTTCCTAAAGAAGTGAGTTTTCAATGAGTATTTGAAGGAGACTAGGTGAGAGTCTAACAGAGCAGGGAATGGAGTTCTATATGAATGGTGAAGCCCCACAGAAGATTTAAAGGTAGGTGTCAGAGGTGAAAGTACGGGCAGAAGATAGATGCAGGTGATCAACAGAGCGCAAGGGCCTGGTTGGGAAATACTTGTGTTTTGGTGAGGATAGGTAGGAGCAGTGATATGTGGAGATTTATAGACAAGTACCAGAAGTTGAGCCCTATGAGATGCCAGGGTAAGAACTGGAGAGAGGGGAAAGGTGTGAGAGGACAGGAAAATGAGCCTTGTGGCAGCATTCATTATAGACTTATCTGGATAGCTGGAAACACGTAAGACAAATGAGAAGCAGATTTAACTAGTCAAGACGAGAGAGGACAGCGGCATGGACAAGCACCTTAGCCGCATAAGGTGTAAGACAGCGGCCGATGCAAGCAATGTTTTTGAACTGGAGGTGGCAGGAGTTGGTGATTGACTGGACATGAGGAGAGATTGAAATCAAAGAGAAAACCTAGACAGCTAGCCTGTGAGGTAGTCTATAATACTATTCACCTTGATTCCAGCATTCCAAAGTTCTGATATAAGTTTCATCCTTTCTTCCAGCAGTTTCTTCTGTGCAGCTGCCACGAGTACTTGGGTTCCTGTGGTTCGAATCTTTGCTTCTGATGCCTGAAAAGTTGATATTGTTAAACAAAATGACAGCCGTTTCCTTAACACTAAGTAGTCAAACACAATGCTATTTTTCCTCTGAAAGAGAAATGATCATACTTCAAAGCATTAGACAAATATGTTAAAAATAAGCAAAATAAAACAAAATGCATGCCTTAATGCAAGTGCCTCTGTCTCAGAGAACGTGGTTCAGAGACATTGGCAGGAGGGGAGTTGATTTACTTATGTTTGCATTTAAGCAGGACTTATATTAAGTGCAGACTCCTATATAAGAGCAATAATGGGAGGGATATCAATTAGAAAATGCTTCCCTATACATAGGAAAATATAGTTAAACAACACGTTGTAATTCTTACTCAAGATTAGTTTTCCATAACTTTTCAATGGGCAAGGCTACAAAGGCTAGGATAAAAGGATGTTGCGCCATATATAAGGCTGTAAAACTGTGCATCAGGTGCTATACCAACAAAATATTGAATCAGGGCCTACAAAATTAGTCATATCATACATGAGAATGAAGTGTTTTTTTTATTTTATTGTTTTAAGACAAATATAAGAACAAAACAGTCTTGCTGACTGACATGCTGATGCATTCTGGTCTGTTTCATGGAACCTGCATTTCAGCACAACATCAATAATGCAGTTGGCAATGCTCGTGGTAGTACACATGCTATCAGCTATGAATGCATAGCAGAGGAAAAGCCAAGATCACGCATATGCACAAATCAACTATTCACACCTAAGCTGGTATAAATGCACAGCATAGCCAAGACCGACAATTATGGAATGATTTTCCCTATAATTTTTCCAGTGTACACAAATGTGAAATAATGGAGGGGGTGTAGGATTGTTAACAGGAGCTCAACATAGAATTCATGTAATATATTTCATACCTCTGCTTTTTGTTCCATGATTGAAAATATTCTCTCAATTCCAATACTGACACCCACACAGGGTACCTTCCTGCCCTTTGGATCAAACATTCCTACGAGACCATCATAACGTCCTCCCCCAGACACACTGCCAACACTGACAGATTCCTCTGCATGGTCATTCTGTTGCTGAGGTGCGCCTTGATTCTGTATTAGGACAGCTTCATATATAATACCAGTGTAATAGTCCAAACCACGGGCCAGGCTCAAGTCGAATGAAATCTGGAGGATTCATATTGTGTTGCAAAAGTGGGGGGAAAAAAGTTATCATACAAGATCAAACTCCAGTCTCCAAAACATATCCAACATGTTATTATTATGATATTTATATAGCGCCATCAAATTCCGCAGCGCTTTACAATGGGTGGACGAACAGACATGTAGTTGTAACCAGACAAGTTGGACACACAGGAACAGAGGAGTTGAGGGCCCTGCTCAATGAGCTTACATGCTAGAGGGAGTGGGGTAACACGTATACTACTTCTGCCGCGTATCTAAGGCAGTGGTTTCCAAACATCAAATACGGTGTTGTGATTTATGTGCATATGTTGGAGAAATTAAACAAACTTGTATACATCAATAGAATCTAGTCAGCTGCTGGAGTGTGAGAGGGGGGATTAAAGTGAATAGTTAGCCGGTTTTAGGGTTAGTGATATTAACTGGAAATGGTAGGCTTGGGAATAAGAGAATGTGGCAGGGAGGAGTGTGCTATCTATTCTCCTTTCTGACTACTGCTACATGTAAATTGTATTATTGCCACGAGGTGTTGGTAAATACACCTTTTAAGTCTGTCATTGACACACCACATAAATTTAACCCTGCGTTTACACATACAAAAATTCTACAGGAGTAAACCCTTGGCTAGCAGATTAGAATTTTGGAGTTCTAAACCCTGATATAGTCCCACTGTATACCCAGCTTTCTTAGATTCTGCAGTACTCATGCACTAAAGATTTATCTGAAGCATCTTTTATTTAAAGAGTTGTCTGGCAAGCAGCATTTCAGCTCAACACGGATTGCTGAATGGAGCACCACCATCAGATCTGTCATATTGACCACACTTCTAACTCTGCTGAACACCAAAGTTGAGTACGAGGGTATGCACATTTTGCCACCGATGACAGGGGAAAGGATTCTTATTTATGAGTACCAGTGTTCTCTGTTATGCCACGTATGTCCAACCCTTGAGGTGTCACAGTATCACTATGCCCCTGTGACGTTTATACATTCAGCTGAACTATATCACTGTGTATTTATCTTCATGTATAAGTACAGTATTTCCACACACCTTATCTTTCACACCAAAAAGTTCCAAATACTGGAAAAGGAGCTTCATGTCATTCAGTCCTTCCAATGCTTGCTTATTCTGTGAAAGTTTGGGATCCTTCAGTAGTTGCTCAATCAGCTCTAAAGTACCTTTGAAAATCATAATAGGATTAATGTTATCAACACAACAATCAAAATATTATACACACACAACGGAAAATGGTCTTAAACTATCGCTTGATACAGCTGTCCTAGGGACAGCTTTAGGAGTGACTCTAAAAGTGTGTATAGGGGACCCAGGCAATTTACTCTATCATTGAAATAAGTGCTTCCTTCACATAATATAAATAAATGCAATATATAAGGGACACTGCTCAAAGTCACTGAGCAAAGAAATAAATCATGACTGCCCTTACTGATCCTAAGATAGGCGTCTGACCTTTTACAAATTTGTGAAGACTTACCATGGTTCTGAACATACTCTCCGATTAAGTCAGCAGCTTCAGGTGCCAGTCCCTTCTCTCCCACCATTTCATTCTTCACATCCTCCCATGGAGTCTGCAAAAGAAGGATATAAGAATCTTGTTTATTTTATATTACAATAATGGATAATTGATATGTCTTGTTGGACACTGACCCGCCAATGACCTCAAGCAAATAAGCATGAGAAAACATTTTTACTTATACACCATATGGAAGAAGTGGTGTGACTTGAAGAGTGGTCTAATCACCAATGTAAAAGTACCTTCCAACTCTACTGGTTTCCATAGTGATTGCCCCAGTTTTCATTACTTTATAAATCACAACACGTTAATAAAATTACCCCCTATAGGTTGTAAGTACTCTGTATTATATATATTTTAAATACATATTGCTACATGCAGATGTGGATAGCATTCATGTTTCACTTTGGGGGTGGTGCCTAGCTCGCAAGCTGACCAGACGTGCTTCATATGAGCTCATGCTAGAATGTACTATATTTCAGCAAAAACAACAAATATACAGCTATAAACAGCTCAGAGCCAAGCATAGGAGACACCTTTAACAGAAGGGACATAACATTTGCAAGTATATCACACTATCTGGCCATGAGGCCTACCGGGATTGCAGACCCGTTAGCAGGGAACGATGGCCAAATCTACTGGAGCCCCATTACCTCCACCCTTTGGACCGATGGGGGTTATGCCAGTCCCCGCTGGGAACACTAAATACTCTGCAGTGGAAAGCACGACCTCAACCATGTGGTAAATCAAAGATGGCTGCTGAAACCCACATGGAGTCAAGCAGGTCCCGAGAGCCTAGATTGGGTGAAAAGCTTTGAGGCCAGATTTCACAAGCTGTGCCAAGAGTTCTGGACTAGTATGGCATGTTGCTCAGCCACTCCAGCCTCACCTGTACCACTGCAGACTCAAGCAGCCATTTCAACTCGCTATCCCTCCCTTGGGCTGGCTGCCCGGGCAGGGAGGCAACCACCCAGATATTCATACACCCATGCGGAGCACCAAGTTCCACACTGATGCAAAGCTGCAAAACAGACACCGCGCCAGCTGCTGAAGGAGGGAGTTCGACCACAGGCTGCCACCCACTCGACAGGTGGTTCAGATTCCCGCAGATGCCTACCCGGATCTCGTGCCTTCATGAGAGAATCTCCACAGCACTACCAGATATCCAGGAACGGTGGGCGCAGATGGGAGAGCCGCCTTGTGAGCCTCTCCAGAGATTTTGATACAGTTTCACAGAGCTACTTACAGTCACAACTTGGTATAAATCCTGCCTGTCGGCAATGGCCTGCATGTGGGGTTGAGTGAATCTTAGCTGCAAAGTCCTGCAATACCCTGTGCAACAGCTCCACCAGCATTGCAGAGAATTCTACTATATTATCCCATACGCACCCATGGCACATGCTATCTCACTTATCTCCTATTCATGTTTTATCCTTCTTTAATATGATCTCCTATAACCCACTGCATTTTCAGCCTGCCTATCTCTGCCAGGTGTCTGTAATAATGGTACCAACTCATATATACAGCATTGCTTATTGAATTGTTTGCTAGAGTTAGACTATGTTCACTACGTTGACCTACTACAGTTTTCAAGCATCATATACGCTGTTATCTCAGTTGAACTGATCACCTGTAAAAGTTACACATGATGTTAGTTGTCACCTGAGGGTTAGCATCTTTTACTTTAGATTAGGCATGCGTTTCTCCATATCGCACATTTACAACCTACTGTCTCTTTTAAGCAGTTCTTTTGCTCAAACATGTGCCTCTCTGCAAATTATCTGGTTAGTCTGCTTTGTCATTACTATGAGTTGGTATACCCTTATTGTCCATCTCATAAAGCAAGCTATTAGTCACATTTATTCTGCCTTTCTAAATCAGCTCTTGCATCTGAGACACCATCCTAGCCTGTTCCTGATGCCTTCCTTGTATATTATAAAAAAGTGCTGTATTTTCATGACATTTTCTGATGTATCTGTATTCTGTTATTGTCATAAATAATCCAGTGAAATGTCTATACAAGCGTGTATGTTTTCTTATGCACTGCAAAAGTAAAGAATTATAAAAAAAAAAAAAAAAAAAATCATGTTTCACTTTGATTGTAACATCATACACAATTTTGTTAGGGTTCCGTTGCAAACCCCTTGCTCCTGTACGTGAAACATATATTCAATACCCATGTTGTCTCAGTGCTGCCTAAGATATTTGATAAGAAAGACTGGATGTTGTTACCTTATCTAGTTTGTCCACTGAAGAGCAAATTGTTCTGAATTTGCAGTCTGGCACACCACACACTGCAAACATGCCGTCCAAAATCCTCCTGTCATTCACCTGTTTAGATACAGTGTATTAGAAACCCAGACATTACTACCATATAAAACTAAGCAACGTGAATAAGAATTAACGGGTAAGGCGAACAATACTGGCTGCACATAAATAAATATATAGAAAGGAAAAAAAACAAAACATAAAATGCCACAAAAGAAATATCTTAAAAAAAGGTGGTGTGTAAAGATATAAACAGTGTTCCACACAAATTGAAAATGCAAATTTGCCAAGCCTGAGACACATACATGTGAGTCAATTTCTTCCCATTGCTTGTTATTTTATGAGATATTATGTGAATGGAATTATATATATATAACCAGACCTTAAAGAAACACTTTTGTGTCATGAACACAAACATATATTTCTGACACTATAGTGTTAAAATAACAATTTATGTTTCCAGACCCCGGCTGTGTAGTAAAAAGGTGTTTAAACACATTTTATTAAACACATTTTATCCCCCACGCCGCTCTCGGCGCAGCTGGCCCCGTCTCCATGGCTGATATCAAACTTTATGATCTCAGCCAATCCAATGCTTTACCAAAGGAATGCATAGTGAGGCTATTGGTCATACACAGTAAAACACAGTGCTACACCAATCAGCATCTCATCATAGAGATGAATCAATGTATCTCTATGGGGAATGTTCAGCACCTCCATGAAAAGTGTGGAGATGCTAGATGTCAGTGCTGTACATTGTGAAGCCCTGATCCAGGAAGCACCCGTCCAGGAAGCACCACTAGAGGTGCTACTAGGCACCGTTGTAAACACTGTCTTAACTCTGAAATAGCTTTGTTTACATTAAAAGGCTTGCAAAGAAACAATATAGACACCAGAACCACTACAATAAGCCATCATCATGTCCAAAAAAAAAAAAAAAGACCCAAGAAATCTGTGAACGCATCTATGATTAAATGATTATTGATGGAGCCACCTCTAAGTTTGGGAGACTACTGCCTGCTGCAATGTCAGAGCAAGTGCAGCAGCTTAAGGAAATTTAAAGGCATTTTAAAGATTTTTCTTATTGGTGTAAAAAATTTTTAAAAATTCAAAAATACAGAATTCATTTTAAAACACTATTAAAATACAGTGTTTGCAAGAGTGGTGGCTAAATAAATTCTCCTTGCAAAATTACTTACAGCCTTCTGCAGAAGAAAGAGTTAAAGTAACAAAGTAGCATGTTATCTAAATTCTAACAATTTTGCTAAGTTTAATTATATGTATACTTTAATCTTTTACTCTGGAACTTCCAAATCGGTAACAATGATCTAAAGCTGCCCCCCAACTCCCTGATATTTTGCCAGAGTCTGCAAATAATCAAAGAACATTTTTCAGGTGTTATCAGTTATTCTGTTATCATGCAACATACCACTTCCAAGAATCACTAAACTTGTTAATATTATCTCCTACACATCCTCCCTGTAGCCTCAGGAACTTCCACTGCTGCCACAAGGTCATCCATATCTACATGTCTGGCAATAAAGGCTCTTCAAATGAGTCAACTAGTAATTTATAGGACAGACATTTGTGACAAAAGCATACTGATAACACCAACTGATATTGAAAAGATTAAACAAGCTTATAAAAGAAAAACAAATGTTTGATAGATGAAAGAAAGCATAGGTTGCTGAATTAAAAAAAACCAAAAAAAACAATTACTAGTTGTAAAGGTATCAAGCTTTTTATATAGGAACTGAATATTAAACATAAACAAAAAATCTATAGATATATGAGGGAAAATGTCTATAGTAAAAATGTGTCCCTTTTAACTGAAGCAACTTGATTCGGAAATTTAAACATTGAAACATTTATAAATTTGAATAATGGTAGAGTAAAATATAGACGTGCATTCGTTATTGGATGAATCACATTTTGTCTGAAATTTAGATCAGAAGCTCGCATATTTGGCAGCTGTCAGGCAGTCCTTGAGAAGCAGAGTGCCAGGCAAGGCAAGTACATGGCTCCTGGGCTGAAAGCTGTTACGGTGTTCTCTGCTGCCGCAATGGCTTTAAAGCCCATTAATTGCAGCGTGGAACATAACATTGTAACAACGTTAATGGGTTATTGAAGCAGTTTCAGTGTAAAAGGTGACCCTGCAATCTCACAGATCAATTCTATGCCATTTAGGAGTTAAATCACTTTGTTTAAACAGCCGAAGTCACACCTTCATGCATAGAATTTGATGGCGCTATATGAATAATAATGTGACTTACACAGCCTGCAAAGAGTCATCTAATGTTTACACTTCCTTTTACAAATTCTGTTTAGTTTAGAATTTATCTCTTACACTGTTAAGAGGCATGATCTATACACAAAAACTGCTTCATTAAGCTAAAATTCTTTTGTTGACTATAGTGTGCCTTTAAATGCTTCACCTAATTCATTTTTGGCAGTTAATGTTAACCCTTTACCAATCATTTCCTCAATGCAATATCAACCCTACCCCTTAGCTTACACCAATGCTGACTGTATAACTATCATAACACTAGATGGGCCGAATGGTTCTTATCTGCCGTCACATTCTATGTAACACTACCCTAACCCAGCATAAAAGGGAAACTATAATGCCAGGAAAACAAACTATTTTTTCCTAACACTATAGCTTTCCCCTATGTTAAGGGGAACACCTCTGCTAATATAAATATTCAATAATGTTCCTTGTTAAAACAGAGTGGTATGTTGCCACCATCTACTGGCTGTTTTCATTATTACATTCCCTGTAATAAACAAAATAAAGTGTCAGCGCTATACTTGAAAACCTAATTTAGGTGATCACTCTCAATCTCAAGTAAAAGACTTATAAATACGGATTCCTGGAAATACTTCCAAGTGCAATAAAATAAAATACAATAAAACAGACCACCATAAGTGTAGTGCTCAAATAATCATGAAAAGTCTTGCTATAGGGTCCAATAAATCGTGGGTGATGATCTTTTACAGGGTTAAGATTAGTCTTGCAGCTATGTCACAGCATCTGTAAATACATTGTTGCACTGTGGGCTTTTAACCTTGAAATTATACAAAAAGACCTATCATAGTGTAATATTGCAATTTAATCAAGTTAACATACAAAACCCTTCCCCCAAATTAAAGACCCTTACATCAGCAAGTTGTGGTACTTGTTTCCAAGATACCACGATATAAACTTTAAAATACACAGAGGCTTGGCAGCCGTTACCATCAGTGCACACTCCCACCCAATCTCAGCACTGATTAAATGAATATTCAAACGGAGAGGAGGCTGTGGCTGGCAAACGATGCTGATAGTTAAACGTGCATCCACCTCTGGCAGCAGGGAGCTGTTCACACTTTGACGCGTTTCGCCCACAATACCAGGCTCTCTCAAGATTGATTTACATTCCAGGTCTTGAGAAAGCCTGGTATTGTGGGCGAAACGATTATTTGAGTACTACACTTATGGTGGTCTGTTTTATTGTATTTTATTTTACTGCACTTGGAAGTATTTCCATGAATCCGCATTTATATTTTTACTTCAGATTGAGAGTGAACACCTAAATTAGGTTTTCAAGTATAGCGCTGACACTTTATTTCGTTTATATATTATGTGTAAAGTTTTTAAGGATCTTTATATGTGTATAGCTGCTGAATTTATTCACGTTCTTATTTATATTTAGTTTTATTTACTTTTAAGATTTGCGCTCTCCTATTTTGTCTAGATCTACATTCCCTGTGATGATGAATGAAGCAGGCTTTCCAAACCCATTACACGGAGATCGGTATTGGGCACCTGGCAAAGCCCTGCACCAATCACAATCTGCTTGGGGCATGCAGGGAGACCCTGCCAGGATCTGTTCAGAACCTAGGGGGACTCCCTTAAAGTTGCTGCCACCCAAGAATTACCGTGACTGGTGCAATAATTCAGCAGCAGCTATAGGCAGCACTGCATACAGCTCATCAGTTAGTCTGGGGCTTCTAAAAATGGCCTCAGTAGACAGGCCATTTAGCCTGTTGTGTCTCCCTGGTGTGAGAAGGGATTTAATCCTACTTACACCACAATCTAGCTAAAAGGCAATAAAATGCCTTTATAATGAGTTGCATGCTTTGCTTAGATAAGGCACTGCTTACAGCTCATCTGTCAATCAGTCTCCTTGTGTGAGCAGGGATTTAACCATTCCCACAAAGCATTGCAGTCAATGAGCATTAAAATACCCACTTAAAGAGCTTTAGGCACTCCTCAGTTTGGGCAATGCATATAGCTCATCTGCCAGTCTGGTACCATTATAAATGGCCCAAGCTGACAGAGACAGGCTCACATATCAAGGGATACCATGGTCTCCCTGGTGTCAGCAGGTATTTTGCCTTTTATTAATCAAGTGCTGTACATTTAGCGTATGTGAACAGTGTAAATATATACATATTTATAGAAATTGCATTTAATTATTAATTAAGAGAGAAACAATGAACAAAATGTGTCAATGGCACAAACCCAAATGTACTGTGCAAATGTATACAATGCACAAGATTTTTGACTACAGTGGAACGCATCACCCTTCTCCTTTCACATCTGAGAGTGACAAGGTTGACTTATTACTGCAGTGATTTCTGCAAATCACCACAGTTGAGAGGCACTGTGCTGAGGTAAAAATTTGTGCCACAATATATGCAGGGAGCACTTGAAATTACCCTTTAAAGTATGCCTGGAATGTAAATCAAGTTTGATTTTTTTTTTTTTTTTTTAAATGAGGTGTGCTGTAAGTTCAGTAATCCACAAAATCTTGAGTAAATACATAGTATGATATTTTTTTTCTACGTAACACAACCCAAGGAATGCTCCCCAGGAGGTTCTCATACTACTTACCTTAATAGTAAACTCTCCCAGTTCCAGCTCGCTGAGAATTTCATGCACAATCTTCAAACACTCAGCATCAGGAATCATGGGATCATACTGTCCAGCAATGTCAAAATCCTAGAAAGAGGACACACAGTGAAACTGCTGTTGGAGTTTTAGCTTAAGACATTAAGACATTAGCTAGCATGATGAACAATCAAATCTGTCACTAAGTTAGGAAGTGTTAATATTCCAGCAAGTCTTTACTATATATATTTTATAATAGGAGTTTTACAGTTAATGTAGAACATTACAGTAAACAAAAGCAACATCTCAAAGAGCAAAAGATGGCATAGATCATGAAATAGTGAGGTAGATTACATATTATATACAGCGGAACAGCAGATAGACCATCTTCTAGTCTGAACAACAAATATAAGGAGCAAAATTATCAATGGACAATAGCCAAACAAGGTAATTTACTAAAATGAGAATTCAAACTGAATTTCAAATTTAAAGGAGCCTGGTAACTGTGTGGGATCTTTGCAAATTTTGACATCACCATGAGGGGCAGGGAAAGGTGCAAATTACTTACCTGAACCAGTCCCTCATGAGTGCCGCCATTTTCGCTGTATTATTGCGCATGCGTGAAATAAAGTTTTTCTAGCCACGGCTGGGGGAAATAATGAGCTTGACAGGGGTAGCTTCACCTTTTTGTCAAGTGGAGGGAAAAATACTGAGACAAAGTAATCCCAAAGTAGAATTTCAGTGAAGTTCCAACGCAGCCAATTTGATATTTAATAAAGATTTAATCTTTATGAAATACTACATTTTGATATTAAGTTGTCAAAGTCGCTTTAAGGTCGAAATAACCAAACTGGAAAAATTAGTCAGTAATGTTTTCAGTCTGGCTAGTCTAACCTTAAAATTGAAATTTACTTTGAATACTCACTTTCCTACAATAGTAGAAAGTCTGTCATAAAAGAGGCTTTTAACCAAAAACCAATAAAGTAATGTGGTACATTGTTCATTTATTAACCACTATTGCAGTCTATTTTAGATGGTCTAGGCCTATATGTCCTGAGCAATTTTGAACATGTCCAGCCACAGGGAGCTCTACTCAACCAAAACTTCTTAAACAAAAAGCCATTCATGGGTATTTTAGGTGGAGGTTTTAAGCCTGGCTAATAGTTCAAGACAAGAACATTTTAAAATAGTGGTTTGTGGGCACCTATTAAAAGGGAAACAACGGGGTAAAAATACCTCAAATTTTTATGCATTATATATAAAATGCATTCAATAAAATATTTATCTTAAAAGTTCATCATGCTACTTACACTTACACAACAAATGACAGTAGCAATCCAACTACTCTCTCACTAGGAAGAGGCTCCACTAATTATGAATGTCTTATTTTCCTATAAACTGTTACAGACACTCCTTACTTACCAACCGTAGAACGAATTGTTAAGAACGAAGTGTTAATCTATTTCTCCGAACATCGATTAGAGGGATTCCCTGCTCTCATTCGTCTATATTTGGGGAAGTTTCCCCGAACATAGACATGCGCACCAGATCAGGGAATCCCCACGACGGCTCGCACTTATGCCTGGTCATAAGTGCGAGCCGTCGTAAAACAGGTAGGTTGCTAAATGAGGACTACCTGTGTTCAGCAGGTAGTTTATATAAATACTTTTACTCATCACATGTTTAAATGTAACTACTTTTAAAAAAAACGGTCATATTGCACGTTACCATATTCTATTCCTGTACATACAACTTGTTTCAGCCACTTGTTTGTTAGTTCACCTATTAAGCAGCACAGCTGAATATATTGGTACGTTACAAATGATAATAAAAAGCAGCCTGAAACAGCACTACTCTGGTTGCTTGATAAGTCAGGCGATGACTGCCTGGGCTGTCCAACAGTCCCCCAGAAGCAGATCGCGGCAGAGGCAAGACCGGGAACCGGTTAATGGCTCATGAACTTAATAGCTTGGTTTTTACTCTGTTAACTGAAATAAACTGAATTTGCCAGAGGTGAACTCCAATTGAAATGCAGAATTATCTTAAAGATCATCCAGAGAAATGGGAAGCATCTGAGCTTTCAAAGCGTCTAAATACTTATGAAAATGTAACATTTCAGTTATTTTCCTGACACTACAGTGATCCTTTAAGTTTTCAGTTACACAGCTACTCTGAGTAACTGACCCAAGCTTGGTGCTCCAAGTAGGGATAAGCAGGAGCACCTTGAGGTACATTACATTTGTGAACTTTAATGCCCTCTGGTTGAAAGTCATGGGAGTTGCAGTTCACAGCAACTCCATTGTACACATGGGTAAGAGGGTACTTTGAGATCAGGTAAGTACAAGTTTTGGATACAGCGCACCCAAACATGAAATTCAAATGGATTTTTTTTAAATCTGAAAATTAATGTATTTTAGAATGTTGACTAAAGGGATTAAAAAAACCCCCAAAAAAACAAAAACAAAAAACTTTACTTACCATATCCCAGCAACAAGAGACATCGACTCCACCTCCTCCAACGTCCCTAAACAAGCAGGCGCTAATACGCATGCGCGGTGAGTGCCGCACGGGCGTAAGGACTCCACATAGGAAAGCAACTGACACTAGATGCCCTCATGAAGAGTGTGAGGACATCCAGCAACAATTACCAGACCAAAAGTCCATTAACATCCACAAAGTGCCTCTAGTCGCTATCTGGTAGACATCCACTGGAGGCAGACTTAGTGCTGCAATATAAACATGGCAGTTAAATGCAATAGGGACAGTGTACACAGATCACTTCAATGAGCTGAAGTGGCCTAGGTGCATATAGTGTCCCTTTAAGAAAGCAGGACAGTTAGGACTAATACATGAATCTATTTTAAAGGGACACTATAGTCACCAGAACAACTACAGCTTATTGCATTTGTTCTGGTGAGCAGAATCATTACCTTCAGGCTTTTTGCAGTAAACACTCTTTTCAGAGAAAGTGCAGTGTTTACATTACAGCCTAGTGATAACTTCACTGGCCACTCCATAGATGGCTATTAGCGATCCTTCCTGGGTCATGGCTGCCTAAAATGCATCCAAACAGTCAGTGTCTCCTCCCTCTTCATGCCGACACTGAACTTTCCTCATAGATATTCATTGATTCAATTAATCTCTATGAGGATATGCTGATTGGACAGGGCTGTGTTTGAATTGTGCTGGCTCTGCCCCTGATCTGCCTCTTTGTCAGTCTTAGCCAATCTTATGGGGAAGCATTGTGATTGGATCAGGCTACCACTTCTGCTGATGTCAGCAGACAGATCAAAAGGAAACAGGGACAAAGCCAGCAGCTCCAGACTTTAATGCAAGTAAGATTTTAGTATATTTAAGGAAGCATGAGGGGACCAGGGTGGCTAGATGGTGGTTTTAACCCTATAGGGTCAGGAATACATGTTCGTGTTCCTGGCCCTATAGTGCTCCTTTAAGTTTGTTTCCTTTAGTTGCATTTGATCTGTAAAGCTTATTCTATGGGATGGGGGGGGGAAGCTTGTGTTATACATAGAGGATATCAAGTCAATTCTGTACTTGAAGAAAAATAAAATAGAATATGTGCTGTGCACTTAATCAGAAACCCTTAAATTATGATGGAATAAGCACACAATGGGTTCGGTTTAGAAGCAGGACAACTACCTCCAACCTTCAGGGATTAATAGAATGGAAATATAATAGTAGGACAATAACTTTTTTTAAAGTTTTTTAAGTCAAGACCAGCAAATGCTATGACATTTTTCACTGTAAGATATTATCTTAACTGAATGCCAACACATTTTCTCAACAGTTATTGTAAGTGTCTGAATCCATGTCTAATACACTTTGTTTGTTACAGGGTAAAATATAATGTATTATACTTACACATTGGTAGAACTCTCTGTAGCGCCCTCTGGTCATTGCTGGGTTGTCTCTTCGGTAAACCTTTGCAATGTGATAACGCTTAATATTGGTAATTTTATTCATCGCCAAGTAACGGGCAAATGGTACCTGGCAGATGAATTAAGGACTGTACTGTTGTACTAAAAAATATCCATAACAGATATGGCTCTGTGCTTCAGACTTGGGACAGGCACAGAGAAAAACATGAAACACACCAGGACAGAACTTCAAAGATCATGCACATACATACCAAACCATTTTAGACTCTCAGAAGAACTATCCTAGCAGAAAGGCAAAACACACATTTAGGTTTATTCACTTAAAGCAAATGCGATCATGTATCATTTTTTTATAATAAAATATTATTCACCGAAATACCAACGCAATCCAATGATCCAAAGTAAGGCTTGAGGTTGACAAAATTTGACAAATTCAGATCAGATGCAGATTTGACAAGATGAAGATCGCCATCAACTTTTGTCCAATCCTAGCAACCACCACAAATGATGGTAAATGAAAAGCTTTAAACAATATATAGTGTCCTTTATATCACAATATTTAACACAGAGCCTGAAATCCTAGTATACTTTGTCAGGAAATGAGAACTGTACATATCTGGTGGATTAAATAAAACCACAATTGGGCAACTAAGATCACCCCCTCCCACAGCCTCATCCATGAATACTGTCTGGCTCCCTAGATGAACATGCTAGAGTTTCCCCAGGATTCTAGTACATGATTAAATATAAACATATGATTAAGGATCTAATAAATCTTTTATTTGCAAATACATAAAATATTTTGAAGGATTTTATTTTTTTTCAGTTTATTTTAACTGTTTAGAAGATAAATTATATCCCACTTGGGTAGTATATGTTCAGCAACATATTTATTAATGTTTTGCCAACTTAATCAGAGGTGTCTGATTAGATCTACTGTAATAAGTCATTATGTTTTCATGACAAATCATGAAGCTTTCATGATGTGTGTCTTCCTAAAGCAAGGACTTTAACTTGACATTTTAGATTGCAACACTGGAGTGTAACCACTAGACAATGAATCAAAAATGTAAGTGTAGAGCCTAGTTCAGTCATGTCCAAAGTGCGGCCCGTGTTCCGGTTTAATACGGCCCCAAGGGTAATTTGCCTAATCTGTTGAGGCCCCCAGTGAATCCCCGAGCGCTGCTCATGATCCCTGGATCTTTGAACGCCGCGGTCCTGGTTGGGATTCACTGGGGGCCAAGAGATTGCGAGAACGCAGTGCAGTCACTGCTCGTCCTCAGTCTGCGTTCTCGCAATCTCTTGGACGTCGTGGGATTTGGTTCCTTCTCCCTGGAGGCAGAGAATGAAGGGGCAGAATAAAAGAGGGAAGGGGCAGATAATGAAGGGGCAGAATAAAAGAGAAAGTGGACAGAATGAAGGTGCAAAATAAAAGAGAAAGGGCAGAGAATGAAGGGGCAGAACAAAAGAGGGAAGGGGCAGAACAAAAGAGGGAAGGGGCAGAACAAAAGAGAGAAGTGACAGAATGAAGGGACAGAATAAAAGAGAGAAGGGACAGAATGAAGACAATAAAAGAGACAGGACAGAATGAAGAGAGACAGAATAAAAGAGAATAAAGAGACAGAATAAAAGAAATAATGGACAAAAAAAGAGACAGAATAAAGAGATGAAATGAAAAGTATGCCGTTTGCAATAAATTTTGCATAAAATAGTTAATTTGCATTTAATTTTAATGGTTCACAGAATGTCAGGCAAAATGGTCGTCCCTCACGCATGTTCACTTCATCAAATCTGGCCCTCTTTGAAAAAATGTTTGGACACCCCTGGCCTAGTTCAAAAAAGTTTAAAAGATTCTGTAATTTGATCCAGTTTACATTGTGGTTATTTTGACATAAATTCAAAGCAATTTACTATATAGGTTAAGGATACAGTGAGATCATAGCGCAAAGACAGTAATTCTCCACCTTGATCTTTCAGGTCATAAATAAGCTTAGAGTCTTCCCCATATTTGCCAGTCAGTGTTTCCTGTATGAAAATACAAATAAAATGTAAATGGTTTGAAAAGAAAATATAGTTAACTAAAAAGGTTTTTTGTTTGTTTAGAATTTTACCACATGACAGGCGGCTTCATATTTGCATAACTCGCTTTACTGAAAACCTCCAGCAGCACAGAAACAAAAACAACCAATCAGAAAAAACGCTTTGGTCGGAATACCTGCCAGGAATTACCAATCTGACGGCGGATTGGTTCTCACACTGTTGGCGAGACAACACCGATTGGAAACTCAACCTCTCGGTATTTCAGGAATTGAAGCATTGGAAGAACCCATTACTTCTAGCTCTTTTTGCTTCCCAGACCAACCACCAACTTCCAAACTACTACAGCTGGCTCCCGGATCCGAATTGCGAAGCAGTGGATGCATTCCTACAAACATAACCGAGTCACAGGGCATATGTGTTTCCCCCGTTCCCCATGATAGCGAGAGTGCTCCGTCATGCACGTACGTACCCACAGGGTATCTCTACTTCTCATAGCTCCACTTTGGCAGAGTCAAGCATGATTTCTGGACTTATTGGAGATGTCCCACAATGCTCCGCTTTTCCTACCAACGTTCCCTCTACTTCTGACGGGACAGCGGTGAGAACCTCACCTCCTCGTGTTAGCTCAGAAGCTGTACCTAGTGGGATGGACGATTTCAGGGGATTTCAGGTTTTATTTTTGTCAGACTTCTTATGCCTCCTTTGTTTTGAATAATTCTTAGCATTAAAAAGGCAAATGTGAAGCCTCCTGTCATGTGGTAAAATTGTAGGTTATGCCAACGTAGTGTATGACAGGAGGCGAATATTTCCAGCCCTACTTTTCCCTCCCGAATTGTAGGTATGACAATGTAGTGTTCATTATGTTTTCTCTGGTTAAACTTTATAGGATTGTTATGTATCTCATTTATATAGAACCAACGAATAATTGACTCTGTTTTCTTTTTCCACCATGACATGCATAATAGAGGTTTCAATGATCTTAGTGTTCATTATATGCGCGCAACTTGCCAATTCAGATACCTTTCACTTTTTACTTTTTCTTTCAGTGTGATTTGTTCTCTTCAAGGGACGGACTCGCCTTTACATTTTTCTGCATAAGGTTCCTACCCGGATTTGGGATAACACTGTTTGATTGAACTTTTTGGACTTATGTTACTTGTCACGTTCTGTGTTTTCTACATGTTTAATATTCGCTACAAAGAAAGAGGAAGTGATGAGACTGTCAGGGCCTTTTATGTATCACCTGACTTTTTTCTGATTGGTTGTTCTGTTTCTGTGCTGGAGATTTTCAGTAAACAGAGTTATGCAAATATTCACCTCCTGTCATTGCTAAAATTAAGATTATAGGTCCACTACGTTAGCATAATCTACAATTGTGAGCTTTTTCACTTCATTTTCTGCACTTCACTCATGGTTAATCACTAAAGTGAGTATTCAAAGTGAATGTATAGTCAGCCTTACACATATTAGCTTTGATGTCTCACATTCATACTGTATGTAGGCCTGTCACAACTTTACAACATGTTCAATGACTCCAACACATCCGTGCATTGTGGACGCAAAGTAGTAGTAGTTTTCAGTTTACGTGTAATCTCTTTTTCACTATTTTGTATATTTACATAGCATGTTCAGTTGAATTTCACATCTATAGTGTCCCTCTCCTTTCTTTCTCTTGGTAGGGCATGTCCTTGTGATATAGCATATGTCATCTATTATTTTGCATTTAGAATTATTTATATAGCGCTGACATATCCTGCAGCGCTGCACAATAGATAAACCAAGACAAAAAATGTAATCTGACAAACCATGTCTGACATACTGAAACAGTACGAGAGGAGGGGCACCCCTAGAAAACTCTTAGGTACTGGTAAGAGAACAAAATAATAACAGGCTGTTGGCAGAGAAGAGAGGCAGGGCTAGAACATATCAGCTAATGAGGGTTGAGATATCAGCAGGAGCACTGTTATGTAAAGCCTTGTAGCTAAGGAGCAAAATGTTGAACAGAATCCTAAATAAAAACAAGAAGCCAGTACAGAGACCGACAGAGGGGAGAGGTTTACAAGTCATGGAATGAGTCTGGCAGTGGTGTTCATGACTGACTTTAGAGGGGCAATCTTGGTACTCTTCAGGTAAATAAGCAACGAGTTACAATAAACAAGGAAACAATGAAAAGTATTGACAATCATTTTGGTTGTGTCCTGAGTGGAAAAGGGGCGAAAACAAGTTTTTCAGGTGAAAGCAACAGGATTTGGTTACAGATTTTATGAATATAATTATACCAAGTGAATACTGTATTTATCGGCGTATAACACTCACTTTTTCTCCCTGAAAATAGGGAGCAAATTGTGGGTGCGTGTTATACGCCGGCCCTTTAAATACTGCAGCCGCCTGAGCGCTCTGTCAAGAGCGGTCAGGCGGCTGCAGTTGGTACTCACCTCCCCTCCCGCGTGGCCGAGCTGCTCTGCTGTCCGCGGTGGCCGGCCGGAGTGATAGGAAGGTGCACGCTCAGTGTGCACCTTTCTGTCAGTCCGACCGGGTACAGGAAACAGAAACTCCTGTTCCGCGCGGAACAGGAGTTTCTGTTTCCTGTACCCGGTCGGACTGACAGGAAGGTGCACACTGAGCGTGCACCTTCCTATCACCCCGGCCGGCCACCGCGGACAGCAGAGCAGCTCGGCCACGCTACAGGGGAGGGGGGACAATGAGGGGGGGGAGTAAGAAGGGGAGGGAGGAGCAAGAAGAGGGAGGTATGCGAAGGGGAGGAGGAGTAAGAAGGGGAGGGAGGAGTAAGAAGGGGGAGGGAGGAGTAAGAAGGGGGGAGGGAGGAGTAAGAAGGGGGGGTAAGAGGGGAGGGGTAACCCACATGATAGGGAGCAAGAAAGGGGTTAAGAAGAGACAGGGCAAGAAAGGGGTAAGAAGAGGGGAGTAAGAAGTAAGAAGAGGGGAGGGGGAGTAAGAAGGGGTAAGAAGAGGGGGAAGGCAAGAAGAGGGAGGTATGCGAAAGGGGTAAGAAGAGGGGTATGCAAGGGGTAAGAGGGGAGGGGAAGTAAGAAGAGGGGAGGGGTGGGTAAGAAGTTCTTTATTTGAAATTTAAGGGTTTTTTTCCTGAAATTTCCTTCTTAAAATGAGGTGCGTGTTATACGCCGATAAATACGGTAAGTTGAATGGTGCAATGAGGTGAGAGGATCAGACCCATACTGTCGCCCTTGCAGTCACCAGGGGGAATAAGAGAACAGAGAGCTTTGGTGGCGAGAAGGGGTGAAAATAGAACAGAGGGAGAAGGGTATAAAATATTTGATACATGACAATGATACATGTAATGTAGTTAGTTTTGCATTTCCCTGTTATAACTATTGTTTGTGTGCATACCAACATGGTTTATTTGTAATGAAATATAAAATATGCCTGTCTAAATAGAAGTTAAGAGTGCAAAATAATAATAATAAAAGCAAAATAATAGAAAAGAAACAACTTAATGACAAATATAGGATTCTGTCAGTTGAATTTGCTGAGTTACTAAAAAAATGGATAGTAAGTGCATTCTCTAACGTGTTAACTACCGGACCTGAATAATACAATGCACACAAAACATGATTTTATGCATGTATGCATTTCAGTTCTGTCTGTTCAGTAAATCTCATTCTTCATTTTTAGCACTAGAAATAATTAAAGTATATGGGGTTGAGGCCTTACACCAAATAGCACAGGTATATTTAATCCGCCTGTCCTTCTGTGAATTGAGATCTTCCAAAAATGCTTAGATTTAGATAGAAAATAAACTGCTGTTGAAGGACGTGAAGGAAAACAAAGGATTTTAAATATCAACATGCATGCAAAATTAACATATTTTTACTTGTAGATATTCAGTTGAATGAGGAAATCATTTTATAGGCACACTTCATGCTCTGCATAATCATTTAGTACGTTCAAGATAATATTACATTTTAAAAAAAAAATGAAAACAAAAACGCGTAAACTCAAATTACATTTCCCCCTTCTGCTAAACTGGAAAAATAGAAGTCATAACATTATTAAATATACAATTCTTCTTAAAGGGATACTCTAAGCACCAATAAAAGTTTAGCATTAAGGGTAACGTAGGTACTGTAATTGGTTAGTCTCACTGAAGTGGATGTAGTGTCTGAAATCCCCATGTCCAGTCCTTCATCCTGTTCAGCGTTAAATCTTTTTTTTAATGTTATAATGTTTAAATCAGACTCTCTACCTTTACTACTGTGAGGATTGGGTTGTACACTTACACACCCAAAAAAATTATTATACTTTTATGCATTACTTATGTTGGACATTGAGAAAGTGTTCTTGGGCACGGAAACTCAAGAAATCATGTATCCACAACTAGTCCAAAGTTCCCAGCTGACATGCAAATGAGTAGAGAAAGGCCTCATGTTTTGGATTTCATACTGCATGTCTGCAGCTAACCTTAGCAATGAACATATTAAGCACTTTTTTTTTTTTTTGTAAAAACCAAAGCATGGGCTACGATCCAAAAGGATAAATAACCAGATCCTTGGAGGAAGAGAGGAAGAGAGAGAGAGAGAGATTGCTAAACACAAATCTGCACATCAGTCAAGCCATAAGACTTGCTTTTCCCACAGAAATCTCAATTTTGAAGTGTTGTTACTACTGCAAGGGATTATGGGTGGGCATATGCAAATTAGTTCAACAAAGTATTGACTATCCACTGGCTGCAGATGGAAGGAGTTTTTGACCAGACTGCCTATTATTAGTAGGAACACCTTTATATACATACAGCAAAAAGTATTAGGCTCAGAAACTAGCCTTGCAAGTAAACTGAACACATCTCACCTTTAACTCAAACACAGGGGTGTCTATGGTCTCAGCACCATGACGCTTAAAACACTTAATGATGGTATCAAATACCTTCTCTCGGATGGCCATTTGTTTTGGATTATAATCCCTGGTGCCCTAAAAAGTGTTGGGAATAAAACATTTATTTAGAATAATTTGCTAAAGAATCACTTAAAATGCAAACATCTCTAAATTACCAAGCATATGGACAAGTTGATATCCATTCCCCTCAAGGTGTGATCAATTAAAGCGGCACTGTCATGCCGAACTTACCTTTCCTCAATCTCTTCCTACCCTCTCTCAGGATCTGTTCATTTCTTCCTGTCTTCTTTAGTTTTCTTACTACTGTCCACCCCCCCTCCGACCCCACCCCTGGGCGGCGGGTGGGGGAACATACTGTCCTCCCCCCCCGGCCCCCACCCCTGGGCGGCGGGTGGGGGCCCTAAGTCAATCCCCCCACCAGGTGACTATTAGGTCACTGAAAGTTTAGTCAATTAAATAAAGTCCCTACTCTGTTCTCACCCCAAAAAAATAGTGGTGGGGTAGGTAGGACTTTTTATTTGGGTAGGGGGGTGGGTGACTAGAGGCTTGGGGACCTACTGTCCACCCCCCCTCCACCTCTGGGCGGCAGGTGGGGGCCATAAAGATAATGGGGGGGAGGGTGGGGACCTACTGTCCATCCCCCCCTCCGGCCCCCACCCCTGGGCGGCGGCCAAATGATAATGAGGGGGGTGGACTTTTTATTTGGGTAGGGGGGTGGGTGACTAGAGGCTTGGGGACCTACTGTCCACCCCCCCTCCACCTCTGGGCGGCAGGTGGGGGCCATAAAGATAATGGGGGGGAGGGTGGGGACCTACTGTCCACCCCCCCTCCGACCCCACCCCTCAACATCATCTTTTTTCTCAAATCTTCATTTTTCAGCCGCAAAAAAGGCCAAATAAAAAAAAACATCAGAACCGTCGAATTTAAAATAAAATAAAAATCGTGAGCGAAAAAAAAAAAACCTAACGAAAAAGAAAAAACCCGAGCGCAAAAAAAAGAATCCATCTTCACCCATGGAGGGCTCTGCGCAGACTGAGCTCCGCAGGGCGGGGGAAGGCTTATAAAGCCTTGCCCCACCCTGCAATTAGGCTAAGAACACTCTGATTGGTGGGTTTAAGCCAATCAGAGTGCTCTTTGTCATTTTACACAGCGTGGGAAAATTAAAAAGAATTTTCCCACGCTGTGTAAAATGACACAGAGCACTGTGATTGGATGGCTTGAAATCATTCTCATTATGGCCCCCACCCGCCGGGCAGGGGTGGGGGCCGGGGGAACACACAATAGGTCTCCCCCTTATTTTACTTTAGGGCCCCCACCCGTCGTTTAGGGGTGGGGGCCAATAGTTTTTTTTTGTTTTTTTACAGTGAGCAGCCACAGGCTGCTCACTGTTTAGTGGACATGCCCCTACTCGCGGTATAGCGAGTAGAGGCATTGGGGAGATTTTAATCTCCCTTGAGCTATTATGGGGGTCATATTGACCCCCATAGAGTGAGGGGGGGCCTGGGGGGCTTAGGAAGTGGTGGGGAGCACAGCTCCCTGCCACTTCTATAGTTACATATTACAAGGAGGGAGCTGCGTGCCGGTAGGTCCCTCCTTGTAATAAACTGAACGAACAAACGAACGCTGATACTCAGTGTTAGTTTGTACGGCTGATATTTCTATTCATTAATTCGTCTGTCTGATGAATGAATAAATGAATAGATAAAATTCCCGTTCACATGTCCAGGTGTTTCACTGGGCATGTGCGGGAATCTCACAGTCTATCTAGTGTCGGCAGATGACGTGTCCCATAGGGACTTCATCTACCCACACAAAGATGGCGGCGCCCTGAATAAAGATCGGGGCAGAAAATAAGGAATCAAAACCAGGTAATCTGGGGGGCTTAGGGGCATTTGGGGGTGACTAGGGTGTTAGTTAGATGTAGTGGAGGCCGGAGGGGGGTTTAAAAAAAAAAAAAAAACAGGATTCGGCATGACAGTGCTGCTTTAAATGTTAAAAACAAATGAAATCGTACTTTTGTGAATGTTTATGTCAAGGAGTGAAACAAATAACATTGAAATTCTGCAATGCTCAAAATCACACTGAAGAAAAATGGGGTTCTGTTATTCCTGTTGAAGACATAAGCAATGTAGTGAGACATGTAAGAGCATAAAGGGAATAGAAGCAGTTTCACTCGTAACCCTTGCCATAGCCACTTGAGTAGGTTGGCCCATATAAATTATGCCAAGTGAGTGCCCTTCATTTCCAACTAATACCCGTTTATAATACAAACTATGCAGTATTTATCTACGTAAAAGCCTTAAATAAAAATGGCAGTCTATGACATCAAAACGTGTTTATTGACAGCTCAGTAAAGGTACCAGAACATGCCATGATGGCAAAATTTGTTCATGAATTACATCTGGATTATATAAAAAAAAATTTAATTATTCCTAAGTATCCCTAGCTTAAAGGGATACTCTATTCTCCAAAACAACTTTAGCTTAATAATTTTTTGTGTATAACTTGCCTTCATGCCTCTTACTTCTAAATTTTCAGCCATTTAGGAGTTAAATCACTTTTGTTTCTCTCCATGCAGCACTAGCCAAACCGTCCATGGCTGTGACTGACACAGCCTGCATAGAACAAAAATGTTTTATGTTTAATCAGATGTTAAAGGAACACTATAGGCACCAAATCAACTTTAGTCATGCAAGGAGGTGTGACTAGGGCTGCATAAACAAAATGGTTTACCTTCGAAACAACAGATAATTGAGCAGTGAGACTGCAGGGGAAGGATCTATACACTGCTTCATTAAGTTAAAGTTGTTTTGGTGCCAATAGTGTCCCTTTAAGATTCTTACAAAACATAGACAAAAAAGTTAAAATATTGCAATGAATACACAGTAATGTCTAGATTACCAATGAATAGACTGGAACTCTGACAGAGTATGTGAACCCTGCTTTATCTAGAGCAGATGCATATCCAAAAGGTGAGCTATGACTACCCTTTTCAAAGTTGCACTGCACCTACCCTTCATTGAAGATGATTTCATAAAGCTAAAAATCAGATTAGTGCAAAGCAAACATCTGCTTCAGAAAGATTAAACTAAAAAAATTACAAATAACATTCCTAGGATGAAGGGGTAAAGTTATTACCTTAGGCGTTTTAAGAACAAACTTTTGCTTTCCATCTTCTGGCCCCAACCGTGCTTTCAATTCCAGTAGCTTTGCAACTTCTTCAGCAATCTAATAATGCAAAACATTACAAAAACATTGAATTGGAGTTAAATAAAATAAATGATAATGAGGTTTACGTATAAAATGTATCAAGCCACTATACAATATGTGTTGAAATTTTTCCATCTGCGTCAGTGTATGAAATCCTTTAAATACTTTTGGCGTTTTTTTTAAGCGGTGCCCACTCATCAAAAATGAATCTTACCAGTCTAAGAAACTTCTCAAACTGATATAAAGGTATAAAATTATGATATTGTAAACAGGTGCCAGGATTCTGATTTTTAAATATAGACAAACAGATTTTTAGGCTAAAAATATTCACACAAAAAAAGATGTAAGAAGAAAATGACAAAGGGCTAAGAAAGGAAAATTCTGGAATATAATACAGAAAAGTAGGGCAATACATAAACATCTCAATATCTAGTAATTTTTTTCCCTTTGAATTATTTAGAGCTGAGGTTCCCTGTCTTTTTAGTTCAAGACAAGCTTAAATGAGACAGAAATATTCCATACCACAGCTATGCTTTTTTTTTCTTCTTCTTCTTCATCTACTTATAAATGTCAGCCTTAAATAGATATGCATACTTTTAGCTAAATTGACTTACTCAGTTTAAATCACTGTCAGATGGAAATCTCAGCTCATAATTGGATTTCCTTTTCAATTTGTCTAATAAATATGCATACAAAAACATACAAATAAATATGAGGGTTCTGGGGGACGGGGTCGACACCCAACATGGCAGGACATGTCTCTTGATAGCTCCCAAGAGACCCTGGCTAACATGTGGCTGTAAATCACGTATCTAGCAGAATCAAGCTACTTACTACTGTTCGCTTGACTCTGGGAGCATCCCCCAATGCTACAAACCGGCAGCCTGCCCTTCGGACCAGCGGGTATCATCCTGGTCCCCACTGGGTCAAGCAGCCCTGTCACTCGAGAAAAAAACCCTGTTATCACTCAGAAGAACTGCTTAAAGGACCACTATAGTGCCAGGAAAACATACTCGTTTTCCTGGCACTATAGTGCCCTGAGGGTGCCCCCACCTTCAGGGACCCCCTCCCGCTGGGATCTGGGGAGAGGAAGGGGTTAAACACTCACCTTTCTCCAGTGCCGGGCGGGGAGCTCTCCGCCTCCTCTCCTCCTCTTCGGCTGAATGCGCAGCAGGAGCTGCGCGCGCATTCAGCGCGCATTCAGCCAGTCTCATAGGAAAGCATTCATAATGCTTTCCTATGGACGCTGGCGTCTTTTCACTGTGATTTTCACAGTGAGAAGCACGCAAACGCCTCTAGCGGCTGTCAATGAGACAGCCACTAGAGACTGGATTAACCTATTTATAAACATAGCAGGCAATGAGGGGGGGAGGCAGGAAAAATTGCTCTAGTAAGGATTTCACCATTTGTTGGCATTTACTCTTCTATTCCTATAAAACACACTAAAATATGATGTTTCAGCATTGCATTTAATTGCTGGTTACCAAGTTGCACATCTTCTGCAAACTGTAAGGATCATAAGGTGTCATAACATTACTGTCCTGTAACACACTGAAAGGAGCTAAACTGGATGATGAAACAGGCACACAGAATTACAGCATTAAAGCCTATTGCTACAGCAGCCAAAGAATGGTACACTCTTCATAAATATAGCCATACAAAACAATACCTAACATCCCCAGATGGACATCTAATTGTAAAGTGCAAGCAAATAATAGACATCAACAATGCTTACCCATAGGGAAGTGCATATGAAAACACAGCGCTGCTGTATGAAGAATTTAAGTCCAACTCAGGTTACAGCAGCAGCTCTAGTGGCTATTAGAAAGGCAGACACTGGTTCTGTTAACTCTGCAAGGAAAACATTACTTATTCTACAAAACAGCAATGTTTTTCATTGCAGGCTTAATATGACAGGGGCTCTGCACCCAGACCACATTGAGATGAAGTGTTCTGGATGCCTTTAGTGTCCCTTTAAGCAAATACATTTACATCATAGCACCCCAGAAATCTAATTTGTAATTAAAGGGCCTGGGTTCAGAGGTCCTGTCAATTGAAGGACCACTATAGTCACCCAGACCACTTCAGCTCAATTAAGTGGTCTGGGTGCCAGGTCCCCCAGGTTTTAACCCTTCAGATGTAAACATAGCAGTGTCAGAGAAATTGCTATGTTTACATTGCAGGGTTAATCCAGCCTCTAGTGGCTGTCTTCCTGCCTTTGCGACGCTGAATGTGAAATCGCATTTAATGTGCAGAAAGTCCATAGGAAAGCACTGAAAAATGCTTTCCAATGGGCGTTTTTAAAGCGTGCACGGCTCTGACTGCACATGCGCATTCCGCTCCATTTGGGAGCTGAAGTCGGAGGGGGAGGAGAGATCACCAGGCACTGGATTAAAGTAAGTAGCTGAAGGGGGTCCCTGAGGGTTATATAGTGTCAGGAAAACAAGTTTGTTTTCCTGACAATATAGTGATCTTTTAAATCCTTCAAGGTTTTTCAAAAACAGCAATATTTACCTTGAGGGGTTAAACACACTTTGAATAGTTACACTGACAGTCACGGAAGACGCTTCCACTGCAGTGACAGAATAAAACTGTCACGTGAAGCAGAATCCCCCATGGGAAAGCATTGATTCATAATTTCATATGGCAAAGCTTGAATACACAAGCAGCCTCCTCCATGCAGTCGCAAGGGAGTAGAGGCCAGCAACACTGAGGACAGTAGAAAGCCTAATTCTATTATTTATATGTGACAAACAGGAGGCACACACCTAACAAGGGACAATAAAGTGTTAGGAATACAGGTATGTATTCCCAACTCGTTAGTATTCCTTAAAGGAATTAAAGGAGTGTAACATGTATAACATAACCTCAATTTACGCTGCAGAATCTTCAACAGCAGCAAAAGTACACCTTTGACTTGCATACCATCAGAGACCTAACAAGGACAGGGACACTAAAGAGTTAGGAATACAAGTTTGTATTCCTTACACTTTAGTGTTACTTTAAGCAGGATTAACTAACATTACTGTTAGAGTAACTGAGCCTTGATTTATAAATCAATTAAAAGCCCATAATTAAAATGATGAATTGTTCATCAAGAGTTAATAAAAGTTTTTTGAGTGAGTATATAAATTTAATCAGCTCATTATTTCAACATAGACGTCCCATTACAATAAGTTCAACCTCTTAATCCCTACCTAACTAAACAAACTCTTACACAAACCTAAATATATATGCACATATATACCGGGAATATTGAAGATATGAAAAAGATCGTTGTCAACGTCAAAATTCCAGTTTAGTGAGTAAAACCCCAGTTTTCACACTTTGGTCATCAAACCATCTTTTGCTTTGCAACTTACAGAAAATATAAACAAATACACACGGCCACACACGTTAGTCAATGTTATTTAGTGCAAGAACATAATAAGTAACTGGTAAACATGATAAAATACTAAATAACTGTGTGAGCTTCCACCCGGCATACAGCTGCTCTATGCGGCAGCCCTGGGCTCAGTGCGGGCCATGTGACAGGCTGCAGATAATGAATGACCAATGACACACAGGGACCGAGCTGCTGGGACCGTGCTGCACGCTCCACCCGCGGGGCCCGCTGCTCTCTGAATGCTCCCCCCCCCTCCCGGTAAGGTGTGTACCCCGGAGCTCAGACCGCTGCCCGGCCCTTCCCATCACTACACTCCCCGGCTGCGGCCTGTAACACAGGGCGGTGTATGGCAGAGCCTTACCTGCTCCGAGCCGGCTTTCTCTTGCTTCAGCTTCCTCACTTTCTCTCCCTGCAGTGCCACCGCCTGCTCCATCTCCAATCTGTCCGCCATGCTGAAACCGAAAGCCGGGTAGGAGTACTGCGCATGCGCAGGGGCAGGGGAGCCGGTGTCCGTCGGAGGTACAGCGCGCATGCGCAGTATAGGGGTAGGGGAATTTGAAGGCCATTTGTCCTGTGAAATCGCCCTACCCCTCTACTGCGCACGCGCGGACTCACACCATCAGATTAAATCCTGTCTGGAAACAGGTCAGGCTCTCCCTGCTCCCAACACTCTCAGCCATCCCAGGGGAGGGTGCAGTATATTGGGGGAAGAAGGGGGGTGGTCTGTACAGTATATTGGGGTGGCCTGCTCGTTAGATGCTGGGGGGCTGCGCATTAGATGTGGGGGGGCAGTGTATTATATTTGGGGGATGTGCGTTAGATGGGGAGCTGTGTAGTACGTGTGGCCTGTGTATTAGACGTGTACAACCCTAGTTTCACAAAAAATTATTTATTTCCTAGATATATGCCATGGCATGCTTTTTGCTACGAAACCGCAGCCATCTAGTCACTCGCCAGAGAAGAATGAGAAACTGCACCCCAGCGAGAGGGACTGCCCCACATCCGCAACCAAATCCGTTGGTCACCCAATTCAGTAATCTCCGTCTCTTTGTCCATTCTGTATGTATGGTACTCCCAATTCTTATATTTAATCCGGTGTGTCTCCCACAATCTTTGTGTCTGTCTGCTGTATGTGGCACGCAAGTCTGCATGCACTGTGTCTGTTATGCCATTTACTCTAACCAGTTTTTCTTTTGTTTTTTTGTGTGTGTGACAACTGACAGGCATGTTCTCCTATGGGACACGAAGTACATGAAGAGGAATGAAGAAGCCCATGTTTGAGGCTCGTCTCCAGGGTGGAGTATTGAATTTATAAGTACTGAAGTGGCACCTGGCACGTGACAAGCTGCTCCTGTTTGCACAGCGACTTCAACATTGTGTACTGTGATCACAGCCTAGTTCAGAGGTAGGTAACCTTGGGCAGTCCAGATGCTGTGAATTACACCTCCCAGAATGCTGGCAAAGCATTATGGAAGGTGTAGTCCAAAACATCTGGAATACCGAATGCGTATGAATGAAAAGTGTGGTGTGTGTGAATGGTCAGTAACAAGGGTTCTCCCCCCCCGTCATGTCCCTCTGTGTGTCTTTCTCTCCACTCAGGCCCCCCTGTGTGCCACTCTCCCCTCCATGTCCCTTGGTGTTTCTCTCTCCACCCCTCCATGTCCCTTGGTGTTTCTCTCTGCACCCCTCCATGTCCCATGGTGTTTCTCTCTCCACCCCTCCATGTCCCTTAGTGTTCCTCTCTCCACGCCTCTATGTCCCTTAGTGTTACTCTCCCCTTCCTTCCCTGTCCCTTAGTGTTACTCTCCTCCCTTACCTGTCTCTTAATGCCCCCCATTCCCCTTAATGTTCCTCCCACCCCCCTCTTAGTGTTCCTCTCCCTTCTCTTTTAGTGTCCCCCCTTCCACAGTGTTCCTTTTTTCTTCCCTCCCCTGTATTATAGTGCCCCCCTTAATGTTCCTCTCTCTCCCCCCCAGTGTTCGTGTTCCTCTGCCGTCCCGCTCTTTTAGTGGTCGCACCTCCTCCTCCCCCCCCGGTCCCATATTGTTCTTCTTCTATACCCTGTCCCATAGTGTCCTCCTCCCTCCCCTGTCCTATAGTGTTCTTCCCCTCCCCCTTTCTTATAGTGTTCTTCCCCTCCCCTGTCCCATAGTGTTTCTTATTATTGTCTTCTCCCCGATTTAATTACTCAATGGATCTAGTATGTGTGTATATGTATGTATATATATATATTTATTTATTGATTGATTGATTTTCTCACCCCTCCTGGGTGGTATGTTTATTTCTCATTCTCGGGTCCTCTACCAGAGGCCTGGGAGTTTGAGGGCAATACCCAGTGACTATAACATCAGGAAGAAGGAACATAAGAAGGTGGAGAAATACCAAGGACTGAAAGAAGAACTAGAAAGGATGTGGAGAGTGAAGGCAGTAGTAGTCCCAGTTGTGATAGGAGCACACGGGGCTGTGACTCCCTAGTTGGGGGACTGGCTTCATCAGATTCCAGGTGGGACTGTCAGGGTATTTATATCGGCAGACATCTTGTGCTATGATAGAAATTAAAAGTGTATATTCTGAGTCACTCTGAACAGAGCAGACTCCATTTTGTTATTTTCAAGTTAACAAAAAGACACAAGATTTCTATCTGTAAAACTAACCACTTTGCCAGAGCTAAAGGAATGCATAGTATATACAAACCAAGTGATAAGGTGAACGGGGGTTGGACAGACAGTCTTAAATGCTAATGGAATAGATCAATTCTAAACCCATACATTTGTGACAGAGAAGATTAAATAATTTAATTTCACTTTCTATATGTATAAGGTACCATTGTAAGTTTAAGGTGAAACATAGTTCACGAACTCTCATATCAGAAATTATAGCAGGAATTGCGGACACTAAGTCTGGACAAAACTTAAAGAAACTGTTTGATCTGACAGCAAATCTAAGTTATAGCAAAGACAAAGATAGGCCAAAATGACGTCACAATAGCCACCAGGAAAAGTTAACTCTTTCCTGGATAGGTATGTTTAGTGGGACAAGACTGCCCTCTATAGACCAAATACCTAAATTGCGATCTAAAAGATAAGCACACCTCTAGTGCTTCTATTGTGTTATTAACTGATGACGTACAGAGAGTCTGGCCCTTTAAAAGTTAGGACAAAGGGAAGACAGAGGGATGCAAAGAAAAAAAGAGGAGAGAGGAATTGGAAGTTTGGGGACTCCAACCTCCATGCAGAGAAACCCAGGACAACATCTGAGACTAACACTCTACTCTTAAACTCTAACACTTAGAATTTTACTGACTTTCTAACCAACACCACCTTTCATCATAACTCATGCACCTACAGACATCCAAATAAGTTCCTGAGACTATCTACCAATCGGATGAAATATCTACTCAACTGGTAATTATACTGGTTTCATTTAATTAATTAAATTAATTAAAATTTACTAATAGCATGATATATGACTAGGATAAAGCACGGTCAGATTTCCATATTAAGAAATCTTAGTTAACTAAAGAATATATAGTTATAAACATTCCATTCTGCAGGTGGAATTAAGAATAATTATATATTAAGGTGATATTATCACGTGTTAGCATACCGCTGTTTTTATCCAGGTGTATTGATTTGCTCTAAATTAAGATAAGATATCTTTTAGACAAATTAAACTCTGCTTATATAATATGGTAGATTCTCTTATTGGATGGTTCCAGGAAATGACTAATGAACTGGTTTAAATGTTATTTTATTTAAAATTACATAAGAATAGATCTTAATTACCTAGGAGGTCTAGCCAGCATTGAAAGGGTTATTCTAACTGTTAGCCAGGGTTTTATGGCCCTTCCCTGTGAAAAGCTTTCTGTGTCTGTAAGGATACCTCATAAATCGTGTAAGCCTTGACAGAAAATGCTGTTTAGCCATTGAAATGTGTATAGCCATTCCTTTGTATTGCATATCATTTTATACTGGATATTCATTGATTATTGTCACGCATGTTACATATTATTATTATTAATTAATTTGTTATTATAAATAAATCTATTTTTATAACATTGTGATATTATTTATATGAAATACATTCCACTTAACACGATAACGATCTTTGGGGTCTGAGAATTGAATTAGTGGGCAATTCTCACTGTTATTATTATCCCATAAATATCCCCACAGGACATCTGAGATCGCTGTCCGGAAGAGTGCAGTTCTAGGAACAGCTAAGATACTGCGCAGAATCCTCAAACTCCCAGGCCTCTGGTAGAGGACCCAAGAATGTGGACTAGACATACCACCCAGGAGGGGTGGGAAAATAATTTTTTTAAAATATATATATGTAATTGTGGGAGGGGTTAACTGGGTATAAAATCTCAGGCCCCCTCCATGACAGGACCGACCCCGCTGGGTTCATTCAGAACTCTAGACGTCCGGTTCTGGTTTACTCACCAAGGCTTCGTTTCCACGCTGGTTCCTGCAGACCAAGTTCTCCCGGCAAGACTAACCACCTCGTCCACGACCACGTCTGTCCAGCCCATTTTGAACACTCACCTGGCAGATCCAGCGCCTGGAAGTGCTACCTACCTTGTCCAGCCGCTGTTTCCAGCCGCACGCTCCACTCTGCTCTTTGTTTCGGACTGAGCTGCTGGAAATAGTTCCAGGCTGACCTCTTTCCTTAACGCTACTTCTGGTTGTGTTCTCCTGATCGATCCACGATCTGTAAGTTTGCCCGTAAGGGTGCATACGAACGCTTCCGTTCGGCAAACACGCTTTTGGTTCCTTGTTCGTCCCCCTATCCAACCTGTACATGTCAGTTCATTGTTTCACGTTATGGTTCGTTTTCATTAAAAATTTTACCAAACACATCCATTAGTTCAAAATGTGTAGTGCAGCATAACGAACTAGGCTACAGATATAAGCTTGTTTTACCATATCTTTCCTGATGTTCATCACTATTTCTAACGTGCCTCTTGAACCTATCCGCCTAGTTCAAGCCACTGTTTTAGACGTATATACCTAGCCTGAATCCATTACACCATAAAAATAGTGATGTTAACGTGAAGCTTGATTTTACTTACTTAAAAAATTGTGCAGTTACTTCATATACCATGTCAAAGTTACGCCTTGTCTGTTACTTGAATTGCTTGCCAATACTGTTATGGTATCGCAAGTCTATATGTAATCGCATGCACAGCAAAAATAAAGACTTTAAAAAAAATAAAAAATTTTTTTTTACCAAACAGGGCTCACGTACGACCCCTAGTGGCAAACTACCTAATGTCAGTGTCACAAGCACAACTTTTCATGTGCTCTTCTATTCACCTGTATTCCCTTGGTTAATTAGGAGTATGTTAGTCAAATTATGAGGAATATGTGCTGGGCTACTGTTGTTTTGTGAATATGTTAAATAATGTTTAAGTGTCTTACGTATAAGAAGTAGTTTAAATCTTATTATATTATTTTCCAGTATATCTGTTATGTTACAATACTAAGTTTTTTACAAGTTATTTACTTGGCTTACCAGTGCCTTACCATTGCCTGTTCCTTTCGCTAGGTATTATAAACCCATTTAAATTCTCATTCGACTGCCTTCAGTCCACCATTGCCCATTAGGCTCAAATATTAGGCTCAGGGTACGTATGATTTGTGTTTTTCTAGCTAATCTGTATTATTTTCGTATGCATACCCCTTGTCATCATATCCTTAAATTCTCCACGTACAACTAAATATTCATAACCTTATCTGTTCCTATACACTGTGGGGATATTTATGGGGTGATAAATATTAAAATAATATTTTCATAAAACTTATCAAAAATGAATGTAATAACTTTTTTTTTTTTTTTGTAATTCATTCTTTTATTGAGTGGTTGAGGCATTTTGTAATACGTGTTACATAGAAGGTAGAGTATGCGACAAAATAACAGGATATGTATAATACAGATACACATTTGATTAGTTGTTTTCTGAGTTTGACATCGGTGCAAAGTTTGTCTAGGGTTAGAATTTGTCCGGTAATTACCAGACAGATCAATTTGGCACCTTTCTAGCATTTCTATGCATTATAACCACTCTTTTTTTTAAATTACAGGATTATTAGCAGGATAGTCACCACATCATTACACAGTTTAAGTGTAGTTGTCAGGTGTACGGGGAGGTGTACTGTACTCTGCGTGTCATGTATGGTTGTGCGGGATGTTGCGTGAGCTTCTGTGGTGCACGGAGTATGGTGGGCGAGGTCCTGCTGGTGCTGTGCCAGAGGTCGGCAGGTCATCATGGGTTATGCCTACTGATCGCCTTTTGCGGGGGTCTAGTCCTGAGGTGGGTAAGTGAATGGTGCGATGTGCGTAAGTGGATGTGTGTCTCAATGGCATGTTAGATAGCTAGGACCAAAAGTGGGTGCCTCTGATGTGCTTGTGTTCCCCTAACCCATGGGTTGACAGGGGGAGGGGGGAAGAGAGGAGAGAGAAGGGGTTCGTCTGAATCGTGGGAGTTCTCTGTGTTTCATTGTTGTTGTAATAACAGTCGGTGTGTACCATATAACGTAGAACTGGTCAAAAACTATAAAAAGCAAATACTATAGAAAGCAAATGTAACTTGTTATAACTGCATGCTACAGTTCGTTCTTTGAGGTGCCACTTATATGTGGCACGTTGGTAGATGTTTTCCTTGCCGCCAACATTGGAGAGGTGCACTGGGGTAGTGCCATCTGTCCAGAGATTAAGTCACTGAGTCCTGAGTCTGTGGTGGGTTCCGGTTCTGGGATGGAACAAAGGGTGTCACATTGGGTATGTCTCATTGGTGATGTGTTGTCGGTCTCGTTGGGTTCCGGGTGTCTCTTGTTAGGTCTAAATCTGCGAGAAACGTGGGGGCGTCCGTTGAAGAGGTCGCTGTGTTTACCTTCCCTTCATTGAGGACCGTTAGGGTTCTGGATGCGGACCAGCGGTAGACTATTCCTGCCTCTTGCAGCTTAGTTGTGAGGGGTTGCATGGTCTTTCTCCAGAGGAGAGTTGCCCGGGTGATGTCCTGGTAGAATGTAAGCTTGTGTGATCCAAAGTCCATAGGGGCTTTTGCTTGTCCGTGAGGGATTGGCATTTTAGGATGATATCCCTGGGTGAACTCGTTGGGGCGCGCTGGGGTCTATTGACCCGGTATGCGCCATCTAGCGGGAGCAGTTTAGCTTGTTGGCGGGTAGAGCTGTGGCTATCAGCCGTCGAAGGAAGTGTGGTAGCTTCTCGGGGGTCACCGCGTCGGAGACTCCGCGTCTTTTGCTTGCGCCTGTTATCCAGGGTGTCTATTCTGTGTGTCAGGTAGGAGTGCAGGGTTTTCATTTGTTGCACAGTGTCCCCCAGGGCTGCTAGGCCTTGCTTTATGTCGATCACATCTTCCTCTGTGGGCTTCACGCGGTCAGTGACCGCTTGTACTTCAGTTTTGACTAGGGCAATGTCAACGTCAAACAGCAGCCTAATTCTATCACAGAGATCTGCAATGTCCTTTTTAGTGTCTGGTGTCTGGTTATGGGGCTCAGTTGTGGCGGCTGTAGCTGTGCCTGTTTGTGCACTGTCTTTCTCACTCCCGTCTTCAGTCTCCTGGGGCTCTGTGGCGTCTGAGGTAGCTGGGGGAGTGGAGTGCCCTGCCGTTTTGGGCCTGGAGCATTTGAGGAGAGTCCCTATTTCTCTTGCTTCTTGTACAGGCGCCCCTGCCTGTTTCTGCATTTCCGACCCATGCTTGCTATGTCTGGGTCTGGATAGGGATATAGGTACTCACTCCAGTCCGCGAGGAACTTGGCGTGGTAAGTTGCAGCCCTCAGGCTTCCTGACCGGGATTTCTGCTGGATCTTGCGGGGCGGCGCAGAGGTCGATCCGAATCAGAAGGGAATGGGCCGGTGCAGTAGGGGTTTCCCTGCCTGCTGTGCGTGTTTGGAGTTGGCGGCTCAGCATTTTTCCCACCGTTTTCAGGGTTTTGAAAGATGCAGGTACGGAGCTGTTAGAAATGGCGTCTGAAATAGAAATAGACTGTAGCTGTGCCAGGCCCCGCCCCTCAATAATTTTTATTATATCAAAATTGATATCTTGAGAATTACCCATTATTTTAATTCTCTTAGATCCTAGAGAACGTCATCATTTAGAGGATTTTATTACACACAATGATCACCATTTGATTATAAAAATATAGTTTATTGTGACATGATAATAAAATAATAATAATATGTAACATGCTTGATAATAATCAGTGAATATTTAGTATAACATTGGTATACAATATGGCAATGTTTAAACAAATCCAGCGGCTAAGAGCAACCAACTGTCAAGACTTACAAGATTTATAATAGGGTACTTCACAGACACAGAAAGCAAAACTTCACACAGAACACAGAATTCCTTAGAGTGCAGCTAGAAGTCGTAAAATCCTGGCTATCATTTAGATCCTGATTAACTCTTTCAATACTGGCTAGAATCCTCTTAGGCATATACTATCCTATTCTATTGCTATTTTCAATTAAAATAACGTTCAAACCAGCTCATTAATCATTTCCTGGAACCATCCAATAAGAATAATCTACCAGATTTTACAAAAGCCGAATTTAACTCTACATAAGATACACTATCTTACTTCAGAGCAAATCAATACATCTGGATAAAAACAGTGGTATGCTAACATGTGATAAATATCACATTAATATATAATTATCTTGATTCCACCTGCAGAATGGAATGTTTATAACTATATATTCTTTAGTTAACTAAGATTTCTAAATATTAAAATCTGACCGTGATTTATCCAGGCATATATCCTGCTATTAGTAAATTTTTAATTAATTGAAATTAATTAAATAAAACCAGCATAATTACCAGTTATGTAGATGTTCTCATTAGATGATTAGATAGTCCCAGAAATGAATGGAAGTGTGGTCAGTGGTGTATCCTGGTTTTGTGCTGCCCTAGGCAGGACAAAACTCAGGCGCCCCCCTCCCCCCGCGCCACCCCCACCCAACCCTTCCCCCCCCGCCCCACCTTCTAAATACACACACAGTCAGACACAAACACACACACACAGTCAGACACAAACACACACAGTGAGACACAAACACACACACACAAACACACAGTCAGACACAAACACACACCGTCAGACACAAACACACACAGTCAGACACACACACACACACAAACACACACAGTCAGACACACACACACAGTCAGACACACACAGACACAAACACACACACACAGTCAGACACACACAGTCAGACACACACACACACACACAGTCACACACACACACACACACACACACACACACACACAGTCAGACACAAACACACACAGTCAGACACAAACACACACAGTCAGACACAAACACACACAGTCAGACACACACACATACACACAGTCAGACACACACACACACACATTCACTTTTTTTTAAATTTAAATCCCCCCCCCCAACCTCCTTACCTTTGGGAGTGCTGGGGGGGGGAGGTCTCTTTCTCCCTGGTGGTCCAGTGGCTGCCGGTCGGGCTGGGCGGCTGGCTGCTGTGCAGGCGGCTGGCGAGGGAGCTCTTCCTCTGAGCTGACTGCTCAGCTCCCTCGCGCGCCGCCCGCAGATTGAGGCTGGGAGCCGGAATATGACGTCATCTTCCGGCTCCCAGCCTCACTTTGCGGCGCGCGAGGGAGCTGAGCAGTCAGCTCAGGGGAAGAGCTCCCTCGCCAGCCGCCTGCCCGCTCGGGATGTCAGTTAGCAGCAAGGCTAACAAGGCATTTGCCCTGGGCATTTGGGGGGCGGCGTTTTTTGCCGCCCCCTGAAAAATGCCGCCCAAGGCAAATGCCTTGTTTGCCTCGCGGCTAAAACGCCCCTGATTGTGGTTAATGCTTGTAAGGAGGTGTGCATGTGATAGAGAATGTGATATTGGTTTGGAAAGTTATAGTAAAATTCTAAGTTTTCAGGAGGTGCTTCTTGAGTTGAGTCAAAGAGTGTGAGAGTTGAGTGTTAGTTCCAGAGTGTCCTGAATATCTGTCCTAGATCTCTCTAAATGTCCGAATTTGAATCTGAATCTCCGAATCTGAATCTGACTCTCTCTTCCCTTTGTCTTTGCTTTTTAAAGGGCCAGATTCTCTGTACGTCATTAGTTGATCAGGTGTGGCCAATTCACAGACCACCATCTAGATTTTGGACAATAGATGGCGCCCTTACATCATCAAAATTTCATGTCCTCGCAAGAGTTAACTAATTTTGATGACGATTCTGACGTAATTTGGCCTATCTATAATGACTGCTATCAATCGTCAGACGTGTCAGTTCGAAGCACTTTCTTTTGTTTTTCCTAGTCTTGTCTCAGACATCATGGTGGCAATATACCTTTAAATCTATTTTCTGACATGTCTAAACCTTAATTTCACCCCTTGCTTACAATGTGACCTTGTAAGATTTAGAAAGTAAAATTAATTACTATGTGTTATTTATCACTATTGTCTGGCTTTCTTGTGTGAAGCTAACATTAAGAGGAGTACTCCATCCCCCCTTCTCTGCTTATTGCCTTGTTTACATAACGCATTCTTTAGCTCATGCTTAAAGGACCACTACAGGCACCCAGACCACTTCAGCTTTATGAAGTGGTCTGGGTGCCAGGTCCATCTAGGATTAACCCTTTTTTTTTTTTTATAAACATAGCAGTTTCAGAGAAACTTCTATGTTTAAAATAGGGTTAATCCAGCCTCCAGTGGCTGTCTCTTGACAGCCGCTAGAGGTGATTGCGTGCTTCTCACTGTGATTTTCACAGTGAGAAGACGCCAGCGTCCATAGGAAAGCATTGTGAATGATTTCCTATGGACTGACTGTGCGCGCGTCTCTTGCCGTGCATGCGCATTTAGCCGAAGAGGAGGAGAAGAGGGAAGAGAGAAGGAGGAGACCTCCCCCCCGGCGCTGGAAAAAGAGGTAAGTTTAACCCCTTCCTTTCCCCAGAGCCCAGCGAGAGGGGGACCCTGAGGGTGGGGGCACCCTCAGGGCACTATAGTGCCAGGAAAACGAGTATGTTTTCCTGGCACTATAGTGGTCCTTTAATGACTGGAGTTAGACAGAAATTGTATCTCTGAATCCAAAATGGAGTTAGCTTTGTTTTAGGTGTGACTGGCAGTAGACACTTTTAATTTCTATTTTAGCACAAAATGTCTGCCGATATAAATATCCTGACAACACTTATACCACTTCTAACTACTATGGCTATTCAATGGCCACACTCATAGACATAGCAGTCCCAGCCTTTCCCCTATTATTTGACATGCACCAAGTAAACTGTAAACCTAGGGTATCATTTCTAGCACACCCAGGGATATTCCTTGCGGTTATGTCTTATTTCAGTATGCATGTACTTTTCACGCATGAGAGCTACCACATGTTCCCTTACGTTTGTCCATATTCTATTTTAGGTTATTGTTACTATTACTACTCCTCCACCCGAACTTTTGGGGAATTCTTTGGATTATTAGTCTGCTCACGTTAAAGGTATATCTTGTGTTACAACACTGTTGATCAGTTCATATTTTACTATATAGATAGACAGATTCGGCTCTCTAATTAGGCGGTTTAGGAGGCCGCCTAAGGCCTCGCGCTGGCTGGGGCCTCGTGGCCGCCTTAACCGTCTGACGGCAGACTGTGTCGGTGACCGAGGACCCGACAGGAGGGGCCCAGCGGCTTGCTCAGTATGCCGTCAGGTGCGAGGCCCCTCCTGTCTGTCCAGCCAGCCATCGCAGACACCGGTCTCCAGCTCCGCAGTGAGCAAAGCTGTAGACCATGTGTCACGCCGAGAACTGGCCAGTCAGAGCGTTGCCGCGGGTTACTATGGCAATGCTCTGGCAGGTCTTGCAAGATACATGGTCTGGACACTGGACCACCAGGGAGTAAAAAAGGTATGCAGTCTCCCCATCAGACCCTACTGCCTCAACATCACCACATCACCGCCCTCTCACATCACTCTCCCTCCCTCAACATCACTCTCCCTCCCTCAACATCAACTCCCTCCCTCAATATCACCCCCTCCCTCACCATCAACCCCATTCCCTCAACATCAACCCCCTCTCACCATCACCCACCTCCCTCGACATCCTAATCCTGTTAATCTCACCCCTTCCAAACTCACCTGCACTCACTCTGCCACACTCACCCTGTTACATTAGCCTCCCTTAATCCTGTCACACTCAACCCTCCTACCATACCACAATTACCCTGACACACTTACCTCCACGTGCCCTGTCATACTCCCTGTCCCTCATTCTCTCTCACAAGTCCATTTACCCACTTCGCCCTATCATGCTCTCCCTGCCACATGTACCCCTTTACTCACCTTGTCACAGTCATCAGCTGAAGACCTTCATCATACACACAAAGTCAAGAAACATAACTTTGCCATAAACACAATGCACAGAGACTACAGGCAGACACCCATACACACTTCAAGAAGCTACCCCATACACATAGGGTCCCAGACAAAAGCACAAACATGCTCACAGAGACATACATTCACACACACAAGGATACTCTCTGTCAGACACACTCTCAGGCGCATACACAGGTAAACTGTGCATCAGTGTGTATATGTGACAGTATGCATGTATTGCAACTCTATTTTTTTTCACTTTTTTTGTTAGGGGGGCCTCATGTTTGAGTTTCGCCTAAGGTCTCATAAAGTCTAGAGCTGCCTCTGTAGATAGATGATAACTGTAGTTTATCCATGGATAACCACTACTAGCAACTCCCTCCGAATCACGGTCATCATTCCACAGGTGAATTTTTCTCACAATAAGGGGGAAAAATATGACCTAACCTTACACATTTCCTTTTTAGGTTCTCTAGCATTCATCCTTGTCTGAACAGAATCTTACATCTTACTCCCATCCCTCTATAGGCTAGGGTTGGTCAACTGGCTGTTGGTCCTCATAGTTAGAGCCTCTCTCTCACCTTCATCTTCATGGTAGGCCAGATAATTATTTCGCCATAGGCTTAGGTAGAGCCAGTTGACACAGGCACTCGTCCATAACCAAAGTCCTCTTATTTTCCCATGTTTACATTCCTAGTATGTCCCAGAACAAGATGAGAAAAATCGCTTTACCCGAGACCCCAGCCTGGCCTTCCACCCCGGCCGGGCCAAGCACCCCTCTGAGAATCGTCCAGCCAGTATTCCCTGCATTCCTGGACTATCCATAGGCTCACGGCAGAATTACCGCGCATGGGGGTCCCATTCCCGGCTACAGCTCGCAAAGCCTGTAGTGGCTGTTTGAGTTAACCCTGGCAGGTAAAAAATGCAATAATTACCACTGCAGGGTTAAGGGACCTGGGACACTGCACCCAGACCACTTCAATCAGCTGAAGTGATCTAGGTGCCTATAGTGTCCCTTTAAATGGCCCAGGGAGACACGATAAGGTCATCTCTTCTGCCACCTGTGGGGAATCCAGGAAACTTGGTTTCCGGCTCCTACAGCTATAACTACTCCTTCTCACATACCTGGGCAGTGAGTCTTTGGAATATGATTTGCTGTGCCCTGCCTACAACAATGGAGGTTGGTGCCTACATACATCACAAGTCTACTACACCACTGTGCCCTAGACACTAGTACCTATCTGTCTGTTTCAAGAGTTCTATGCATGGTTCCAGAGGAGTGTGGCATATGGCAAATCTGCTTGCATATATTAGCCTGCTAGGCCCCAATGCTTCACTGCAAGGAACAGCACACTCTCCTATATACTAAACAGCAACTTCAATGTTGACAGATTTTATTAGTTTTTTAAAAAGTTTTTTTTTTTTAAAGTTTTTTTTTTAAAAACACCCAATCTAGGCAAAAAATAATGGGGATTTAGTTACATTATATGATCATACATTGCATAAGCCTGCCACAACGTCAATGTACCCCATCTTTAGAAGGTCCTACTCTCACAGTCTAATGTCTACTCCTATGTGCTTTACTGCAAGGGTGTTTCCTGACATGAGCATTGGCTGATTGTTGGTTTTATAAGCCCCTATGAGGAGGGGTCCCAGCAGAAGTTATTACCTGATGATTTTGACTTTAGAGCTCTCACTCAAGCTGCTCCATCAGTTAGACACCGCACTCATATTTTACAATTATTGTATTAAAAAATCTCTCACAATGCCAATTTTCATGTAGGAGAATGTGTTACATTATTGTGATTTCTCTCTTTTGCGATGTGATAATATAATAAAAAATTTTAAAAAGTGGAGTGTAGTCATTGTAGCACCCCCCACCCCAAAAAACAAAACAAAAAAAACAAAACACACTAGTACACCATCTGTGCAAAGTTGCTTTGTAACCTCAGCATTGAACATAAACATAGAAAAAGCACAATGAGCATTTTGGTAGATTAGGTCCACTAGTAAAACCCCTAGAACATTTATTGAAGAGCACCAAACCCCAAACATTTCAAGACCCCTGTCCATTTCTCAATGTACAATAGGCATTGCCATAAGTGGGATACTATTGACTTGAGAGAAGGAGACTGGGTATTCCCAGGTCCATTAGTGAAGCTTGGTGACCCTCTGACCCTATCGCTGTTAGAAGCAAAGGACTGGTCCTATATTAGGTGAGTGCTTGGGGAACCCTAAAAATAAAGAAAATGTTAGATCACCCAAAGCATCTAGGAATTTGAAAGAAATCACCAACAGGTGTAAAGTTTAAGTGTGTATAAATAGTTCACATAAATCTGCTCAAACATAATTTTTTACAATTGTGTTAACATATTAACTTTCTTACATAAATGTTAAAATAGTTTGTGATTTAAATGATTTAACAGAATATATAAAAAGCTAGAAACACATGATGTACCCTGGTTAAAATAATTCCTCAAGGTCCCAAAATATATTCTCGCTCAAAAATAGTTTCTATTTGGTTAGTTTCAAATGTTTGGAGCTTTGCAGAGACATCCTTTGATCCTCAACAAAATATATTATCCTATCTAGTTTACCAAGACTGATTGGCCTCACTGAATAATTTTGCCTTATACAGCATGCATGGAAACTATCTGGATGTGGTTCAGTGCACAGGATAGTTATTTATGTCTAAATAACGCATTATACAGAATTAATGATGTGACGATTTCTTTCACAGTGGGGTCCTCACATTAAACAGGGAATTTATAGATTCATGAGTCTAAGACTTTTCCATTTCATTTCTTGCAATTTAGATCAGAAATGTAATGTGGACATACTGTAGATTAGATGCACTATAGAGCCATCATTAGTGAGGCATTATATCCTTCTTTAAATGAACTTAATATGCCATCATGACAGAGGGAAAACTCTAAATGGGCTCAGTAGGATGTAAACTATGGGCACTCATACATCCTTTCAATCAGACAATGCATAACATTTTAATTATTTATTATTTTACTTGTTACAAGACTTAATAAATTGTTCATTTAGAACTGTTGTTGTCCAGGCCGATTTTCCAGTTCCAGGTAGCAACCTAAGGGTACATGTCACCCCATAAATTGACACAAATGCTTTCAATCTCAGAGCTGGGGATTCAAATGGCTCTGATCAAGATTGTGTAATGTGCAAAATGAATTAACAGTGGATAAATATCAGCCTCATGCATAGTTTAATTAAGAAAATGACTATGACTTTCACCTGTTTGCAATGAACAAATCAAACAAAAGAAACTGAAATAGCTCAAGAAAACAAATTCTTCAAGTGGTTTCCCCAAATTCTACTGAAAATGCAACTTATAATGACTTCAAAAAACCAGTTGAATGGAATCCAGCACAACAGCTAGGGGTTTGTGTCACATTTGACTGCATGTTAGAAATATGGCTAAGTCAAAAGAATGGTCCACAAAGATAAGAGTAAAGATGATCGCACGTCACAAACAAGGACCAGAGTACAAAAAGATAGCGATAGTTTCCTAGAAACATCGTTGGAAGTTTGCAAAGTTCAAAGTTGTAGGAACAGTGATTACACTACTTGGACAGGGCAGAAAAAGGAGGCTATCAATGGCTGCAACCAGATATCCGAGAAGGTAGGTTGTGAAAAACCCTTGAGTGACTGCAAAAGAACTACTGTAAGACTTGGTGGCAACAGGCACTGAGGTTTCACTGAGCACAGTAAAGCGTGTACTAGATGCAGAAGGGTTCCATTACAGAACTCCAAGACGTTCACCACTAACATGTTGTCATGGGACCGGCGGTCCTGGGGGGGTCCGGACTGCTGTGGAAGTTCTGTGCCCAACATTGCCTATGTACTGCTATATACATGTGTACCTGCAGGCCTCCAACTACCTGTTCGTTGCAGAGGCCGTCAGAGCGTTGCCACGGGTTACCACGGCAACGCTCCGCAAGGCACGCAGGCCACGAGAGTTAGACACAAAGGAGCTGATGGGAAGTGGAGTCAGAGTCTGCTGCTGGGCCCCCTCTGCAGCGGCTGGCACCGAGCACCAAGAAATGCAATCTCCCCCCTCCCTGGCCAGTTAAGAAGCAGGGAGGGGGGAATAAAATAATTTTTTTTATATAAATGTCAAAAAATAAAAATGTCCCCCCCCCCCTATTTTACACACGCACACATAACATGCCTACACAAACACACACTCTACATCCACTACACAAACACACTTCACATTCACTATACACACTGCATCTAATACACACATCCACTGCACAAACACACTCTGTATTAAGCATACACACACTACATCCACTACACACTCTGCATGCACTATACACTGCATCTAATACACACAAACACTACATCCACTACACAAACACACACACAGCATCTAATATACACCTCATACATTACACAAAAGTACAATCTGCATCCTTTACACACTGCATCCACTTGACACACTCACTCTGCATCCACTACACACATTTTTTTTTATTTTTTATAATTCTTTATTTTTGGTGCGCAGCGAATTATACAGAAGCCCGCCTTGTCACAACAACAAGGACGGGCACATTTGTGATAGTACATTATAACATTTATCATACAGTGAATGAGGTTTGCAAGAAACTGGTACATCATTAAGGACATTACGCACGTTTTTTGTATAAATGTAGTAGGGTTGTAGCCCCGGTTGGGGAGTCAGTGCATACTAGCGTATTTAGATTGTGTGATGGTGATCCTCTACCAGGTCGATTTGAGGCAGTATGTATGGGCTAGTTAGAGTGAGTGGATGCGGGGTTTTAACATACTGGGTGTTTGTTAATAACGAGTGAGTGACGCGAGGGTGGTTGTAGAGTGTTGGTTTTTAGCTTCGTGGCTCATGAGGGTTGGGTGTGAGGCAGTCGTTTGGGTAGCCAGAGTAGTGAAGTAGGTGGTGTCAGGAGGACTATTTGGTTCCCAAAAGAGGTACATGCCCCTAACCAAGGGGGCGTCGGGGGGGGGTTGTACACCTCTGGTGTGTGTGCCTAATGTGTATGTACCTTCGAGACAGGGCTTAAGCTGCTCCCAGTAGGGCCTGGCCATGGAAGGTATGAGTACCAAAAGGGTAACATGTTAGTATTGTGGTAACAGAGAACTAAAGCGGAAACTACAGATACATAACATAGATGAACTGTTGCAGATTGCTTCCAAACGTGGGGCGGTGTCTTCTCCCTTATCAGTCAGGTGGCTGGTGTGGGTCTTGGTGTGCTTCTTGGCACAAATGGTACTGCTGCTTCTGGGTCCCAGGCTTGGGTAAGAGGTGTAGTAGAGGTGGCCAGTGTGGCGTCTGGAAGACCCAGAGCCTGGAGCAGCACCGTGATTGGGGTCGAGGTCTTGGTGATGGTAGGTAGGCGGTATAGTCCAGCCATGGTGAACTTTTTGGCTAGGGCCGCAGGTAATAGCGTGGCAATGAGTCTCCTCATGTAGTGGGGTAATTCCTCCGGTGTTATCGTGGGGGGTACCCCTCTGACTTTAACATTGTTGCGGCGGTGTCTGTCTTCCTGCGCGGTTAGTTGTAGCGCCATGTTGTGCTGTGTAGTTTGGAATTGGTGCATTGTGCTTTGCATTTCTGTTAGTTCACCGCGTATTTTTTCCATGTCCCCTTCAGTAGCGGTCGTCCTCTCGCTGATCTGTCTAATGTTTGATTTTAGGGTAGCCATGTCTGCTGTGAGGAGCCTCTGTATTTCTAGCAGTGTATTCTGCATGTTGTGGAGGTCCTGCTTAGTGGCAGGGGCTGTCCCCCCAGGGATGTCTGTGGAGATAGTCTGTGCTTCCCCTTGTGTTGCTGGCGTCGGATTGGGGGTCAGGTTTGGCACATCTGGGGTTGTTGGGAGGTGTGGGCCTTCAGGGCCGTCTGTGGTCGCCATTTTGGTCGGTACTTGCCTCATGAAAGTGCCAATGTCCCGCTGCTCCGTGTTGTTGCCAGGCTGTGGCTTCTGGGATCTGCGTCCCATTGCTGGAGGTTGGTGTGTGTGTGCTGGGATGCGGCAGTCAGGCGTCTCAGCGGCACTGTACCGATTGCAGAGGAGCCCCTCGAGGTATGCAGGCGCCTGTGAGTAGTAGGCCCCAGACCTGCGTTTTGGCTTCCCCTGCTTTGGGGAGTATAGGAAAGGCATCAACGGGTGCTGCGGATGATCCCCAGTCCGTTCTCGCAGGTATTGGAGCGGGATGGGTCTGGTAAGCAGAGGGATTGTGATGGATTTCGATGCTTTGTCGGGAGCTACCAGAAATGGCGTCTCTCCTGTTTCGCGGTTAGGCTCTGCCCCCCACTACACACATTTTACACATACAACACAAGCAGCACACACTGCATCCCTGTGGGCAGACCTTGAGCTGTATCAAATTTCTGATGGCAGCCCTGAGCACTACTGACTCAATAGCACAAGAAAAGTGGACTCCAATATGCTCAAAATTCATATAACTAAGCCATAGAAGTTTGGGGATTTTGTTCTGTGGAGCGATAAAACTACACTGGAACTTTTCAGCCCAATGGATCAGCGGTATGTCTGGAGGAAGAGTAATGAAGCAATACTCTTCCTACTGTTAAGCATGGTGGTGATGCTGTGGAGATGCTGTGTGATGCTGCTTTGCATCCACTGGCAATGGAAACCTGCAGCGTGTGGAAGGCAGGATGGATTCATTGAAGTATCAAGAAATTCTAGGAGAAAACGTCATGTCATCGGTGAGGAAGCTAAAACTTGAGCGTCATTGTGCCTTCCAAAAAGACAATGATCCAAGCATACCTCAAATTACAGCAAGGATTGGTTGCAGAAGTAGTCCTGGAAAACTCTACAATGGCCATCACAATCACCTCACTTAAATCCCACAGAAAATCTCTGGTGGGATTTGAAGAAGGCTATTGCAGCACGAAAACCCAAGAATATTACTGAACTGGAGGCTATTGCTTGTGAGATTTATCAGGAACGCTGCCAAGGCTGGTGTCTGGCTATGCATCTTGTTTAGAGCAGGTGATAACAGCAAAAGGGTGCTCTGTTAAGTACTAACGATACTTGCCATGAAGGGGTTGAATAATTTTGAGACAAGAGAAGTCAATATCATTTTCAGTTGAATTTGGCAAACCACTTGAAGCACTCATTTTGTTGAGCTATTAAGTCTGATTTGTTCATTGCAAACAGCTGAAAGTCTGTACAAATTGACAATAAACCTGATTTTCAATGGGGATTGAACAATTTTGATTATAACTGTACTAAAGATGCAATTCTCCTTCTACTGGTGCAGAGATCAGATGAAAAAATTAGGAATGTGGGTTACCACTGATCCAATTTAATACCATTTATTCTTTCACATGAATTCTTCAAATCGCTAAGGTCCTTGGTAATTGTATATGTATGGAGGGGTGAGAGGTACCGATTGAGACATGATATTCTTTGCCGGCCAAGGGCAGTGGGGAAGCTGGCTCTCTCTCTCTCTCACTTTGAAAAGGATTCCTATGTCACAGTGTAACAGAGAGGGAAATTAACTACAAAGCACTTTCATTCTTGTATCGCACCCCAGAGAGGCTACACAGGATATTCACCACAGTGCTTAATAGTTGCTGGAGGTGTGGGAAGGTGGGAACCATCAGACTCATCTGGTGGGATTTTCCCCAGGATAAAACCATACTGACAAATGGTCAAAATGGTTCTGACATGACCCCCGTTTAAGTTTGGAAATTTGCTGTTAAACATCACACCTTTATCTTAGTATAAGAAATCAATCACGAGGCATACCCTTAATGCAGCTAAGTCCCTTGTACTTGCTCTCTGTAAGAATCCCGAAGAAGAAGAGCAATGATTCATGGAGATTGAGGAAATTAAGGCAGCTGATGCCACGAAGGCCAGTATACAGAGGTGAGACATACAGAACAATGGTATCCATGGGATGCAAACATCTCACATCATATAGCGAACTGAGAGAAATGTGACATAATTGGGGGGAGAAGAGAGTGGAGAGAGGGAGCCTGAGGGGAGGGGACGGGAAACGTTGCATTTACACAGTATTATTAGTAAGAGCTTAAACCTTGCACCTTTTGATTCTTCTACCTAAACTAGATATATCGAGAATGAGGGCAGAGGGTTTGGTGACCAAGTTGGGGAGTAGGTTGAGCACCGTAAATGAGGTTGGAAAAGGTCAGGGAGAGATGCATGGGTCTTGACACCAGGGCATGGGGAACAGTTTTTTTTTCTCTTTTTATAGTTTCATTTCATGTTTTTTACCTGTTACAACACAAGACTTTACATATGAACTAATAGCATGGCATATAGATCATACTAGGTAAGCACACAAATTATAGTATAGGGTAAGTTAAGCGTGGAATGAATAACTAGACTCGTTTGATTAAATTGTGTAACACTGAGTATGACCTCATGCCCTAATGTCTTAGTTCTGTAAAATTACAAAATCATACACTAAAGATTGTCAAAAACATAAATAAATCTCAATTTAGGACTACAGCAGATTTTTTTGATAATAATATTAAACAAAGTACATTTAACTACATAGGTTAAAAACCAATCAGAGATGTCAGCTTTCCAATTTCCAGTATGGTATGTTGCAGTTTGAGGATAATAACTCAACCATTAAATGCTCAAAATAAGTATTGGTTTATTAGCTGGCATACAATATTAAAAAAATAAGTACATGGAAGTCCATATAATATTTACACATTTATACGGATCACATTTTCCCCAAGAAAAACAAAAAAAATTTTTGTCTGTGACACTCTGACATTAATAGTAGGGTCAGTTTTTAATTGTGATGACATCCTGTTGTTTGCAGATGTTTATCGTTGACTGGTCAGCTTTTTTATTTCTTCTATAAGATTTTCACTGGAGACAATAAACTTTTAAAATACAAAAATAAAAGATATTAATTACAATTTTATACAATGTTTTGTGAACAGAATTAATTGAAAGAATCCCCCCACACCCAAACCACAACTGTTAAGGGCAGCACACAACCATAAGGCACTCTAGCAGGGGTTGAGGCATGGGGTAGGATGCACTCCAGCCCCAGCCCCAGCCCCAAAGACCTTCCACACCTGCCTGGTGTGTCCAGTGCTGTGGGAGGGGTTAGAAAGCTTCAGGTAGGCATCATTACCAGGTACAGACTCTGAATATTCGGCATTCGACTGCTGAACGCTCTTGATACTATAAGTGGTGGAACTCACAAGAGGAAGTCTGCAACCGGTGGAGAAGCTGACAGAAAATGCAAAATGCATATTCGCCTGTATTAAAAATTTTTTTTTAAAATGCTTGCACCAACTTTGTGTTGGTTGCAAGGGGGTGGACAGAAGAATTGGGATTTTGAAGGAAAATATAACACTACACTAAACTACACAATTAAATAAAATGAATAAGTAAGACCCACCAAGCCTAAGTTAACTGTAACGTAAAGCAATCCTATCATATTGGGAGTTTTTCATAAAGGATATTGGGAGTTTTTCTTTGTAAAAAAAAAGTAATATTTACTTCATTGAGATTTTGAATAATTCAAAACATAAACATAAGACAAAATAGGTACTTCTTTTTCTTACTATGTTACATATTACACCAAAACATGTAAAAAATCCAAAACAAAGTAAAACAAACTATGGCAACATGATATACTTTGGAAACATCCCTATGGCATTTTATAGCATGTATACACAAAAGATCTATGGAGGATCCTGTTATCTTGCAGATTTTCCATAGTCCAACTTTTACAGAAAAGCTCATCAGGTAGAAGATGAAGTGAGGACAATGGAAGCGCTAAGGAAGGAGAGTGTAAGGTGTATACATCTACCTTTAACCTCTTCTGAACTGGGCAATCATAACACCGGAAACATCATTTGGGGAAAGAATTATATTCGTAACACCGGAAACATCATTTGGGGAAAGAATTATATTTTTTAAGATGTGCAGAGTTCACACAAGTGACAGCATCACTTTCAAGGGACACACCAGAGATCCATACATTAGTGCAAAGTGAAAGTTAAAGCAGTGCTGTCGATTGTAGGGATTCTGGTAGCACAATGTATGATTAGAATTTGTTGGGGCTTTGAATTTTTTTCAAAGACACCCCTCAGATGATATTTCTACTTTTATGTTAGCACATTTTTGGAAAATAAAACAGGAGATGATTTCCCACAATCAATATTAGAGTTTTATAATTTTCATGGATTAACTCATGATATAATTGGTATAATCTGGGAAAACTGGAAATGTGCACACTGTCGTTTGATTTCGATGTGCCTTAACTGGGGTAAACGTGTTGAGAGCCTGCTGGAGTTTGCCTGAAATATCATTCTTAAGACATTTTGTAAGTGGGAAAAATAACCAAATGCTTACCTCTTCTCTCGTAGAAACTACTCTTAGCTTGACAACTTCATCTTTTAGTTCCTCTTCTCCAATAATGGCCATTAAAGGGATTCCCCTCTCTTCACAATAATGCAGCTGGGTCAGAAATTTTGGATTCTCCTTGTAAAGCATCTCTGCCTACGAGAAAGACATTTTATTGCTTGGTGTGCTCATATTTGTCAATATGCACCGATTTCACTATAGAAAGATTGAATTTTAAAAAGACTTATCATGATAATCATGAATTAATGAAAAAAATACATGTATTTAAAAAAAACAAAAAAACTTACGCTCTTTAAAAAGACCTTAAATTCCGTCTACACATTGTGCTAGCAGTTCTGCTAGCAAATGTATCGTTTGGGAAAAACTCTATCTTTTGTCTGTGTGCATGCGCTGTGGTTCCTTTGGAAACCTCCTAGCCGGCGCTGCTAGCAGCAGAGGAGAAGCGTGGGTGGACTTCTCTAATGTGTTTGTGGTGGAAGAGCGAAGGCCAAGGTAAGTGGCTTTAAGGATATCTATCCCCTAAAAATAAGACCACACTTCCACTGCACTGTTTTGTCTATCTCTGTACAGTAATTTGTCACAGCACCAAACAAGAAAAATTATTTAATGTAAGAAAGTCATCCAATATATGCATATATTCCATACGGGATTAGTGTGACTAAAAGGTTCAATATGGTACCATTAAAAAGGTCTGGCTTCTAGATTTGTAAAGTTTTGACTTAATAAGCTTTCCAAATTATTTATCTGCAAAAAACTAGTAGACTATAATGATGACTTCTGTAAATAAATCATTTAAAAAGTGCAGCCAAGATACATCCTAAACTTGCTTTTAAAAACTAAAATTAAGTCATATATTACTATTTTATCCCTATCTGTATTTTGTTACTTTTTTTTTTTTCGCTTAAGCCACATCATTTCTGAGATTTATAAGTGTGTACGTGTTCATATTTGAGAAACAACTGATTTACATGAATGTGGATATATTATATTACTGATCTGTTAAATGCAAATCTGCTTACTTTAATTCCTGAGTTCCAAAGAGTGGAAATAATCC